GAACAAAAACAAAAATACTTATATCAAAATGTCGTCCGCGCCTTCCTCCTCAATCCGGTCCAGCAGCGCATCGCTGCGATCCCAGATGAATTATGCGAAACCCTACCCAGTGTTGGTGCAGCCGCCCGTGATCGCGGTCCAACACACCATGCCCACCGCGCCCATCCCCCGCCCCTGGATCCACGGAAAAAACGACGACGTGTGTTGTGCCTGCTGGGATCGTATCAAATGCAAAAACGTCTGGGTCTGGAAGATTCTGACACTTGTCATGCACGTTTTGCATGAGCCATGATGTCTGTGATGCATACCCTAGCAATGCAGATTTTTTGAGGGCTTCTTGATGCGTATTCCGCTTGACAGATGCCTTCTCAACGTAGAAAAAATTGCATTCTGTTTGTTACTCATGCAATACAGATTTTTTTAGATTCCAAAAATAGCATCACAAGTTGCATTCTTCCAGACCCAGACACTTTTGCAATTGATAGATCGCTGCACCGCGCTGCCGTCGACGGAGACGCGCGACATTATGGAGTTCTCAGATGTTACATAGTCAACTGTTACATGAAAATTGTAATGCAAGAATGGCAATAGTGAAAGGGAAAAGATTGCGCGTTTTGCATTACAGGTTTGGAGCAGATTCTAATGCTATCTAGCGCGTCGAGAACTTGTCATGCGAAGCAGCTTGATCATGTAGTAGATATTGTTATTGATGGCAATTTTGCATGACAAATTTATGTAACAGTTGAGAGTGTAACGTTTGGGAATCCCATAGACATGGCGACCAACGGGTTACTCCGGATAAACTTCACCTATTGGGACGACCGGCACTGCTGCGCGTGCGGGCCGCACCCGGGGGTGGCGGAACAGGTACAGGATCAGCACTGCCCGGAGGAGGTCATTCAAGCGGCCATTGTGAACTGCGGGGGGAATCCAGTAATTGAGCTAAAGCAGGAACCTGAGCAACTAGAGAAAATAAACGAGGAGCCCGGTCGCGTTCTCGACATCCGAAAGGAACTAATCGACATTTGGGACGAGTACCTTGGCCAGGACGGGATGCTCTTTCACTGCTGGGTCACCATCACCTACGACGGTGATGGCCGGCCGCAGAAAAACCGCCACTTTCGCCGTTGGATCGCGTTGGCGTTGACCCCGGAGCAGAGCGCGCTGCTGGCGGGGGAACCCCACATCAGCGGGGACGTGGAGGTGGATTTGTGTTGCGGTGGGGTCAACGAACTAGCGCTGAGTATGCACCCGCCCAATGGCATGCTGTTCTGAGTTCTCCTTTGGGGATGGGGGGTGAATAAATCCGAAAAATAACAAGAATACCGGACTGCAATATGAAAAAGAAAATGAATAAAATTGAGCAGAAGCATAAGGATAAGCGTGATAGGCACGCACTACGATTAGAATAGTACGCGCTGCCATGATACATCATAGCCATCTTGTTTTTTCTTGTGGAAAATGAACTACCGTGGACAATTTTTTTTTTTTTGACATTGAATACACAGGGGATTGACACATATATGTAATTTTTTTTCCGCAGACAGCTCTACTGTTGCGAGCAGTTTTCTGGTTTTTTTCGAAAACGTCGTTTCTAGTCTGTGCGAACCATTTAGATATTCACACTCGTTCTCACTTGATAGCTCTACCTTTTCTTGTATGAATTGCGCAGATAGAGATGAACCACAATAACAATATAAGTAGAAGCCGCACTCCAATTTTTTCGCAAGGCACATAATTCTTTCGTTTCTCTTTATTGTCGTCAACAAGAAGTAATTCTGCTTTTGTACTTGGATTTGTTTCACTTACTTTTGGGAATTTTTGTGCCTGAGGAGACGTTTTTTCAGGTTGCATGATCCCGAAATTGTAGCACGAAAAGAAGCAGAAGCAAAGCGCACTGGTTGATGTTGAATCAAGAAAAGCTGCGAATGACAACGAACAAAAGGAAAAGTGCTACGGTTATTTCACCTTGGTTTCGCTGCAGAGATGAGAAGCAAGAGCAAGATTTGTCCGCTTTCGTTTGATCCGGAAGCCAAGAACAATCTGCTCGACCATGATGCAGATCGGGAACAAGCCTGAGACAAGTCCATAGACAGATGCAGATACTACATCTCGTAGAACATAACGACGACGAGCAAAAGATCAAAGACGAGCCGCAACGTGAAAAAGGTCTAGTAGGATGGTATATTGTGACAGTTACTGGCAAGTAAGAAGCCCGCTCGTTGCGATCCGCCTTGTGTCTTATCGTGTATCGGAGTCGTGTGTTGCAAAAACAAAAAAGATCTACGTAGTCTCCAGTAGTGGCATATTGTCGTGACGGTGAAGATGAAGATCTAGTGTTAATGCGCAACTCGTCATCAAAGAGAAGAAGAAGAGCAAAAGCAACAGATTTCTATAAGTACTTCTGCTTCTGGTAGTTCGGTTAAACGAAAACAATCGAAGTCGAACGCACATATTTGGCGGTCATTGATTCATGGTCGTGTCATCTGGTCGACCCGTCCTCTGTCATCGTGAACATTGAAGACTACAGCGGAGCCTCTAGTGTTTTGACGTACTAGATAAGCTTGTGCATGATTCGGCAAGATACTCTTGTTGCCCGCTTTTTCTACTTCTGCCTTACCAATAAAAATGAAATTTTGAATTTTCGCGGATGCTTTCCCTTTCTTGCCCTCAAGNCAAAAAAAAAAGCCAAAAAAACCCAGCGTTAGCCCCGCGCCGTTTTTATCTTGCGGGCGCCTTTTTGTAAAAACGCAGCAAACACGCAGACGCCAGAAAAATGCCGGAATCTCCGGATACAGTTGCGGCGTTTTTAGGCAAATTGCCCAAAATCACATAATCGACATTTGGGACGAGTACCTTGGCCCGGGCGGGATGCTCTTTCACAATGTGTTGTTGCACAGACATCATGGCCCATGCAAAACATGCATGACAAATCTCGCAATCTTCCAGACCCAGACATTTTTACGTTTGATACGCCGGTGCATTTGACGATGTGAACGACATGGACCTCTCGGGTGCGGAGGATGAGGACCTCTTGCCCGGAGGGGTCGAGCAGGGTCCCCGCGCGGAATCCGAAACGGCGGTACTGAATCTGGACAAGATCCATTATCCTGAGTAAAAACGTCCCTACCCCAGAGTTGTCATGCAATTCTGCATGCTGAAGATGTTTCTCATGCGGAGCTCCATGACAAGCATTTACTAGTCGCGTTTCGGAGTTTGTCATGCTCCAATCAGCATGCTGCGCTAGATCTGTGATGCTGCTGCACTAGCTAAACAGGACCACACTACGAGGACAAACTTGTCATGCGAAACAACCACAGCTGGCTGATTTGTCTAGCAGATTGCCCATCTGGACTCTGGTGTGGGGACGTTTTTCCTCGCAATATCCATCCCAATCCGTTTATCAAGAACCGGGACCGCCTCTGCGACGCCATCATCAACTCGCTGAAGGCGATATCAAATGTAAAAATGTCTGGGTCTAGAAGAATCCGAACTTGTGACGCTGTCTCTGGATTCTGAAAAAAATTGTATTGCATGACCAGCAAGAGGGTCCAGTTTGTGCTACGCGGAGAGGGCATTTCTCATGCGGAAGGTGCATCAGGAAGCCCTCTAAAAGTCTGCGATGCTAGGTCATGCATTACAGGGATCATGGGTCATGAGAAATATGCATGACAAATCTCGCATTCTTCCAGACCCGGACATTTTTGCATTTGATAGGCGACGTTGCCGCGCGGCGCGGGGAGGGTGAACCGGCACAGCATTTATGCATTGCAAAAATGTCTGGGTCTGGAAGGTTGGAACTTGTGATGCTAACTCTGGACTGCCCTTAGACCTCCGATGTGATGCTAACTCTGGACTCTAAAGAAATCTGCATTGCATGACCAGCAAGAGGAGTCCAGTTTGTGCTACGCGGGGAGGGCATTTGTCATGCGGAGTAGGCATCAGGAAGCCCCCTAAAAATCTGTGATGCTAGGTCGTGCATTACAGACATCCTGGGTCATGTAAAATCTGCACGACAGGGCTTGTATTCTTCCAGACGCAGACATATTTGCAATGCATAGCGTTCGGGAAACAGACAAGGACTTGGGGCAGAATGACTCCGCAAACACCTGGGTCGGAAAAGGGATCTTCATATCCTGTGTAAAAACGTCCCCACACCATAGTTGTCATGCAACTCTGCATGCTTAAAATGTTTCTCATGCGGAGCCCCATGAGAAGCATTTTCTAATGCGGTTTGGAAATCTGTAATGCGCCAATCAACATGAGATACTAGATCTGTAATGCTGCTTAGCTGGCTCAAACAGCACTACACTACGCGTCCAAATTTGTCATGCGAAACAGCCAAAGCTTATGGATTTGTCTAGCGGATTTCCCATCTTGACTCTGGTGTGGGGACATTTTTACTCAGGATACTTCATATCCGCGGAGGAAAAAAAGGAACTGCTGCGGCCGGAAAGGCTATCAAATGCAAAAATGTCTGGGTCTGGAAAAGTGCAAGTTTGTCATGCTTGTCTGGCATGACTCGGGAATCTGTGTTGCATAGGCACGAAAAGGCCCGCTTACCTGTCATACAAAAACAGAGTTTGCCATGCGGAATACGTAAGACATGGCAGCCAAAAAAATTGTCATGCATAGCTGCGTATTGCAGTGCGTCTATCTGTAACTTTTAGCATTACAAGTTTCCAGACCCAGACATTTTTGCAATCCATAAAGGCGAAATCAGTACAACCCGAAACGGCCGGACGAGTTTTTTCGGATGCACCCGACTCTGTGGCTAGATACGCTGGAACGCGTGCCGATGCGGAAGGAAAACCATTTAGGGGAGGAATTTAGCCTGGCCTTCCATTCGGACCCGGTGTACGACTTACTCGACAGCCACAGCGAGGGGGAGTCGGAGTCGATCTATCCTGAGTAAAAACGTACCCACACCAGAGTCAGGATGAGGATTTTGCAACACAAACCTAGGAGTTTTGTGAGTCACGCATGACAAGTCGCACTATGCAGTGTAGTGCAGGTTAGCAAGTGCAGCCGCGTCACAGATTCATCTGCTGATCCTGTTCACAGCATCACAAATTCCAAAACACGATTGGAAATGGCTCTCATGGGGATGCGCATTACAAGTCTTCCTGTCTTTGCAAATCTGCATTACAACTCTGGTGTGGGTACGTTTTTACTCAGGATACGATCCCCACCTACGTCATCGACCGCGTGCGCAGGGAGCAAAATGACATGTCCCAGCGGGAGTGCAACGGGGCGACGGTCGAGCCGCTGCGAAACTTTCGGACCAAAAGTAAGGAGGGCGGCGGGACCGGGAGTAGTAGTACCACGATGAAAAGCAGAATGGAGGTGTCGCATTCCACCTCGAAGGGAAGCGGGCACGCGTCGAAGCGACAGCGACAGGCGAGTCCGACGTAGAAGGAGGTGATGTAAAGCCACCAGCACCAACCATGTGGAACAGGAAGGAGAGGTTGTAGCTGTACTAGGCGACATTTTTGGGAGTATAAAACTCGAAAAATAGGGGGAAGGACGGGGTGCACATGGTCTTAAGATTTTATTTTCGGAATCAGTCTGACACTGACTGGTCTTTATGCTACAATACCAATACGTTAATATACGAACTTGTTGTTGTGTCCTGCTACGGCATAGAACACATCAAAAAGAACGAAACAGTATATAAAGAACAGCGCAATCTAATCAGTTTAAGGTTTTACAGTTATGCGTGGAAATGGTGCGAAAATCGCCATTACTGAACCGCTATCGAAAGCTCTCAGTTTCTCAAAGTTTATGCATGTGATGAAATCTACGGATTTTCACACCACGAAGATAGGTAGAATCAGTTGAAATCACCGTATAGATGAAAGGTCTTATTAAAAGGGAAGGGTTGTATTTTTTTACGAATTGGAATTTTTTCCAGAGTCAAAATATCTCGTGCTAGTGCTCTCGTGCTAGCGTTAAAACTACGTGCAAAAAAAAAGAGCCCTGAGATGCACACAGCTATTGCAACGCAGCTAGCCGACACCTTCAAATAAATCCGAGAGAAAATAAGCCGAGGAGCACCGCATAGATATAGTGGATGTCAGGCGCACGCCTGCCTGACGTCCATGTTGGTAGTAGGTACCATGCACACTTCCGAACAAAGCTCGTTTCAGGCGGTGGACGAGCTGCATCTTTGGACGAGCCGCTCTGTGATCAACAACTTTATTCAAGACAAAGACTTTTTAAACTACCGATCAAATTATTGAACTATAATCTCTATCTCTGTTTAATGCACAGAAGGAGCCTTGGCCATACGGCTACAGCAACAGCTAATTTATGGTGAATTATCAGCATTGCCACCTGCAGCGACCCAGCACTTTGACGCAAGAAGAAGACGACATTGCAATCGAAGAGCCTACTTACTTTATCGAACTATAAAACGAACATTTCAATGATTTCCTTCACATCGCTACAAGTAATAATACGTATGCAGCAGGACTTATCAGTTTTACTCCATCGCCGCTGCTGCGAAGACTACTACATGTGCTGTTGATTGATGGCAAAGTATTAACGAGTACATATGCAAACTGCTGCTCCAACTGCGTCTCCCTCTTCTCTTGACGTTTTTGTTGAATTTTCCTGCAGTTGTTTTCGATATTCTTCAGCGCGCATAGTTGTTGTACATCTTCTTCACATGATAAAAGGCGGAAAAAATTATCGGCCGTGCGTCTGTGTGGTTCTTCCTTTTCGATATGCAAGGGAACAACTAGCACAACACACGGCTGTTCTTGCAATCTTCGCAAGGTCCCTGACCACGCCTCTGTGTTGGTCCATGTGCGTGTTGTGCATCGCGAGCCCGCATGAGTGTTAAAGCAGTAGTTTTTTCTTTTATTTGTTGAAACTTCATCCTCCTACTTGTAGATGAGAAAAATTTCTCGGATTTGGTTTCGGTAGTTCATGTGGATAGAAGCTTCGGTCATATACGAGCATTGACACATATTAGATCTCGGTTTACTACAAGAAAAACAATGATTAAAGCACAGACCAGAGGTATTGGCATTCATCGCATGGGATCTCAAATAATGTTGAAGACAAATGCTGGATCTATTGTTCCTAGATATTAAGCAGATCACATTTATGAAGATGATCCAGCATGCTTTTTTCCCGGCTCGAAATCTTCATGATCCGGTTTTTGTATGGGGGTGATGTGTCACGATGTGTGAATTCGGTGTAACGAGCACTACATGAACGCAGCACTCGGTGAAGTACAAGAAGTGTGTGCAGTTTCCGAAAGAAATCGAGGAAAGACTCAAACCTAGTACACGTCATCGATGAACAGCAAATGCATTCTTTTTCAACAGGCCATTCTTTCGGTTTATTCCGCCTGCAAGTTTTCTTATGTAGCCTAGCCAAAAAGAAAAAGAAGAAGTTCGCGAATCGACATTTCGGAAACAGTAGAATCAACTCATATCTGCTGAAAACTTCTTAACGGCTTCTTCTCGTACGTAAAAGTAAAAGAATATACAGAAAAGCAAAAGGCTATCATCTTCATCACGACTCCACTTCGCTGCAAATTCGTTGTAAGCGTAAGCGTCTCTACGTTTTTGAAAAACAAAAATATATCAAAATGTCGTCCGCGCCTTCCTCCTCAATCCCGTCCAGCAGCGCGTCGCTGCGATCCCAGCGGAATTATGCGAAACCCTACCCAGTGTTGGTGCAGCCGCCCGTGATCGCGGTCCAACACACCATGCCTACTGCGCCCATCCCGCGACCCTGGATCCACGGTAAAAACGACGACGTGTGTTGTGCCTGCTGGGATCGTATGCATTGCAAATATGTCTGGGTCTGGAAAAATTGGAATCTGTATTGCGTGTCCTGCACTCCTGTAAAATCTGTATTGCGTGACCGACAAAAGCGCTAATTATTTGTCATGCAAAAACGCAGTTTCTCATGCGCATTACATATGAGTAAGCGTCCTGAAAATTTGTCATGCTTGGCTGCTCTCAGGAGTTGGCTCAATCATCGCCACTTAGCATCACAAGTTTCCAGACCCAGACATATTTGCAATGCATAGATTGCTGCACCGCGCTGCCGTCGACGGAGACGCGCGACATTATGGAGTTCTCAAATGTTACATTCTCAACTGTAGTTACATGAAAATTGTAATGCAAGAATGGCAAAAGTGGAAGGGAAAAGATTCCGCGTTTTGCATTACAGGTTTGGAGCAGATTATAATGCTATCTAGTGAGTCGAGAACTTGTCATGCAAAACAGCTTGGTCATGTAGATGTTGTTGCCAATTTTGCATGACAAATTTATGTAACAGTTGAGAGTGTAACGTTTGGGAATCCCATAGACATGGCGACCAACGGGTTACTCCGGATAAACTTCACCTATTGGGACCGGCACTGCTGCGCGTGCGGGCCGCACCCGGGGGTGGCGGAACAGGTACAGGATCAGCACTGCCCGGAGGAGGTCATTCAAGCGGCCATTGTGAACTGCGGGGGGAATCCAGTAATTGAGCTAAAGCAGGAACCTGAGCAACTAGAGAAAATAAACGAGGAGCCCGGTCGCGTTCTCGACATCCGAAAGGAACTAATCGACATTTGGGACGAGTACCTTGGCCAGGACGGGATGCTCTTTCACTGCTGGGTCACCATCACCTACGACGGTGATGGCCGGCCGCAGAAAAACCGCCACTTTCGCCGTTGGATCGCGTTGGCGTTGACCCCGGAGCAGAGCGCGCTGCTGGCGGGGGAACCCCACATCAGCGGGGACGTGGAGGTGGATTTGTGTTGCGGTGGGGTCAACGAACTAGCGCTGAGTATGCACCCGCCCAATGGCATGCTGTTCTGAGTTCTCCTTTGGGGATGGGGGGTGAATAAATCCGAAAAATAACAAGAATACCGGACTGCAATATGAAAAAGAAAATGAATAAAATTGAGCAGAAGCATAAGGATAAGCGTGATAGGCACGCACTACGATTAGAATAGTACGCGCTGCCATGATACATCATAGCCATCTTGTTTTTTCTTGTGGAAAATGAACTACCGTGGACAATTTTTTTTTTTTTGACATTGAATACACAGGGGATTGACACATATATGTAATTTTTTTTCCGCAGACAGCTCTACTGTTGCGAGCAGTTTTCTGGTTTTTTTCGAAAACGTCGTTTCTAGTCTGTGCGAACCATTTAGATATTCACACTCGTTCTCACTTGATAGCTCTACCTTTTCTTGTATGAATTGCGCAGATAGAGATGAACCACAATAACAATATAAGTAGAAGCCGCACTCCAATTTTTTCGCAAGGCACATAATTCTTTCGTTTCTCTTTATTGTCGTCAACAAGAAGTAATTCTGCTTTTGTACTTGGATTTGTTTCACTTACTTTTGGGAATTTTTGTGCCTGAGGAGACGTTTTTTCAGGTTGCATGATCCCGAAATTGTAGCACGAAAAGAAGCAGAAGCAAAGCGCACTGGTTGATGTTGAATCAAGAAAAGCTGCGAATGACAACGAACAAAAGGAAAAGTGCTACGGTTATTTCACCTTGGTTTCGCTGCAGAGATGAGAAGCAAGAGCAAGATTTGTCCGCTTTCGTTTGATCCGGAAGCCAAGAACAATCTGCTCGACCATGATGCAGATCGGGAACAAGCCTGAGACAAGTCCATAGACAGATGCAGATACTACATCTCGTAGAACATAACGACGACGAGCAAAAGATCAAAGACGAGCCGCAACGTGAAAAAGGTCTAGTAGGATGGTATATTGTGACAGTTACTGGCAAGTAAGAAGCCCGCTCGTTGCGATCCGCCTTGTGTCTTATCGTGTATCGGAGTCGTGTGTTGCAAAAACAAAAAAGATCTACGTAGTCTCCAGTAGTGGCATATTGTCGTGACGGTGAAGATGAAGATCTAGTGTTAATGCGCAACTCGTCATCAAAGAGAAGAAGAAGAGCAAAAGCAACAGATTTCTATAAGTACTTCTGCTTCTGGTAGTTCGGTTAAACGAAAACAATCGAAGTCGAACGCACATATTTGGCGGTCATTGATTCATGGTCGTGTCATCTGGTCGACCCGTCCTCTGTCATCGTGAACATTGAAGACTACAGCGGAGCCTCTAGTGTTTTGACGTACTAGATAAGCTTGTGCATGATTCGGCAAGATACTCTTGTTGCCCGCTTTTTCTACTTCTGCCTTACCAATAAAAATGAAATTTTGAATTTTCGCGGATGCTTTCCCTTTCTTGCCCTCAAGTCCCGACCCGTATTCTTCACTTTTACATACAGATACAAAACACAAACATCCACAGAGAGCTGAAGATGCAGAAGCACGAAGATCAGCAGCTCGGCTCCAACAACAATGACGGTGGTCCGGATGCTGGAAGCGGCTCGGGCGGTAACGGTGAGGGGGATGATGATGGCGGGGACCACAACAATGATCCGAATCACGAAGGTTCCATGGAGGACGAGGACCACGATGGCATGGTCGACCCAGATCAGTTTGTGCACAACGATCGCGACGACTCGCCCACCTTGGATCACGATGGCAAGATGAACCGCCTGGCGGGAAGTGACGGTCATGGCCGCGAAGTTGTGGATCATTATTCACCCTCGCGACATCCGAAAGGAACTAATCGACATTTGGGACGAGTACCTTGGCCCGGACGGGATGCTCTTTCACAATGTGCAACAAAAAAATATCGGCAGTGTGTTTCAACGACATACACCGGGCGATTGCGCAACACGGCCTGAAAATAGGTCGGATCTTCTGGAAAGGAGTAAGGCTGCAGGTGAAAAGCCTGGATGCAGTCTGGAAAGATCACAGCATGCCGGACGTGAAGAAGCTCACGAACGCAGAAGAAGACGATGCGAGGAGAAGCATCGCAGCACACCAGGAAATCACGATCAGGTCGATGCTCAGGTCATCGACAAAGCGCCTCGTAACAACTACGGATGGCACGGTGGACAAGGAGAACAACATTGCAGCGGGTGCTGGAGCAACGTGGTGGCACGAAGAAGTGCGTAGGGAAGACGGGGGCTTTCACGATCTGTCGAAATTTCCAATGCCAGTAGTGTCAAGCTATTGCTACGTAGCAGCTCCGTCGCAGCTGCATGACATCCTGCGAGTGGACTCCTACGACGCAGAAGGGCGTGGCTTCGTACATCAACTGCGGAAGTTGAAGAAGTGGCTGCAGGAATTTGGGGCGAAGGAGTTCGTGCGAGAATTCTACTTCTACCTGGATAGTAATTCCTTCTGCCAGTCCCTGGAATGCTTTGGGGACAAAACAAATCCACTCGCCATAGAAGCAATGCTACTGCTGGAAGAAATCCGAGCGCTCTGCCTCGGAAAAGAGGGACCAGAACCGGAAGGGGAGGTGTATTTTTTCTGCACCTACACGCCAGCACACTGCTCGATGTATTTCAACGACAAGGTCGATTTCGAAGCAGCAGCTGCAGTACAAAGATGGAAAGATGGGGCCCGACCGGACACCGAGGGCGGGGTGAGTTGCCAATACGTGAAGATGCTTACGCCGCCGGTGGTTAGGAATATCATCGCCAAAAAACTGCTGAGCGAGGAATTCGACCGGTGTAAATCCGTAGCGCCCTACATGCTGCAGAGGAGATGGGAACTAGGACCATTCCGACCACCGCGGAACGCGTTACCGAGCAGAGAAGGCGAGACGCTCATGTTCTGGATATACTTGGGGATCGCTCCGAAGGGTCAATTGGGGTGCGGGGACATCGAGTATCAAAATACGAAGTTGTGCAGTATGGTGATGATGCAGCAGTACTAATTGACCAAGATCGAAATGTTGGTCACCGACAGGGTCTCGTGACTGCTGACATCTTCAGACGCATTGCAGAACAGCAGGGACTCCGGGCAGACGCGACAATGGAGACTCGCTATCTAGGGATCACAGCCACGGACATGCAGAATGCATACAACAACTTGCCACAGCATCTCCATCAAATTGCGCAGATGCAGAACAACGACAACGAGCAAGAGGTGGAGGAGGACGAAGAGGAGGAGGAGGATGAGGAGGGTCAGCAGGCGGAACAAGGACGGAGAAAGAAGCGAGGACTTTTAAGAAAAGGCGGGGCACGGGTGAGAAACATCTAACAAGATAGGGCGACTTATAACAGAAACGGGATTGATTGTGAAGGAAAAAAGAAGGAAAATAAAGACGGCGGAAGAATACCGGAGAACAGTGTTCGGTAATGAAATTTCACGAGGCGGATCGGGCACCGGGCTAATGTTGATTGTGCCTGAGCGACAATCAGGATAGGATCTTTTTTCACTTTTGAAGAACACTAAAAGGAGGATCTATAAGTCCTGCACGAGGATCTTCTTTGTTTGCTTTCTTCACTGGGATCTAGTTCTTCTGCCATCAGCATTCCTCTCATTCTATGCACCTTGCTCTTTTGCATTAGTCCTCGCTCTCGCTCTTGATCTTTTCCGATCTTGTAATGCACAACCACTGGTCCCTGGTGAGATCTATTGACATATACGGTCTACAGTAGAAGAGCAACCTGTAATGCATATTTCGAAAAATAAACAAAAGTGAAAAAAGAAAAATGACATGGCCGAGGAAAAGGGAGGTATTCAAGATCGCTATTGGTAATTTTAATCCGTTCCTTTTTGTCTAAGACATTTTCTAGAAGTAATAAGGTAGAAATAGCAACAGATAAGAGAAGATAATCACTTGAGACTCGGGTCGACATTTGGGACGAGTACCTTGGCCCGGGCGGGATGCTCTTTCACAATGTGCAACAAAAACACCTGAACTGTCTCCTCCCCGGCGGATACGTACTGGGGCAGGTTTTGAATCTCGGGCGGGACCCCAAGACGAAAGCAGTGACCAACGGGTTTTTCTGGGTGCAGCCGCTCCGCGCGACGAGAATCGGGGAGTGGAGATCGGAGCGGACTGAACGGTATGGCGTGCTCAGACGTATACAATCTCAAGTGTTCTTACAATTGAAACAAGGTAAATCTGTCATGCAAAAAGTGCAGCATCTAGGTTAGGTAGCCTACTGTCACAGAATTGCGCATGACAAGTTCAGAAGCTCCAATCCCGATGAGACTCTGGCGAAATTTGTATTGCGAAAACCGCAAAGCTCTGCATCCATGTTCCTCATGCTCTCTATGCAACACAAAGACAAAATCCACCAGTGACTCTATTGTAACGTTTGAGATTGGTCACACCTGAGCAGGTCATAGGGAGGACAAGGAACTTCTGAAACGACTCCAGGCACTACTAGCTACTTTCCCCCGGCTGTGGCGGCCGTGCAGTTGCGGTCGTCTGCCTTGACCGCAAGCAGCAGCGATGGCGGCAAGGGCAAGATGGGAACTGGTAGTTCGATGAAGAGAACAGGACGGGGAGGAGGCAGCGGCGGGAAAGGTGGCGGCAGAAGTCCGGCGTCTCGTCATAGATTCACGTCGCCCGTGGGACGCGGGAATGGTGAAAACGCAACTGGAGGACCGATTGCGATTTCCATCAGCGACAGCCTGTCTCGCGGCGAGAGTCGTGGCAGCATACCAATTGCAAAAAGGGCGGGATCTCGTGGGGGTGCTTTCCCCGACAGCGCCCGGGGACGGTTACGAGGCAGTGGCGGTAAAGGTGGCGGCAAGAACGATGTTGCTCCCAGAATGATAGAGATCACAAAACAAATAGGCGACTGCGCTAAGGCAGGCAACGTTACGGGCGCAGAACGTGTCTTCAACAGCATGCAAGCCGAAGGCCTGGAGCCGGATGTCCGCGCTTACTGCGTTACAACCGGAAGAGCCGTTTGGAAAACCGACTGCGTGATTGCTGCGGTTTTACACGCTAGCAACCTGAATAAAGCACAAACATAAGGCGGGCGCCGGGGATCGATTTCGCCGCATGGAGGCGCCTACTTTTGCAAGATCGTCTTGGCAACCAAAAGGGTTCGGGCTCTGGGCGCGATTTTATTGATAGATGGGCCACAGGAATTGACTTCCAAACGAGCCAAATGGTTTGGACCAGAAAAATAGTCCCAGGCAAGGGGGTTGATGCGGTGTGGCTATAATCCACCCTATTCGCAGGGCTTCCGCCTACGGAGAACCAACCTGACTGAAGACGACGGTTGCTTCGTCCCTGATCTGGGGAAAGCTGGCCCGCCGGTCGTTGGGCTGGTGACAATAGGACGAGCCAGGCAACTGGTCGGGTTGGTTGGCCGTAGGACTACTCCCCGCCACGCGCGGCGCACCCGGAGGCCTGTCTCCCACCGTGTTTCCGGGGCTTTTCCTTGCCCCGTTCGTGCGCCATCTCAAAGGCAAACCGGGGACCCGGGAACGGCCTTCCGCGGGATTATTCCAGGAAACGAAAAAGGCGACAAAAAAAAAAGCCAAAAAAACCCAGCGTTAGCCCCGCGCCGTTTTTATCTTGCGGGCGCCTTTTTGTAAAAACGCAGCAAACACGCAGACGCCAGAAAAATGCCGGAATCTCCGGATACAGTTGCGGCGTTTTTAGGCAAATTGCCCAAAATCACATAATCGACATTTGGGACGAGTACCTTGGCCCGGGCGGGATGCTCTTTCACAATGTGTTGTTGCACAGACATCATGGCCCATGCAAAACATGCATGACAAATCTCGCAATCTTCCAGACCCAGACATTTTTACGTTTGATACGCCGGTGCATTTGACGATGTGAACGACATGGACCTCTCGGGTGCGGAGGATGAGGACCTCTTGCCCGGAGGGGTCGAGCAGGGTCCCCGCGCGGAATCCGAAACGGCGGTACTGAATCTGGACAAGATCCATTATCCTGAGTAAAAACGTCCCTACCCCAGAGTTGTCATGCAATTCTGCATGCTGAAGATGTTTCTCATGCGGAGCTCCATGACAAGCATTTACTAGTCGCGTTTCGGAGTTTGTCATGCTCCAATCAGCATGCTGCGCTAGATCTGTGATGCTGCTGCACTAGCTAAACAGGACCACACTACGAGGACAAACTTGTCATGCGAAACAACCACAGCTGGCTGATTTGTCTAGCAGATTGCCCATCTGGACTCTGGTGTGGGGACGTTTTTCCTCGCAATATCCATCCCAATCCGTTTATCAAGAACCGGGACCGCCTCTGCGACGCCATCATCAACTCGCTGAAGGCGATATCAAATGTAAAAATGTCTGGGTCTAGAAGAATCCGAACTTGTGACGCTGTCTCTGGATTCTGAAAAAAATTGTATTGCATGACCAGCAAGAGGGTCCAGTTTGTGCTACGCGGAGAGGGCATTTCTCATGCGGAAGGTGCATCAGGAAGCCCTCTAAAAGTCTGCGATGCTAGGTCATGCATTACAGGGATCATGGGTCATGAGAAATATGCATGACAAATCTCGCATTCTTCCAGACCCGGACATTTTTGCATTTGATAGGCGACGTTGCCGCGCGGCGCGGGGAGGGTGAACCGGCACAGCATTTATGCATTGCAAAAATGTCTGGGTCTGGAAGGTTGGAACTTGTGATGCTAACTCTGGACTGCCCTTAGACCTCCGATGTGATGCTAACTCTGGACTCTAAAGAAATCTGCATTGCATGACCAGCAAGAGGAGTCCAGTTTGTGCTACGCGGGGAGGGCATTTGTCATGCGGAGTAGGCATCAGGAAGCCCCCTAAAAATCTGTGATGCTAGGTCGTGCATTACAGACATCCTGGGTCATGTAAAATCTGCACGACAGGGCTTGTATTCTTCCAGACGCAGACATATTTGCAATGCATAGCGTTCGGGAAACAGACAAGGACTTGGGGCAGAATGACTCCGCAAACACCTGGGTCGGAAAAGGGATCTTCATATCCTGTGTAAAAACGTCCCCACACCATAGTTGTCATGCAACTCTGCATGCTTAAAATGTTTCTCATGCGGAGCCCCATGAGAAGCATTTTCTAATGCGGTTTGGAAATCTGTAATGCGCCAATCAGCATGAGATACTAGATCTGTAATGCTGCTTAGCTGGCTCAAACAGCACTACACTACGCGTCCAAATTTGTCATGCGAAACAGCCAAATCTTATGGATTTGTCTAGCGGATTTCCCATCTTGACTCTGGTGTGGGGACATTTTTACTCAGGATACTTCATATCCGCGGAGGAGAAAAAGGAACTGCTGCGGCCGGAAAGGCTATCAAATGCAAAAATGTCTGGGTCTGGAAAAGTGCAAGTTTGTCATGCTTGTCTGGCATGACTCGGGAATCTGTGTTGCATAGGCACGAAAAGGCCCGCTTACCTGTCATACAAAAACAGAGTTTGCCATGCGGAATACGTAAGACATGGCAGCCAAAAAAATTGTCATGCATAGCTGCGTATTGCAGTGCGTCTATCTGTAACTTTTAGCATTACAAGTTTCCAGACCCAGATATTTTTGCAATCCATAAAGGCGAAATCAGTACAACCCGAAACGGCCGGACGAGTTTTTTCGGATGCACCCGACTCTGTGGCTAGATACGCTGGAACGCGTGCCGGTGCGAAAGGAAAACCATTTAGGGGAGGAATTTAGCCTAGCGTTCCATTCGGACCCGGTGTACGACTTACTCGACAGCCACAGCGAGGGGGAGTCGGAGTCGATCTATCCTGAGTAAAAACGTACCCACACCAGAGTCAGGATGAGGATTTTGCAACACAAACCTAGGAGTTTTGTGAGTCACGCATGACAAGTCGCACTATGCAGTGTAGTGCAGGTTAGCAAGTGCAGCCGCGTCACAGATTCATCTGCTGATCCTGTTCACAGCATCACAAATTCCAAAACACGATTGGAAATCTGCTGAATCGACATTTGGGACGAGTACCTTGGCCCGGGCGGGATGCTCTTTCACAATGTGCAACAAAAGCACCTGAATACCGGGGCCTGCTGTCTGTGCCCGATTCTGACGCTTTATTTTCTCCTTTCATTTTTCACGTTTGGCCTGTGTTGCCAGGCCTGCCAGATTCGGAACAAGGCGGTGAAAAGGTGGGACGCTGATTTTATGCTCTGCAAAAGTATCGTACTCGTATAAATGCATTTACAAATTTCCTCAGCATGAGAAAGAAAATTTGCGATGCTGATTGACCTTGAGAAAAAGGTTTGTAATGCATGACTGCAATACGAGTGCGATGCTTTTGCACAGGATAGATCTGCGCAAGTGGCAATTTGAGTTCAACAAAGCGCTGGCGCCGTTCGGTATGTTTGTGAAGACGCAGACCCACTGCTGGATCACGATCTCCTACGACGCCGATGGCCGGCCTTCGAAAAACCGGCATTTCAGGCGTTGGATCGCCCTGGCGTTGACCCCGGAACAGAGTGCCCGATTGGTGATGGAGCCACACATTACCGGAGATGTGGAAATTGACTACTGCTGCCGGGGAGTCAATGAGTTGGAACTCAGTATGCACCCGCCACAAGGAATGTACTACTAAGCTAGTCCTTATTTTTCAGGAGTAAGAAGTATCCGCGTCGTGTTTTTAGATGTGCACCCACTAAAATTTCGCACGCTTCCTTGCAGGAGTTGTGTGCGTCTAAGTGCCTACAACTGTATTCCTCAAGGCAAAAATAATAAGATCGCCGGTTGCGGCGCTATTTTGATGAAGCGCGATAGTTGTATCTTTATCATATCCACAGACGTTTTGACTGTGCTGAGTCCTCTTGGGGGATTCTGTCATTGTGCAATGCGGTGAAGGGACTGCGACACCACTACAGCCCGTCTGATTATCTTGGTTTTGTTAGGAAGGCAGCCTTAGCAGCATCGCAACTTCAGCACTATTTTGGTCCTTTGTTGTGGATGCAAACCGATTTCTATTGCAAGTATGCAAGTAGATACGGTAGATCTATGTTGGAATAAATCATGACTTAAGAAGCCTTTACCTTCCTGTTCCTCTTTTGGCTCGCCCAAGTTCTCTCATCTTTTGGTTGTGGCCACAGCAGAGCAGGATATCTTGATTACTAGCACTGAATTGACGTCGACGAGCTCTGGCTCATCCCATTTTGTCCTCGGGATGGCTCGTGGCCGATCAGATATTTTATTTTCTTTACCGCAGACAATTCCCCTCCGATTACGGCGAGGGCGACCCACCTGCAATCGCTAACTCTGCGCTGAATGCACAATGCAAGGAGCAACATGCTCCCAGGCCGTCGCACGTATCGAAAAACTAACCGTGGTGTAACGAATCAACTCAAAGTAGCTTTAGAGCGAACGACGCGTAAAAATCCATGCTGCCATCAGCATTAACATCGAACGTGATTTCGCTGGTCGTGCGTGTCTTCAAAACGCCGGCCCAAGCGATTGCGAGGTCTAAGTGCGACCTTGAAAGCCCAAACGATGTCTACAGGATCTGCATAGATCCACAACACTTACGGTACGTGATAATCAATACAACATCGTTGATGAGCCTGAGCATTCGGTGTTTTTCTAAGTGTTGTCCACTTTCTAAAAATGTTGCTCGCAGAGATCGCTTACGCACACGACGGACAGCACAGACGGGATCATGGCGCCTGTTGATCGAAATGAAAATCAATCCGACACAGACGGGATCATGGCACCTGTTGATCGAAATGAAAATCAATCCATCCGTCAGGGTCGGCTCACAGATCTTGATAAGTAGAGCCTTGCAACTCGGTGCACGTACGCGAGGACTATTCTTGGAGGAAAGAAGTGTGAAGTGAACCGCAGTTGATCTTGGCGTTTATCAAATGAAATATAAACACCAACACGACTGGGTACAGGTACAACTAGAGGTTTGAAAAAAGTAGAAGTAGTTTTCCGATTTTATATCCTTAGCAGCTAACAAATTATTACTAACGTATTTTATCAAACCAGCAACCTTCATCGTATAGTCTTTTGGTCACAGCCAGCATCTGGCCACTTGCAACCGCCTCGGGTAAGATTTCAAAATCGGTCGTATTTTGCATATATAAAAACAAAAAGTAGACTCGTCATCTCGTCCTCTCCTACATTCCTTGCTGCCAGTGCAAAAGAGAAACAGCACCAGTATAGAAGTCGAGTGCCGTCAGTGCCGTTCATCACAATTATTTCTGTTTTCATCATTTTTCATATTCGTTTATTTGACAGGCCATTCCGTATCGCTCTCAAATCACTTTTCCAAAAAATGACCCGCAGTTTCTTTCGTCGCGTCCCTGCCACTTCCGTCAGTGGAGCTTGCGTGTTTGTCTACTTGTGCGGAGCACTACTTTCCGCAGCGCTGCTGGGAGTATGGCGTGCTCAGACGTATACAATCTCAAGTGTTCTTACAATTGAAACAAGGTAAATCTGTCATGCAAAAAGTGCAGCATCTAGGTTAGGTAGCCTACTGTCACAGAATTGCGCATGACAAGTTCAGAAGCTCCAATCCCGATGAGACTCTGGCGAAATTTGTATTGCGAAAACCGCAAAGCTCTGCATCCATGTTCCTCATGCTCTCTATGCAACACAAAGACAAAATCCACCAGTGACTCTATTGTAACGTTTGAGATTGGTCACACCTGAGCAGGTCATAGGGAGGACAAGGAACTTCTGAAACGACTCCAGGCACTACTAGCTACTTTCCCCCGGCTGTGGCGGCCGTGCAGTTGCGGTCGTCTGCCTTGACCGCAAGCAGCAGCGATGGCGGCAAGGGCAAGATGGGAACTGGTAGTTCGATGAAGAGAACAGGACGGGGAGGAGGCAGCGGCGGGAAAGGTGGCGGCAGAAGTCCGGCGTCTCGTCATAGATTCACGTCGCCCGTGGGACGCGGGAATGGTGAAAACGCAACTGGAGGACCGATTGCGATTTCCATCAGCGACAGCCTGTCTCGCGGCGAGAGTCGTGGCAGCATACCAATTGCAAAAAGGGCGGGATCTCGTGGGGGTGCTTTCCCCGACAGCCCCCGGGGACGGTTACGAGGCAGTGGCGGTAAAGGTGGCGGCAAGAACGATGTTGCTCCCAGAATGATAGAGATCACAAAACAAATAGGCGACTGCGCTAAGGCAGGCAACGTTACGGGCGCAGAACGTGTCTTCAACAGCATGCAAGCCGAAGGCCTGGAGCCGGATGTCCGCGCTTACTGCGCGCTCATGCGCGCGTACGCAAAACGTGGCGACGGCCCGGGCGCCGGACAGGTTCTTGGCCGAATGATGGACGCAGGCTTGAAACCGGACGTCGTTAGCTACAATATCCTGATTGGCGCTTACGCTAGGAATGGCAATGCTCAGGGTGCAGAAAATGCTTTGAAAGCAATTGAAGTCGCAGGCCTAGAGCCGAACGCCCTCAGCTACAGCACGGTTATAGATGCTTACGCTGAGAGTGGCGATGCTGAGGACGCGGAGAGTGTTTGGCAAAGGATGAGAGACGCGGGCGTGAAGCCCAACGGCGTCAGCTACACTGCCTTGATGACTGCTTACGCTAAATGTGGCGATGCTTGGCGCGCAGAGGATGCTCTGGAAACGATGGCGCACGCGGGCCTGGCGCCGGGCGTCTTCTTCTACAACTTGCTCATGCGCGCGTACGCGAAATATGGCGACGCTCCGGGCGCCGAAAAGGTTCTTGATCGAATGATGGACGCAGGCTTGGAGCCGAACATCTTCAGCTACAACGCCCTGCTGGACGCTTACGCGAAAGGTGGCAACGCTGAGGGCGCAGAGGATACTCTGAAAAGGATCGAGCGCGTCGACTTAAGGGCGGACGTCTTCACCTATACCGCGCTAGTTGACGCGTACGCTGTGAAAGGCGACGCCGCGGGCGCTTGGCGTGCTTTTCAAAGGATGAAGGACGCAGGCGTGGCGCCGGATGTCGTCACCTACAACACTCTGATGAAAGCGCACATAAAAGCGGGCGGCGCGAAGGGCGACGCCGACATCGTTCGCAAGGGCATCGATGACGTCTTGGCCTTGATGTCTGAGGACGAAAAGTTGGTGGAAGGGCCTGACGAAGATACCCTCGGTCTGATGTTGGGGTATTATTCGAAGACGGGCAGGGAAGAGCAGGCCAGACAAGTTCTTGCACTTCGTGAAGCGCGACTTCTCCAACAAAATGTGTAGGGCAAATGAATGACCACTGAAATTCATTGAATGAATGTGATCTATGTCGTGTAAACCTTTAGTAGTGAAAGCGCTTCCCGTTTTCTCCTTCAGACCTGGACTGATTTCATGTAAATGGAGCTTGGCATGACAAATTTAAATTTTCATATTTTCGCTTTCAGTTTTAAGTATCCAACTCCAAGGATACTCAATTCCTAGCACCGTAGTCTTCTTCTAGAATGCAGCTACATTACAATCGAGTCAAGAAAACCCTCTGTCGTTTTCAACCAATTGCAAATTTTATTTATGGCGCTACGCTTTTTCTTTTACCAAAGCCAAAGCGATTTTAGGTTACCCCTACGCTTTTTACCCCTATGCTTTTAGGTTACTTGTTTGCCAAGAACAGTTATGGTCGTACGAGGGCGCACCAAGCACGCACGTACAGCAGAACGGTCAACGGGATCGGCCCCCAGTAGTCAGAAAAGCAAAAAAATCACAAAAGCCGGAAAATTTTCGCGCTTTTAAGTTTTCGCAGGGTTTTTGCAGTTCTTGCAGCCGCTCGCTGGTGCGTTTTCTTTTTCTGGTTGTGTGTCTTGGGTTTGTGGGTTGGGCGGGAAAAGCAGGCTTGGGCGCAAGGGATTGGAGTGGGGCCGGCAGAGGGAGCCCATGTTGCCGGTGTCCTGCTTCGGGATGGGAGGGGGATGTTGGGTGGGAACGTTTTGGGTGGGCGAGTGGCCAATTAATTCTGCGACAAAAAATCGCCTTTGTTGCGACAAAAAATCTGAAATAATTAAAAAAAATCGGCTTTCGGCCGTGGTTTTTTTTTTCTTAGGGATTTCAGGAAGAACCCGAAAAATGTCGCACCCGTGTCGCACCGGTGTCGCACCCGTGTCGCACTCATGTCGCAAAGAAAGCAATTTTTTGGCGCAAGTTTATTCGTTGTTTTTCTTTTTTTTCGGTGAAGTTGTGTTTGCCCGAACAAAAGTTGCGCGCTCGATTTCATGTGGCGCAGTTCTTCGAAAACCCCGGAGCCCACAGGTCCGCAGCCTGTTGACAAAGCCCCGGCGTTATTTTAGGGCCGACAGATTTCCTATCGAGCGAGCCCCGGCGGAGTGGTTTGGCACAATAGGGCGGCAGTGCAAAATTTTTTTTTTTCGTTTTTCTTTTGGGATTCGTGATTTTTTTATTTCCGGGCCCATTGGGGCCCGATCCCGTTGAGAACGGCAAGAATAACGCGCGCGCGAGCAAAACTGAGCAGAGCTGCAGAGTGTTTCTTCTAGTTGAATGGTGCAAATCCATGCTGCCATCAGCATTAACATCGAACGTGATTTCGTTGGTCGTGCGTGTCTTCAAAACGCCGGCCCAAGCGATTGCGAGGTCTAAGCACGACCTTGAAAGCCCAAACGATGTCTACAAGATCTGCATAGATCCACAACACTTACGGTACGTGATAATACATCGTTGATGAGCCTGATCATTCGGTGTTTTTCTAAGGTGTTGTCCACTTTCTAAAAATTTTGCCTGCGCCAAAGATCGCTTACGCACACGACGGACACAGACGGGATCATGGCACCTGTTGATCTTTACCTCCTGACAGATCGAAATAAAAATCAATTCATCCGTGAACTACGTTGGCTCACCGATCTTGAAAGGAGCCTTGCAACTCGGTGCTCGTACGTGAGGACTAGTATTCTTGGAGGAAAGAAGTGTGAAGTGAGCCGCAGTTGATCTTGGCGTTTATAAAATGAAAGATAAACACGACAAGGTACATGTACAGTGTGGAGGTTTGAAAAAAAGTAGAACTAGTTTTCCGAAGATTTTATATCCTCAGCACCTAAAGAACCAACGCAACGTATTATTAAACCTGCAATCTTCATCGAATACAGTTTATTTTCCGGTCAGAGCCAGCTGCTGGCCCCCTCGAATTTAAGATTTCAAAACAAGTAGTCGTATTTCGCACCAGAACATTCAAAACAGTAGGATAACGCGTTTATCTTCTTTTCTACCGTGTGGCCTTTTTTTTTTCGAAAATGGCATTTTTTCATCCGTCCCGCCGCTCCCGCAACAGGCATCTTGTCGTTTAACCGCCCGTCATGGCGGTCCAGCAGACCATGCCCACCGCGCCGATTATGAACTGCAAAAGTATCGTACTCGTATAAATGCATTACAAATTTCCTCAGCATGAGAAATAAAATTTGTAATGCTGATTTGCCTTAACAAAGGGATTTGCAATGCATGATTTCCATACGAGTACGAATACGATACTTTTGCACAGGATACCGATCCCCCGGCGGCGAATTCATGGCAAACAGGACGACGTGTGTTGCGCCAGTTGCGACCATATGGATTGCAAAAATGTCTGGGTCTGGAAACTTGTGATGCTGGGTAGCGTATCATGAAGAGGCCACAAGTGCTGGCGTAGCATGACAAGCTTTTGAGCTTCTAGGTGTTGCCTATTCTGCATGGCAACCTGTGTTTCATCTGCATGGCAGCAAAATGGGGCTCTTGGGTAACGTGCGTGACAGATTTAAGAGTCTTGCCAGACAAGCATGAGAAACATGCACTCTTCCAGACCCAGACACTTTTGCATTTGATAGACCAGTGGACCGCCCTCCCGTCCACGGAAATGCGCGACGTGAGCACCAACAGCATTTTGCGCATCAATTTCGCCTACTGGGACCGGCACTGCTGCTATCAAATGTAAAAATGTCTGGATCTGGAAGAATGCAACTTGTGATGCTAACTTTGGACTCTAAAAAAATCTGTATTGCATGACCAGCAATAGGAGCCCAGTTTGTGCTACGCGGCGAGGGCATTTGTCATGCGGGATAGGCATCAGGAAGGCCTCTAAAAATATGCGATGCCAGATCATGCATTACAGACATCCTGAGTCATGTAAAATATGCATGACAAACCTGGTAACCTTCCAGACCCAGACATTTTTACATTTGATAGCTGCACCTGCGGCCCCCACCCGGGAGTCACCGAGCAGGACCAACATTGTCCAGAGGAGGTGATTCAAGCCGCCATTGTGAACTGCGGGGGGAATAAAGTGGTTGAGTTGAAAGAAGAAGTAAAGAAATCTGAGGACTCATCTTCCGGCGACTCAACCTGCTCAAGTGACACGGAGGACGAGGACCATCACGATGTCGAAGTTGTTCTTTCGTCGTCCGGGCGCGTGGTCGATATCAGGGAAGAACTGATTGCAATCTAGGACGAATTTCTCGGCCCCGATGGAAAGCTCCTCCACGACGTGCAGGAAAAGCACCTTTCTACCGGCGCCTGTTGCATGTGCCCGCTTGTGCAATTATACGCCCTGCTGTTGTGTTTCACTTGCTGCCTGGCCTGGCGGATCCGGGCAAACAAGGTAAAGCAATGGGATAAAGACCTACGGAAGTGGCAATTCGATTTCAACCAGGCGCTTGCCCCGTTCGGCCTGTTCGCGAAGACCCAAACCTTCGCCTGGATGACACTTTACACAGACGGCGACGGCCAGTTGCAAAGGGGACGGATTACCAGGCGCTGGATTGCATTGGCCTTAACCCCGGAGCAGAGTCAGAGGCTGGCAATGGAGCCGCACATCAGTGGGGACGTGGCAATTGGCACCTGGTGTAGCGGGTTGAATGAATTGGAGCTCTGTATGCACCCGCCACAGGGGATGTATTGCTGAGCTCGTCAATAGAATTTTTTGCGTCAGCCCCTTCAGAGAATATCCGGGCGGGAAGATTTATCATGTATGATTTGTTTACTGCCTCGCTATCGCTTTCGAGCCCTCCTCGTCGAGCGGTCAATCAAAATTTTCAAAATCATAACTATGTTGGGCAAAATTCAATAGCGGGTAGGTGCCCGTGCCACTACAAGTATAGAATTTAGAACGAAGAACAGTTGTTGTACAGATGTGGAGGATGACGTGTACAGCATTGGATGTGGGTTTCTTGGTACAACCATCGACGTCTGCTACTAAGTACGACGTAGTTGTGCGTATGCCTTCTATGTGGAAAAAGAGGCTAGCAGAGCCATCTACGATAGCAAGGAGATTTTCGAGAACTTGTGAAACTCCCAGTCTTTTGTGCATGAAGATTGTTCTAGTTCCGCACGACCCAGCGGATCATGTTGCTTGCTCCAAAGGCACCAGTTGGCAGCTCGACAGGAGTTAGTATGATGAAGATGATCTTTCCGATACACGTCGATCAAGATCACTTTATTTCTCGCAGATCGACGATGAGCTCAAGCCGATGACATCATTAGCTCGACGAACGTTTCTTTGAGGAAGAAAGGATGACTATCTATCAACGAAGCGGGAGGACACATGATCTTAAAAATCTGTGGCGCTACAAAACTCCTTAACAAGACAGTGCCGGTAGTTGACCCGACTTCATAAGTGTTTTTTGGTCGAGAGAGAGGGAAATTGCAGTATTTTTTTCGCCAAGTAAGAACTACTTTAAGCCTAAGCAAGCCGAAACTCTACGTCCTGCTCCTGTCCATCTTTTCAGGCACATCTTATTCGCTGTAGAAGTAACTTGTCCAATATGCCCAACATGACCAGGACGATGGTGCCCGAGGACGCACGCCGCGAGCAGGAGGCGGCAAATGCCGGGAAAAAGATCAAGGAAAGCTACAACGGGGACGGGTACTAGGACGACTTTGCTTTTTGCTACGGCTACATATTTATGCAATACAAATTTAGCCATAGCCTCTATGACTGGACGTACAAAATGCATGATACAACTGAACTGAAAAAAATAAATGATTTCCAACTACCGTTCATAATCAAATTCAACCCAGCACGACCGTGTCCGGCGAATACCACGTGCCTGATGACGAAAAAACCGGCAGCGGTGGTTATTCCATCTCTCCGAACACGTATCCGATTCTGGTCCAGCCGCCCATTATTGCGGTCCAGCAGACTATCCCGACGGCGCCCATCCCCCGCCCGAAAATTCATGGAAAAGAGGACGACGTCTGCTGTGCTTGCGTGGATCACTGCACGGCAGTCCCTTCGACCGAGACGCGGGATATAAGCACCAACAGCATTTTGCGCATCAATTTTACCTACTGGGACCGGCACTGGTGCACCTGCGGCCCGCACCCGGGCGTCGCGGAGCAGGATCAGCGCTGCCCGGAGGAGGTCATTCAAGCGGCGATTGTGAACTGCGGGGGGAAGCCGGTGATCGAGTTGAAAGGGAACGCTGGAAACCACAACCAGCCCGGACGGCTGATTGACGTGCGAAAGGAGTTGTCGCAGATTTGGCACGCCTTTTTGGGACCCGAAGGGAATCTGTACCGCCATGTGCAGCAGAAGCATTTGGACACCGGCACGGTCTGCATGTTCCCGATTGTCTTTCTCTACACACTCCTGCTGGTTCTCACCTGCGGCTTGTGTTGCCAGTCGTGCAAGATTAAAAACAAACGGGTAAAAGCGTGGGATCAGGACTTACGGAAGTGGCAGCTGGAATTCAATAAAGCCATTTCCCCCTTTGGGCTCTTCGTGAAGACCCAAACCCACTGCTGGGTGACCATCTCCTATGACGGTGATGGCCGGCCGCAGAAAAACCGCCATTTTCGCCGTTGGATCGCGTTGGCGTTGACCCCGGAGCAGAGCGCGCTGCTGGCGGGGGAACCCCACATCAGCGGGGACGTAGAGGTGGATTTGTGTTGCGGTGGGGTCAACGAACTAGCGCTGAGTATGCACCCGCCCAATGGAATGCTGTTCTGAGTTCTCCTTTGGGGATGGGGAGTGAATAAAGCCGAAAAATAACAAGAATACCGGAATGCAGTATGAAAATGAATAAAATTGAGCAGAAGTGCATAAGCATGATAGGCACATACTACGATTAGAATAGTACGCGTTGCCATGATACATCATAGCCATCTCGTTTTTTCTTGTGGAAAATGAACTACCGTGGACAATTTTTTGGCATTGAATACAAACAGGGATCGATACATATAATTTCTTTTCCGCAGACAACTCTACTGTTGCGAGCAGTTTTCTGGTTTTCTTCGAAAACATCGCTTCTAGTCTGTGCGAACCATTTAGATATTCGCACTCGTTCTCACTTGATAGCTCTACCTTTTCTTGTTGTATGAATGAATTGCGCAGATGAACACAAGCTACACACAAAAACCACAATAACAATATAAATAGAAGCCGCACTCCAATTGTTTCGCAAGGCACATAATTCTTTCGTTTCTCTTTAATGTCGTCAACAAGTAATTCTGCTTTTGTACTTGGATTTGTTTCACTTACTTTTGGGAATTTCTGTGCCTGAGGAGACGTTTTTTCAGGTTGCATGATCCCGAAATTGTACGAAAAGAAGCAGACGCAAAGCGCACTGGTTGATGTTGAATCAAGAAAAGCTGCGAATGACAATGAACAAAAGGAAAAGTGCTACGGTTATTTCACCTTGGTTTCGCTGCAGAGATGAGAAGCAACATTTGTCCGCTTTCGTTTGATCCTGAAGCCAAGAACAAGCTGCTCGAGGATAATGCAGATCGGGAACAAGCCTGAGGCAAGTCCATAGACAGATGAAGATACTACACCTCGTAGAACATAACGACGACGAGCAAAAGATCAAAGACGAGCCACAACGTGAAAAAGGTCTAGTAGGATGGTATATTGTGACAGTTACTGGCAAGTAAGAAGCCCGTTCGTTGCGAGCCGCCTTTTGTCCACTACCACTTATCGTGTATCGCAGTCGTGTGTTGCAAAAACAAAAAAAGATCTACGTAGCCTCTAGTAGTGGCATATTGTCGTGACGGTGAAGATGAAGATCTAGTGTTAATGTATAACTCGTCATCAAAAAGAACAAGGAGAACAACAGCAACAAGGTCAACCGATTTCTATAAGAACTTCTGGTAGTTCGGTGACACAAAAACAATCGAACGCACATATTTGGCGCTCAATTCATTGTCGTGTCATCTGGTCGACGCGTCCTCTCCTGTCGTCGTGAACATTGAAGACTACAGCGGAGCCTCTGGTGTTTTGACGTACTAGATAAACTTATATTTACGGCGTCGTCTTCGTTGTAAGAACTTTTAGAAAATCGTAATTCTGTTGTAGTTTCATCGCGAAGTAAGTGTATAGTGTAAAGTTCAAGTAAGAGGTAAACGCAAAAATCGCCAATATTTCATATTGCACGCCTATTTTTGTTCTTTCAGAAAAGTTTTAATCGTCCTCTGATAGTTCTCCTCAGTGTAAAGACAAAGACAACGTCTACTGCTCCTCGAGCAAAAAAAAATCACCTGAAGGCGGGACAGCCACTTCTACTACGTGATATAAAAATCGTCCCTGGCACGATCTACAATTTTCGATTTCGAATCTTCTTGTTCCAAACAAAAAATGCCACGCGTTTTCGGCGCTTCTTTCATGGGACCGCGGGGCAACGGTGGAAAGCGGCGTCACCACCGACGGGGCGGCGGTGTGGGAAATCGAATTCGCACGACGAGAAATTTGTCGCCCGACGAAAATTTGCTGTCGGGGTGGTTTGGCATGTTGTTGCGTCACGGAGAAGACGCCGGGGAACCAGGTGGGGGGGACAAACACATTTTGGGAACGCCGCTTGATTTGCATTGCAACAGCATCGCGCTAATATATATAAATTGCATTACAAGCTTCTGACTTAGCATTGCAAATTGTTTTGGTAATGCGGATGCGTGAACAAGAAAAAGATTTGCTATGCATGTAAAGCAATTAGTATAAGTACGAGTGCGATGCTTTTGCGCTACATACTGGAGGAACTGCGGCAATTCGCTCCGTCCGGGTTCGTGCCGTGGGAAAAGTTTCTCTATCACAGTGACAAAAGTCCTTGGCTCGGTGCCAGAGCGACGCACTATAATGCGCATGGTGCGCTAGCCGTGCTTGATGTTGATTTATTTTTTTAGCCTTCCTCATCCTCGTCTACACTTCTGACGGAGATTCTGTAGTCGTAGATTGTAATTGGTATGTCAGGGCGAACATGCGCGCCCATGATTGTGTTATCTTGTCTTCCAGATACAGAGCGGAGGACTGTTTTCAATGTGATAGTGTTATGCCTGCTTTCCTGAAGAAACACCCGATCCACAACGATGCCGGCGAGCGGAGACCGTGCAGCATCAAGGCGCTGTGCAAGTACAGCATCAATGGTAACGAAGTAGAGCTTGGTCTGCCAGGTCTGCAATTCTTGCGTCATTTTGCTGCGTCTATTCAGGAGCGACCTCGTAGGGTCATAATCATGTGTGGTAATGCACTTCCTCCGGATGGTGCGGCTCGCGATGGCTTGATAGTGGCAACTAAAAAATGAATAGAAAAACAAAATTCAAAAAAGGTGATGGGGAGCACCGCTTCGAGTATTTCAAGAGCAAAAACCCGGGAACGAAGCTGCAGCACTACGTGCGAGCCATATGGTCGGCAAAAGTATCGGGCACATGCGCATGCAGAAAAATTCAGTGCGGTTTTTCTCCTTGCATGAACAGAATTACACTGGGATATTTGTATTTCAGGACATGGACAGCATTCATAGAACCACCAAAGTGACAATTGCAGTGTTTCTTGCATTGTGATTGTTTTGCATCCGATCGGTGCTTTTGCGCTGCATAAACCAGGACCAACAATGATTGGGCGGTATTGCAGCTGGAGGAGCCCGAGGAGGAGTACTGGGAAGGAAAATACAAGTAAGTAAGGATGTATTTCTAGTAGTGTTCATGTTCTTTTGTGTAGTGGGGGCTCGTGGCTAATTCCGCAATGCTGAGTCCTCTCATCTCGGTACAGCCTCTAGTCTAGACTCGAAAAAAGATCTATCCTCCGCTTGTGGTCTTAGGCAATAAAAATAAAATTTGAAAATTTTGCGGTTTTGAGTCTGTCATAAAAATGAAATTTTGGAATTTCGCGGTTTTGAATCAGTCATAAAAATAAAATTTTGGAATTTCGCGGATTTCTGCTGCCTTCTTTCTTTTTGATGCATTGTCTTGCTGACCGCTTGCCTGTGCTTGTGCATGATTCGGCAAGATACTCTTGTTGCCCGCTTTTTCTACTTCTGCCTTACCAATAAAAATGAAATTTTGAATTTTCGCGGATGCTTTCCCTTTCTTGCCCTCAAGACCCGACCCGTATTCTATCTTCACTTTCATATACAGATACAAAACACTAACATTCACGACAGAGAGTTGAAGATGCAGAAGCACGAAGATCAGCAGCTCGGCTCCAACAACAATGACGGTGGTCCGGATGCTGGAAGCGGCTCGGGCGGTAACGGTGAGGGGGATGATGATGGCGGGGACCACAACAATGATCCGAATCACGAAGGCTCCATGGACGACGAGGACCACGATGGTATGGTCGACCCAGATCAGTTTGTGCACAACGATCGCGACGACTCGCCCACCTTGGATCACGATGGCAAGATGAACCGCCTGGCGGGCAGTGAGGGTCATGGCCGCGAAGTTGTGGATCATTATTCACCCTCGCACAACCCCTTTGCCAGGCAGAATAACAGTGTCCCCATGGGTCACGGTAACGTCAACATGTCGGGTTCGTCTTCTCGCGGTCGTGCAAATCGAAGCCGAGATCAGGGACGCCAGCAGCCCCAGCGGACCAACTTGTATTTTGTTTTTGATTTTCATTTTTATATTTTTTTCGGATTTTTTTGATGCATTCGCTTTGTTCGCCGTCGTGTAGAAGTGCAGTGGTTGAGGATAAGAACGGAGTCGTCTTACGGCTGTGTCTCGCGATTTGGAAAAATAAAAATGAAACGATCAATCCGCAGCTTCATCGACCATCCCGTGACGAAAGCGACTGGTGCGAACGAAACACCGCTAGGGCCAAAGCGATTCTAATCCGAAGAGCAATCGTTTTGGGAGTGAAACAAGGCTCAGTCAATGGATACTACTCACCGTTTTTACGTTACGGCTAGGGGAGGTTACGCGGGTAACCACAGCAATTCTACAGTCGTTGTACCTTCCAGCAAAGGTCCTTGCTATCCAGAAGTTTTTGTAAATGCGGTCCTAGAATAATGAAAAACATCAATTTTGATAATTTCATCAGAAAGTACACTTATGATATGTCACTCTTTCGAAACGCACGACAGCTATCCAAATTTTACGCACGAGTACTCAAACCCATTCATTTCCACTTTTTGTTTTTACATGAACTACGACTGAAGAAAAAAACGAAACAAGTTCCTTCTTCAGAACAGCCTGTTGGGAAATGACGCCGGCAGCATAAAACCTACCTACGCTTGCGTCCGGGTCCCCGTCTGTTTCTGTTGTTTAGCCCTTAAATGCCGCCGGCTCCCGCTGCTCTATTTTCCTTGATGTCGGTTTTCATCGCCTGTGTATGTTGCGCAAGAGAAAAAAATCGAATTATTGCGATGCTCAATTACTAATTGTTACTGTCCCGAAACTACATAGTGCGTCCTTCTGCAAAATGTACCCCCAAATTGCCCTGACTCCGCTTGTCTCGGTTATGGCTTCTTTTCTGTTTTGAGTCACACCCTCGGTCGCTTTGGTTTTGATTTGTCATTCTTTTAGCTCTGAATCAATTCGCTTTTATATCAAAATGGTCTCTTCCTCGTCTACGTCTGTGATGCGCAGCTGCATGCAGCTGCACCTGCAGCTATTTGCCTCATCGTGTGCCTGTTTTCGTTTCGTCCTTTTGCTCAAGGTTTTGCTGCTTCTCGCAGTTTATCCAGCACTCGGTGCAAGCCCGACGCAGGCGCCGAGAACAAGCTCCTACATGCTGCGCGACCTGCACATGAAGCATTGGCGATGGTACCAAAATTTGAAGGACATGCTCCAGGAATTGGGAAACCCGGAAGCCTCGTCTGAGAAACGGTATACTTTTCCGGACGATGTGGCGTTTTCGTCAACGTCAGTGCCATCTTCTGTTCCCACAGAAGCGGCGTCAGGTACTACAAGAACTGCCGTCGAGGTTGCACCGGATGGCGAGAACACCCCAGGAGCGTCCTCTTCACTACAGACTTCTGGCACCACCACGCTAAACGTCGACCCACGCGTTCTCGAACTTGTTGACACGCAGCAAAAAAGGACGGCTTTAAGAAACCCTAGTACGGTGGGGGGCCACCACCAAATCTTCACTCAGCCCTTCACCCAACGTCCACCCCTTTACGACAAGCAAGGCAGGATACCCCGCCCCCTGACTGGGCTCCCCGGCTCCGCCCGACACGCGTGGGAAGAAGAGCGACAAATTTGGGGGGAGCTTTCCCGGGTCGAGATCGTGGAGCTGCCAGAGGAGTGCTACGCGGAAAATTCGCCGGAACACCCGTCTTTCTTTCTGTTCTACGGGTCGGCGAGGCGGGAATCCGTGCAGGGGGGGACGTTTCCGGCGCACTGGCTGACGAACACGTTTCAGGAATCGTGGTTGCACGGGTACAATTACCACTTAAAGGAGGGCTACGATGTCTACGACCATTTGGAAAGCACGGCGGAGCTGATTTACCAGCAGAACAAGACTACAGGTGGACAACCACCCGGCGCTCCACCAGCAGGTGTACAACCCGGAAGTGGAGGACCACCGCAAGGTACTACGAGTACTGCGCAATTCATTCACACCTCGGTTTCGGGAACCGGAGCGCTGAAGAGCCAAGGAGCTCCTGTAGCTGCTACGGCAGGAGCAACAGACAGTGCTGGTACAAGCAACACAGATTTGGCTACCACGCAAGAAGGCAACGATAAAAATACTGTGTCGATAGACGGCGCCGCGAGCTCGACGAATACTTCCACCGCCACGCCCGACGCTCCCCTGCCCGCCGGCGTGGGGAAGATTATGCACAACCCAATAAATTTCTTCGTCTCTGCGTATGACGAACAAGATGCCCAGTACCAAGAATTCTTTTTCCGCGCGGAGGACCGGACAAACGCCGTCGGGCTCGGCAAACACACAGACCGGTGGGCGCCGAGAGAGTTGGTTGCGCGGCTGGAGCAGAGAAGGCGGGAGCTGCAGGAGATTGTTAATGGTGGAAGTGCTCCTGGTCCTGACACGGCAACTTCTAGAGGAGAGGAAGCTCCTTTCATCCGACAGATCAAAGCGTTGCGGGAGGAGGAGAGCACCATATCCCAGTTTGAAACGCAGTATTACAAACATCTCTTCGATAGTACTGCCGCAAAAGAGCAACAGGAACAGCTATTAAAGGAACAACAGGAGCAAGCGACAGCCGTCGCAGCAGCGGAACTAGCAACTGCTGATGGAGGTAATTCCACTAACGGTAAAAACGCCACCCACCCCCTCGCCGGTGTCGATGTGTCCCCTCGCGGCGCCGCTGTGATCGCAGAATCGTACAAGGCGCAGTCGGGGCAGGACCCGATAATTCTCCGGCGCATGGGCTACATCCGGAACATTTACAGGGGGGCAATCTACCAGAAATTCTCCAGAAATTTGACCCAAATCGCGCAGGAGTTTCACGAGTCCTTGGCGGACTTGGTACTGGATGAAGAGGAGAAGGCACAGCTTGAAGCGGCAAAAGCAAGTGGTGAAGATGGCACGGACACCACGACAGCCGCAGCAGCAACTGCTGCTAGTACATCAAGCACACCAGCAGCTGCCGCTCCGGCTCTAGCTACAACTCAAGCCACCACCACGACATCCTCGAAGCCCCTCGAGCCCCTCGACAACGGCGGCATCGAGCTGTTTCCGCAGAGAGAGTGCATGGGCTTGGCCTACATCATTTCCCGCTTGATTGAGGAGGAGTACGCTCTACTTGGCTACATCACCGCGGTCTCCAGCGGGCAGTTGAGAGAAACTCTGGTGAAAAAATCCCTGGAAAAGCGGTTTAAATTGCAAATTGGGAAATGGCTGCGGATCATATTGGACGACGTTGCTTTTGATACACATCTATTCGGATTTTTCGACACGAAAATGCGGAGATTAGAGATGGAGAATAGAAAGAGTGGAACACCAACAACTTCCACTGCTGGTTCATCGGGCCGAAGCCTTTCCTTCAACGACAAAGTTTTTTCCCGCCAAACGACCGTCGAGCCCGATCGCATGTCCCACCGGGATAGGATTTTGGAGAGGTCCAGGTTCACCGACACGCTCGAGCAGGTTCTGGACATATCAACTAGTAAAATGTCTGGGTCTGGAACAAAGCAACTTGTCATGCTTAATCTGAACCATGTAAAAATCTGTGTTGCATGATTACCAAAAGCTGTCCACTTTTGACCTAATCAAGAGGCAGCTTCTCATGCAGGATAGGTATGATACAACTCGTCTCACAGAATCTGTCATGCTATGTGCTACATACCAGACCTCATGGGTCATGGAAAACCTGCATGACAAGTCTGGCATTCTTCCAGACCCAGACATTTTTACATTTGATAGGACATCAAGAAGGACGAATTGGATAGCGAAGACGAGGGAGATGAGGATCCAGTAGGACAAGATAATTCGGCATCAGGAACTACAACTGTTGACGACACCGCTCTCCAATCCTCCCTCCGTCCCCGGGATTTACTAACCCCAAAGTTCCGATACAACTACCTGCCAAAGTATGTCCAGAAAAACGGAAACGAATTCAAAAATCGAGTTCTAGCCGCGGTGAAAAATACTCCAAAATTATTGTCTCCGAAAGTTTTACTCTCCGACGACAGTCTGCTAATTTCCTACCTGTCCCACGTGATGCAACGGGAAAAGTTTTTGCGGATTGTCGCCTCGTGGATCCACGACTTGCGGTACTTGTGGGACTTTCTGGAGCAAAAACTGGAAGCGGAAATCCATGTGTCGACCGATAGCAACGCGATAGAGAAGTCGAGGATCACGAAACGGCAGGAGGACTGGCGGGTGGAGTCCATGAATTTGCTTTACAGTGAACCCACCGGCGGGTTCCCCGTGCCCTTTCCCATCGGGGAAACGACGTTGATGAACTTACGCGCGGGCGGGGAGGCGAGGAAGTCGCAGATGAAAGAATACTATCAACTCCAAATATGTCTGGGTCTGGAAGATTGCCAGGTTTGTCATGCATATTTCGCATGACCCATCATGCGCATGCCTGTAGGGCATGACTTAGCATCACAGATTTTTGGAAGGCTTCCTGATGCCTATTCCGCATGAAAAATGCCCTCTCTGCGCAACACAATCTGGGCTCCTCTTGCTGGTCATGCAATACAGATTTTTTTAGAATCGAAAGACAGCATGATAAATTTGGATCCTTCCAGACCCAGACATATTTGCAATGCATAAATACAACCTAGCCTCCGTGTTTTTCCAGCACGTGAAGGGCGCTTTTGACACCCATTTCGAGAACCTCTGGTTCCCGGTCGGCGGGACGCACATTGGGTTGCTCAGGTACGGGTCGCTGCAGGGGTTTCACGCGAACTCGAGGATGGACATCCCGGACGCGGACATTGACCTAGTGGTGTTGCTGGACGAAAATCCGTTGTTGGACGAGCAAGCGGCGGAATACGATAAACTCCGGGTGGAATTGGCGAAATTAACAGAGGAAATCCGGTTGGAAACGACGAAAAACGCCAAGTGCAAAACGGTCTTCGCGATGGAGCATTACAAACCGATTCAATTTGTTGGTGCGACTGAACAAAGAACTGGATCCTCGTCAACGTCTACGTCATCGTCATGTGGGGCAAGTGAGGAGTTCGAGGAGAAGAGACGGACGTATGAGGAGGTCAAGCGGAAAATTGCAGTGTTGACGGGAAAGATGGCAACATCATCCGATACAATTCTGACAAGCGCAACAGAAATTCACAAGAACATCCACAACGTGCAGTGGCGCGCCATCTACGGTATCCAGTTCGATGAATACGCCAAGTACCAGGAAACGAACACTACTTCTGTGACGGAGATTTTGAAGAAAAGGCACCGAAAAGTCACCAATTACCATGCGTACGCGGCGAACCGGGTGTACCTTCTCACAGAGGAACTTGCGAAGCAGTACGGGTGGGCGGGGTGTCGGATGGGGGACCAGAAGTTAACCTGTTACCAACGGGCGTTTGGGATTTTGGATGAGGTCAACTTCTACGTGGAGGTGGCGTTTTTGAAGCCCATGCGGATTTTTGTACCTAGTACGAGCAGTGCAACGTCACAGAAGGTACAAGAAACAGCGGCTGCAGGTGCTGTAGCTACTACTACAACAGCACCCGTAGTGTACCAGCAGCTTCCACGAACAGCAGCGTTTATTTCCCCGACTTCAACAAGCGAAATGGTAGACCAGGGCCGCCTAATCTACACCCACTGCGACTACTTCAACGTGGCATCGGATCACGACGGGAAGTTGACCCCCCATAGCTACGAATTGCTGACGGAAATCTACTTCCCAGAGTCCTTCTACCCGGTGAAGCCCTGCGCTTATCCTGTGCAAAAGTATCGGACTCGTATTGCAATCATGCATTACAAATCCTGTTCTTAGGGTAAATCCGCATTACAAATTTCATTTCTCATGCTGAGGAAATTTGTAATGCATTTATACGAATGCGATACTTTTGCAAAGCATAGCACCGCGTGGTCGACGATGATCAACTGCCCCGCAACGTTTGACTTGCTTGCGGAATACGATTTGCCCTATAAGAAGAAGGAGGCGGTGAAATTTACGGAATTTGCAGCAATAGGGACGATGGGGGACTCTTTGGAGTATTTCACAATTCACGAAACCATCTCCGCGCGGCACAGTCGGGGGGACACACCTTACCCCTTACCGGGGATAACTCGGCAGTCTGTTTTTGCAAAATTAGCGGATGAGGCAGAGAAAGAACCGGACCGGGAAAAGAGGAAAACGACCCTCGATCAGCTCTCCGCCGATGTTCTCGCGGCGTCGCAAACGGGGGATATCACTGCGATAGACCACCCAGCGGCGGTTGTGACCGGGCCGGCAGCTGTGACAGGAGTTGGGGCGCCGTGCGGGTTTGTCGGGAACTCTGTGAAGACGACGTCGTCGTTGTCACCCGCCGGAGCAAGAGCGGGTGATCCACCACCTCCTACGACTTGCGATCGCGTCCACGTGGTTTCTTCTTCAAGCTATTTGAAACCGACGGTGTTCGATAAAGGTGAGTACGAAAATTTCGGGGCGCAGAAAAAACCCGCACTGCATCTGATCACTGCGGGGAATCAGAAAGCGTTGCAAGAGCTAGTAGCGAAGTACTTTGGGGTTCTTTCTGCTGCAACGAATAGTACGAAAGGGCTTGTTGATCCAGGAAGCGGGGGCGGCCTCGAGATTATACCAGATGCAGTCACCTGTCCGATCAACGACACCACAACCACGGCTACCCCTGCTGCTCATGTGGTGACGCAATGTAGTGCTGGTGCGAAAATTATGGACAGCGACAGTGACCAAGCAACGAAAACCCGAGGACCAGTGGAGACGAAAATCGAGCAAGTGCATAGTCTGATCAAAGAGAAATATAGCGCGACATCGCGCAATTACGAGCAGTATTTCCTGGAAGAAATTGTGACGCCGCAAGTGCAGAAGAGAGACGCAAAGCAGAAACTCATCCGAGAAGCGACTGGGATTAAAACTAAAAGCACAGGTGCTGTCGTGACAAGAAGCCCGCCAAGCGCATCAACGAACCCAGGTGCTGAATCTACTGCGCAAAAAGAATCTTCCGCAGAGTTGTGGAAAAACAGTTTTGGCACCCAGATTACGTTCCGTTTCTGTCACGAGACGGTAAGGAGGAAGGCGAATGAAGTCGGAGAGATACCCTGCGTGGTGATTCACGTGTGTCTGGAATGGTTATCGAAGCATAAGTTTGTGAAGGAAAAGGTTTCGGACATTTTTCCCGTCGCGCACACAAACAGCGATATTGCGCCAACACCAACAGCTGCAAATGACCCTTCGTCATCGTCACCTGAAATACACGAAACAATATCCCGTGAGCAGCACACCATTCGCAGCAAGCTCCACACTTCGGACACTTCCGACGTCGGCCAAAGTGAAGATTTGGAGTTTTGGCTCCTCGAACAGGAACGGAACATCGGGGAACTGCGGAAAAAAGAATCTCTGTGGCTGTCGAAGTTCGAATTCGACCACTACAAGAAGACCATGCTCAGCGTTTGTGGCGGTGTTGGTCCGATTTTGCTCGAGCAGTTAATGCCACTAGAGATTGTGATGCTGTTGAGCTATTACCCGGTAAACGCGAACAAGTACGCGTTTTTTGCCTCTTTGATAAGGCAACACCCGATCAACAGCCGGAATTACTTCACAAACGAACTGGTGGGGTTGTTCGCGGACATCATGATATCGCCCGAATCCTTCGCAGCGCAGGTAGAAAACAAGACGAAAATCGGAGTACCAAGAGGCATCGACTCGGTCTTACTCGATTTGTACTTTGACGCGGCGATGGAAAATTTCTACGAATTTGAAGTGCCTCGAGGGCCGGTTGGATCGGGGATAGGGATTGTGAACGCCGTCGAACAAGTAGCGTCGGGAGCAGGGCAAGAACACGTGAATGTCACAGTAAAAACCGCATCGGGTGCAGCGCTACCGTCGCTTCTCGACGTAGTTGCTCCTACCGCTCCAGTGAATAGAACACAGCCACCAATGGAAGAACAGGCGAGACTTCTGAACTGGACCTCTCTCATCCAGGTAACGAGGAAGAAGAAGGCACTGGTCAGGCACATTCTTTTGGAGAGGAACAGCGAGATGAGAACTGCACAGCTGCTAGATAGGGATGAACAACACGAGAATAAAGCTGCAAAGAATAAACCACCATGGTCCTCAACCACCATCCCCTTCTCCAGCGGTCTCTGCCTCGGCATTGCAGACTGTTTTGTCCGGAGAAAACACCAACTCGATTCGGAGACGACGCAGTGTCAGGAAGACCGGCACTTCGTGTTCCACCACCCCGCGAGCAAAAAGTTTTTGCAAACCACCATGAACCTACAGGACTTGCTGACTTTGCTAAAGTACAACATTGCGCTGAACCTGAAGGGGGCCGCGAGTCACGACCTGGGACTCTGCGACCCGCGGTACTACGTCAGGCCGCAGGGGGCGAGTTTGTGACACTAATGTGGAGAACATGAAAATCATATTGCATCTACTTACTTACTTAAAAAGACGAGCAGAGCTACGATCATGAGAAAGTTGGTTTCCGTACTCGTGAATTCTAATACGCAACGCAACGAGCAGCCTAATCGTGCTCATTCGCATCAAAAGAAGCATTGACACAGACGCCTGAGTTTCGCTTTGCAGCGTGCTTCTCCTGGTAGATTGATAACGTCCTGTGTTCCTTGGTACATCCGCAAAAACCCACTTACTTTACCACTACCCTACAGAAGGTAGTCGCGCGGCATTGCAGACCTGAAAAGTGCTTAGCGTCATTAGACCCCTCGGGAGAACGTGCGAAACCTGCGGGGGCCGGCAGATAAGCTTCGGCGTGCCTGGTTTCGTGGCGCAGTGTTCCCCCCAACACTGCCAAAGCCTAAGAATAGCCAAAGTGCCCAGCCGTGCGCAGTGCCTCGGCGGCCGGAGTCGGATTTTGGGCCGTGTGTTGGTGGTTGCTTGGCGGGCCCGCATAACGACACCGCCGAGGACGCCGGGCGGGAGGGCGGGGCGCGGGCGGGTTTGTGAGCATCCAAGGGGGTGGCGACAAGGCGGCGGCGCGTCCACATGCACACTCGCCGCGCGGGCCATGGCAAATAAATGGCGCGCGCGATGGCGATACGCCGGGCCGGGCGCCGCCGCCGGAATGTTGCGAAAAGAATGGGCCCGGAAGGGTGCGGCGGGTGACTTACGAAAAAGCGGGACCGGGACCAGAAGCCGGGCGCGCGGGCCCGCGGCGCGGCGGATTTTTTATTTTCTTCTGTCGGGGACCGACCTCGCCCGGCCGCTAGGTCGCCGGGCCTCCTTTGCCGCCCGCGCGCGCCTGCCAGGCGCCCGCAAGTGTCGCCGAGCGGCGCGCGCAAGCGTTGGCGAGCGAGGCCGGGCGCCAGGATGAAGGACGAGGGTGGGGGGGCGGCTGCCTGCGGACCTGTTCACGATGTTCGCCATCTCAAGGGAGAGGCGGGCCCCGCTTCCTTTGAGGGGAAGAGGAGGGCCTCGCCCTTTGCGGGAAGGCAGAGTGGGTCAACTCTATCCGGAACGCCTTCCGGGAATCGTTCCCGGCGAGGTCCGTGCGGGACGAGGAGGAAGTGGGCAGCCTGGTGCGTGAAGAGGACACGGCCCGGCGATGATCTGCCGCCCAGCCTTGGCCCGCCTGCTGGTTTTGTGGCTCGCTGGCGTGCTCGCCCCCCTCTACCAAGGAAGGGCCCGGGCGGGCCCGCTTGCTCGTATTGTTGTCCCGCTGGCTCTTCTTCGGATTGGGGCCATTGGGAGGAACCGTTGGGCGGCCGCCGGAAGCAGGCGCGCGCCTGCGCGCCGCGTGGGGCTTGGGTGCGTTGCCAGAGCATGTAGCCGCGCGTGGGCGCTGCCTCGCCTGCTGGCTAGGTAGCTAGGTAAGTACGCACGCCGGCGCCATCGATCCGACCGGGGCTTGCTGGCGCGGTGTGGCGCCGTCCTTGGCCGTCTTGCTCGCTTGCTTCATACATCCTCCCCGCCTGCCCTCCGCCTTGCCTCCTTTCTTAGCCGGCGAGGGCAGGAGACAGAGGGTTGCCAGCGGGTGTGGGCCTGCAGCCAGGATTTGCTCAACTTATTGGAGCTGCAAGCCCAGCGTGGGCGACAATGTTCTTTCTCAGGAAGAAATACGCACGATAGAGCAAGGGCAAGCGCCCGCACACAGAAGAAGCATCTATGTCTGGTGAGTTCCGCTCGGGCGCTTCTTTAGGGGTCGCTTGGGAGATGTTCCTCGCAACGCCCGCAAATCGCTACTCCCAGTATTGGTTTGTCAAGATCTTGTTGCACGACCATTGCAATTGTGTCAACCGTTGATACAGATCTCAAGAGCCTGATCTGCGATTCATACAGCTCTGGAAGCGTTTGCCTGATGTTTTTCGAAGCTTTTGGCTTTGATTACTTATGCAGCAGTGCCTCCTTCTTGAATGATGTTGGTCCTGGAGGTTCGATTGTGGGTACGAGGCAGGCACACATAAATGGTCCAAAAGTTGTTTTTTAAGTTTAGCTTTCTACGCGCTCCTTGGTTTGCAGTCCTGGATCCGGTTCGGTATCTTTTAGTGCTACATGTACAGTAGAAGACACCTCCGACGAGAATACTATATTTGTACCTAGAACATATGCACGAGGCCACTCTTGGTTTTTGAAACTCCCCGTCCATTCGTTTGTATTGTACTTCATTTTGCAGCAGTACACCACAATATTATTGGCACTGCGCTAAATCATCTAAAAGAACCCAGCCAGCAAGCATCTTCACGAAGATGACGGACGACGCTGCGGCCAACCTGGATGAGCAGACCCAGAAGCAGATGGAAGAGCTGCGAAATGAGGCAAAGCAAGCACCGGGGGTCGGTAAACTGGAATCTTTGCAAGACTTTGCAAACGCGGAGTTCGGTTTGGAACAAACGGGCCCCTCCGCCGCGACGGCAGGAACAAGCAGTTCCAGCGGTTCACAGAACACTTTTTACAAGAAAACCATGACGTTGACCAAGCAGTTTTCCCGACTCCGCAAGTGCCGCCGGGACGGGAACTGCTTCTACCGGAGCTACCTATTCGGTATGATGGCGGAGATGTGCAAGAATGTGGGGTTTAGGAAGCACATCAAGGCGATTCTCGCGCAGAGCTTGAGCTACTGCGAGAGCGCGGGGTACGACAAATTCGCACTGGAGGAGATGCACGAGGAAGTCACGGAAAGTACAATATCACTATGATTTACATTTACTATGCTTGTTGAGATGTACTCGTAGCAGTTAGGCTCTCATACGGAATTTTCATTCCCAACCATTAACATTCTCCTGTTGCGCCTCTGTGCAACAAGATTTCACAGTCTAATGCGGTGATGAAATCAAGTTGCAAACTCGATACCAGTTGTCGACAACCTTTTCCCGGACGATCAGACAGGGGAACTCGACATCAGCAAAGTAGAACAACTCTTCCAGTCTGACGACCTCAATTACCCCATCTGCTTCGCGCGGTGCCTCACCAGCAGCTTCATGAAGCACAACAAGGACGACTTCCTACCGTTTTTGACGACGCACGACACCGTGGAAGCCTTCTGCATGAGCGAGGTATACTTACTACTGCATCAAGGGGGTAGGCTTGTGCTTGAGATTCCTGTTTGTTGCGCTAGCGCGTAACTTTTTTTACAAAAATGTGAATACTTCTGTAGGGTAGCTTCCTGGTGGTCGTGTCAAGGCTCCATGGGTCGTGACACAAATGTAAAACAGGTCGACCCCTTGTGGAAGGAGGCAGACCAGCTGCAGATACAAGCGCTCGCGAGCTACTTCAAAATCCCCATTCGGATATTTTACCTGGACCAGAGCGAGGGAGATGCCTGCACCGTGCACGAGATGCTGTTCAACGAGAGCGGGGGCGGTGGAGAAGAGGACAGTCCGACCGCGGTAATCAACTTCTTGTACCGACCAGGACACTACGAACTGTTGTATGTGTGAACAGCCAATTTTTCGCGGTCCGGCGGGTAATCCGATTTCAGCTTTGAAGAGGCGAGCGGAAGCGGGTCAGTTGGTAACGGGACAAATACGGAACTTAGCCGGAAGTTGCAGAGGAGGAATTGCGAATGGAAACTCTATGTGCAGCTGTCGAAAGTATAGCTTCAACCTGTCGTCGTGCCGGGCACACACGTGTCGTGTCGTACCTGCTCACCATCTGCGCTCGCACAATAGCTCAAAATATGATGGAACTGCTCATATTATCCCGCACATGGAAAGATGAATTTCAAATTTCTAGGCAGCCGTACATCAAGCGACCACGAGTATTTTCCACATCAGGCCCGAGAAATGATTCTGCGTATAACATCAATGTGATTTCTTGATGACTCTGACTTTCACTGCGTCCGCTTGACGAGGCGCCCTAGTTTGTTGAAAGCACAGCTAGTGCTTTTTTTGAATGATGTGTTCGGACTCCAGAAAAACAGGACGTAATGTGCTCGGATGCGGTGCAGTGGTTCTCTGGCCGCTAGTGGAGAACTGACGCGAGGCCTTGCGATGGGTCCGCGCTTTTTTTGCTTCGAGTGGCGTAAATGAAAACCCGAACGGCCCCGATGCAAAACAGAGCCCCCCGGGCGAGCGCGGTCCACCCGGCCCGTATGGGCCGGCTCTTTGTTTGTGTCATTGCCCAGGCAGTGCAGCCATGCGCGCGCGGCAGCTTGGCGGCGGCCGAGCGGAAGGAACGCCCGCCGGCGCCCTATCGCGCAGGGGGGTGGGGGTTGCGCGGCAATTGTATCAGCCCCCCCGACCTCGGGCCGTATTTGCTTCCCCGCCCGCAGGCCCGCCGGGGGCCTTTGGGCGCTCGGTGGGACGGCGGACCGCAGCGCGCCCGGCATTTCATTGCAGGGGCCCGCGTTCTCGAGCGATGGCGCCAGGGGAACGCGCCCCCGCCTTGCTTCCGGATGATGTAGGCGCGCAGGCGCCCAGGTGTTTCCGAGGCCGGGACGCGCGCGCGGCCGGGCGGCGCCGGCTCTTGTCGGTCCGCCCGATGCCTCGTCTGCGCCCTCATGTTGCAGAGCTGCGGCGCGCGGCGAAGACCGTCCGGGGGATGGTCTGGGACGCAGCCCGGCCCGGGCGAGGTGCGTCTCAGCTTCGCGGAGGCCGGCCGGGCCGCCCCCGCCAGCGCGGCCGGCCGGGCGGCCGGGCGCCCGCGCGTGCGATTCGGAAGGGGGCAGCGTGCTCCTCTTCGAACTCCAAGTCGTCCGTCGGTCCGGCGGCGCGGTCGGACTGTTGCTCGAGCGCGCGCATGGCGCCAAGTCGGCTGCGGGGCGAACTTTTTTCCCATTGGGCCGCTGCCGTTTCCGTTTCTTTGTTTCTTGGCCCCGCGCCCTGGCGCTGTTCGCAGCGCTTTCCTTTTCCGGGTGTGCCCGCTCTTCGTTGTCGTGGGTCGGGCCGGCCCGCCTGGCCGTACGCAGGCAGCGCCAGCGGGGAGCCCCGGCCCCGGCCCCGCGCCCGCCCCTCCCCTTGCTTCGTCTTGGGGGGCGCCCCTCCTGCATCCATGTGTGGTTTGCGCAGGGGAAGGGGTTCGCTACCGCCCGGCCGCGCGCCCCGGGCGCCGCTTCGTCCCACTGATGTGTGCCCGCCGGGGTGGGCAGGCTCATTCATTGCCCTCCCCGATTGTGTGGCCGGGGGAGAGTTTTCCCAGCCTCGTTTTGGGTCTTGGGGCGCGGGCCGCCCGCGCACGCCAGAATCTATCGGAGCGCCAGGCGGGTCAGCGAAAGAACAGGCGGCCGCCGGCCCGCAACCTTCCTTCGCCTTCCTTCCTTGCCGCCGCCCGCCCGCGGCGACCCGCTGGCCTCGTAACTAAGAACGCTTCGCGCGTGTGGTGCCTTTTGCCCGGGGGCCGGCTTCGTGTGCTTTCATTTTTTAGTCCTTCGCAAGGAAGGGCTACGAGCGTAGCCACCAACGCCCAACTAGGCACGGCGCCGATGCTGACCAGAAAGTAGGTCGTAGACGGTGTTCTTTGTGGCGCCCCCTCGGAAGGGTTGTCACGCTTGAAACCGCGCTTGCAGTTTTTTTTCTTCGGTTGAGCGCCGCTCTGTGTGTGCGTTGTAAAGAATACCAGCGCTTGTTTTTCTTATCTAAGTATATTTTTCTTCTAGATTGCGTGTGCGTATAGCCATACGCGTCGGCAGCTTCAACTTCAGTAGCTCATTTACGTTAGTCGCAGCCCATCAAACTTCATCACGACCCCACACCACTACTCCTCCGCTCCAACATGGCGATCAAGCTTTCCGCCAAGGAGGCTGCCCAGTTCGTGCAGGAGGCCCAAAAGTCCGCCTCCAAAAACTCCGCTACCCCGAACCCGTCTCCGACCGGACAGTTCTACGGGAAGTATGACTCCCTGTTCGAGACCTCCGTCTGGTCGGTCAACGAGAAGAAGTACACCCGGTACCTGCGCAAGCGCCAGGCCCGCCCCTCCGCCGCCGAGAATCCCCGGATTCTGCACATTGCGCAGGAGTACGCGGGCTTGCTGTTCGGGAAAAGCCGGGACCGGTTGAAAAAAATCGAACAGAAATACGACGCATCAAATGCAAAAGTGTCTGGGTCTGGAAGAGCGCGCGACTTGTCACGCAGCTTTTCCATGACCCATGAGGTCTGGAATGCAGGAGCTAGCATGACAGATTCTGTGCGATCTCTCTCATGCTTATCCTGCATGAGAAACTCCCTCCAGAATTGGCCAAAACTGGACGACTTTTGGTAATCATGCAACACAGTTTTTTGCATGCTTCAGATTTAGCATGACAAGTTGCATTCTTTCCCGACCCAGACATTTTTACATTTGATACGACGTGAAACTTGAAACGACCGACACGGTGCTTGACCAAGCCGCGCTGGTTCTGTCCCCATCTTCCCCCCAGGACGAGATGATAACCGGCAGTGCGAAGAACAGCAAGTCCACAATTGGTGGAACGCCGGCCGCTTCCCCCGGCACCACAGCGAATTCGGTCGGGTCCCCGATGGATGTGGACGGCGAATTGAGCAACAAGAAAATCAAGGTGATCGAGTTGAAAATCGTCGGCGGGAACGACTTGGACGTGCCTCTGATCGTGCAGGAGTTTGTCTATGCGCAGGAAAACTACGACATTCCCGACTTGGGGTTTGTGCAGTCGCACCTGCAGGTGTTGAAAGACATTTCCAGGTCGACAAAGGCGAATATCACGATCGAGAAGGAGAAAATGAGTGAGAAAGAGGAAGCGGGGGAGATGGTATCATAGGCCGGTTTCTTTGTTGTAGCATTCAACTTCAAACACAAACTCATATGGTTTAGGCTTCTTCTGCATGAGGATGAGAATATGAGAAAGCACTTGTTCTGTACTGGGTTCTATCTTCAAATAAGTTTCTCGTGCACAATCACACCAAAAATGATCAGGTCGAGAAAGACCCCGCCCTGCTCGTTCAAAGCGGCGATATTAACCAGGCTGCGATACAACAGCAGCAAAAACCAGCCAGAAAAAGTTTCCTGCGGATTCGGGGACCGCGTCCGTGCGTGAACCTGGCGGTGGAAGCGTTGGATACCCACATGCTGTACTTCAAAATTTCCAAGGAGATGGAGGCCCAAATGCTACAGCTGAACGCATGTCGACAGGCGATGTTAGCACAAATGAACACGGTTTGATTGAAGAAGTTGGATTTTGGCATGACACTACTTTAAACTACTCTTCTATCTATGGTTGTGGTTCTACTGCTTCCTTCTTGAATCAACAAGAGGTACGTTTGTTTTGCGTTTTGGAATGGACACCGATAGTACGAGACTTTATGTATAACACCATGTTAAGACTTGACTCGCTTCTCCTGCGTACTTCCATTGGTTGCGAAAGAAACGACAATTTTCAAAAAAAAACATCGGAATTTTATTTCCGTACTCTGAGGACCCAACAAGCCACCTGTTGCCATTTTTGCAACATTGACATTCCGAGTAACAAACTTGCGGCGCAATTGTACGCACCTCTTTTTTTTGTGTTGCCAGTAATATCTCTGTTGCTGTATCGTAATTCGGCATCGGCTGGATGGAAGATGAACATCGAAGAGTGAACCTGCCAATCGACTTCGAAATCGTGAATCTGAATGATCATCATCGTTTTTATGCATCGCAGTTACAGATGAAAAATTGAATTTTCAGAACCAATGTGCAACCTCTTCGAAGTCGTCTTTATCGTATATGTCGCTCTATCACCCTTCGTAACTCGTCGATCGTCATGTTCTTCTGGTGGACGTAAAAAGTTGCCAATTTTTTATCGATGTTTCTCTACGATGATTGCCTTGGTGGTTCGTGATCGTATGTGAACATAAGTACAAAAATCCTTTCTTCACTTTCTAGGCGGGAAGGCGGACCAGTGGCTCGGAGGATATAATAAGATGTTGTCGTGCACTTAAGAGAAGTACTTGTTGACTAGCGGCGGCTATAATTCTTATTCGGAACATAATGTTGAGCAATATCAGCAGGAGCTGCAGCAGTACCAGTAGCACTTTCTAGCGGTTGACTTCGGCACAGGTGTCAAACCCTCCTGCGAAGCAACAACAACCGCAACGAAATGCAGGCCGACCACACGACTACCCGTCGTATCGCGCCGGCGACCAGGCCGCCATCAAATTCCACCGCAGCGGGAGGTGGAAGTAGAGTGTATTCGCGGCACCCGGGCTTGCGATTGGTGACGTCGAAATCTTCCTCAACAGACGATCAAAATCATTCCAAAGACAGCAGCACGGTTGCCTCTGGCTCTGGCACGGAGCGTGAACCACGACGAGATAAAAACAGGACCACCTGCTCCGGCACAATGGAAAGCCACGAAACAGCGACAGTTCCGTTAGAGGATGCTTTTTCTAGTTTTCTCTCTTCGCATATGGAAGCGTCAGGTTTGAAATCGACAAAGTTGAAATGATTTGTGATGCATAAAACGGATGCCAGTTGTAACACAGCTTCCAAGTGGCACATGACAAATTTGGGTGAAACCGGAAACCAGTTTGTCTTGCTGTTTGGGTAAGGACGACGCCTTTGTCATGCTACGATAGCAGCTCTATCGCAGACCGCAAACAGGCTGACAGTCGGCCTCACTTGCCACCCCTGCAACAGAGGCACTTCATGCCAGGCAATTTATGCATGACAAATCATTTCAACTTTGACGATTTCAGTCCTGACACATCCATATCGCAAAGGAGGAGAAGGATGCATGGACATCAGCTCGAGCCGGTTTCGGAAGACGAGCCGGTGAAGTTTCTATGCTCTGCAACTATTCGTACTAATTCTAATTGCAATCATGCATGACAAATGTTGTTTCTTAGGCAAATCAGCATTACAAACTCCAGTTTTCCTTCTGAAAAAACTTGTATTGCAATTCATACTAGTACGATACTTTTGCAATGCATAATTTCTGACTGACGACAATGACCACAAGAACTCCGTCTTCCAGCAAGACCATAGTGCTCAACATCTCGCAAGCAGCAGTGCGTTCGGCTTTGGCAAAAACAACAGCAAGCAGAGCAGCCGGGGGTTCAATTCTTCTTCGCGAACCAGTTCTCGGAATTCTTCGAAGATCAACACCAATAGCAGGTATGATCCCTCCGCGCACAGCAGCAGCGACGAACAGTCGCTGGCCTCTTCTGGTGCGTATTACAGTACTCGGGCGGAGCACCAAGTGGCAACCACTTCCGCGTCGCAGTCGGAGAGTGAAGGGGGAGGCTTCAATTATATTCGAGGGGCCGCGTCAGGAGGTGTTCTGGCTGCGGGAAGCAGGAGGCCGGGAGCCTCTGCTAGTACTTCCGACGTGACTACAATGTCAACTACCTTCTCTGCGTTGCGACCCATGTTGCAGACTGTGAGCAAACAGTTGGAGGGATCATCTGCTGGTGGTATAAATGTTGAAGAAGCAGAAGCAGGTGGGATGAACAAAGATAAGCAAGAGGCAGCACCAGCACACCTTTTCCAGCCGCAGCCCGAGCCGGCACCTATGGTGATTAAGGATAGGGTGTTTCAATTCCTGTCCTCGAAGACGACCGGTGGAGGATTCGCAAAAATTTTTGACGACGATTACATGACGGATAGGAACACGAACGGACGAGAACCACAAGCGGCGGCCACGAACAAGCATACAACCCGATTTATCGAGCAGACTTCAGGGGCTAGTGGTAGGGACCACGCAGCTGCATCTTCAATAAAGATGAACGACCGCGCAGACAAGAGTTCGCCAACCAAGCAAGAGAACAAGCAGCACGGCAGGCTGGACGTCGGTCTACTCGCGAAGATGGCAGAGGTGGTGAGTAGCAGCGAAGAGCAGGGTGATGATGTGGTGGTCAACAAGCGAATGGGTGCATCAACAAGTAGAAGTACTAGATCAACATCGTCATCTACAAGGCCAAGAGGTCTGTCATCTTCGCAACAGCGCCCTGCAAGGGCCGAAGGTTCCTTTTCCGCGACATCTTCAGCCCACCTCCGCGGGCCGCGTGAAGATCCTGACCCGAAGCTGGTAAAAGAGATTTGGTTCGAGAACAAACCGCGCACGCCTTCACCGAGAAGACAGTCGGAAATAACCGGAAGAACGGACAGGCGCCAGCAGCTACCGAATATTGAAGATCACCACGACCTGCTGGGGGACTGGCAGCTCTGGGACCATCTATCGTCCAACCCGCGTTACCGAAGGAAATCGCTTGCAGCTTCCGGGGAAAAGGACGAGGACACGGCATTCTTGGAAGATCGTCGTCGGCGTCTACAACTTCAGGGCGAAAATAACAATGGCCGCGAAGGAGCGACAGCGTCGCAAAGTCAATCTAGGGACGAGATAAATAAAACCAGGACGAACGGATCGGGAGATGAAGGCGGAGCTTCTGTTACGGCATCATCTCCAGAAGATGCCAAGGAGCAGTTCCGGCAGCTCGTGCGCAATGCGGTCCGCAACCCTCTGGGCCGTGCGGTGAGCGAACGGCTAGGGATCGAGCAGGAGTTCTACGCGGACATAATGTTGGACAGCAGCAGGCAGAGTGCGTCGATGCAACTCGATTCGTCGCACACACATTTTTCTGCTCGAGGAGCTTTATCCGGAACAAGAACATCTGGCGCACCCAACTCCCACTGGAAAATTCGCAACGTAGTGCAGCTACGGGAAAGGAAAAAGTCGCTCTTTCCTCATGTTGACATTACGAGAAGTAGTCCGAAAAATAAACTCCGGAGCCAGCAAGGTGGACCACATCTTCAAGGGACGCACAGTGCAGCGACAAGTCGCGAAGAAGGAGAACAACCGAAACATCATGACCAGCTGCACCATCAAGTACTAGATGCCTCTCGTCAAGATGAACCTCAAAGTAGAACTCAACATCAGTCGCATAGTAATATGAATTCTACTAAAACCGTGCAAGCGGACTGCGGCGGCACGGAGAACGAAGGGGGCACTGGGTCGTCCGGGGAAACGGAGCTGACCTGCGGCGCCACCGGCTCGGTGTCCGCCCGGGGAGAGGAACAGTTGTTGCCAGCAGCAGACACTGCAACTGCAGTGCCTAACCCGACGACAGCGAATGAAGACAGCTGGTCGCCGCCGTTGCGAGGCATACCAGAGGGCCAGGACGAGAACAACAACAGCTCGTCGCTGGTGTTGGAGTCGCCCGGGTTCCCTGGTGGGCGAAGAGAACCGCAACAGGGGGAACAACTCCATCAAGGAGCTTTCTCCAGTTCTTCTTCTTCTTCCCAGCAAGGTGGCGCAGAAGATGTGCCAGCCCTGCACGGTAATTCTACAGCCACGGCCACAACCAGTAAAAATCCAACCGGAGAAGTTCTTCCTCTTGTTGACCAAGAAAACAACTATTCTGACCGCGCCAGTAACGTTTCGAAGAATACGGAGTTTTACCGCATAAACGCGGAAGATTCTCCCGGTACCAGTGAGGACGCGAGTATGCACAGCGACGAGTTTTTCCCCGCGAGCTTCTCCGCGGTAGAGTGTTTGGAGGACGCGCCGGTGGAATTGATGGAGCTGCGGTTGGCGGACGTTGCAGAGGACGAAGATCAAGAGGCTGCGCTTGCGCCGGAGGTTCTGTATGGAGAGGATAACGATAAAGCACCAGGCAACTCCTCGAGTTTCGCAGTCGCAATAGGAAATAAACAGCAAATTTTTCCAGGCAGTTCTCGAGAAGCTGAACCACCTCCGGGGCAGGACTACGTTGATATTTCAACCTTGAACTGCGTCCCTTTTTCCTTCAACAAACACAATCTGTTAGAAGAAACGGTGCGGTTCGGCGGGAGGGAAGTGCTAAAATTATCAAAAGGAAAAATCCCCCCACCCCATATCGACATGGAAATCTGTGATGCCGGATTTGTGTACACAAATCGGCTTTGCATTGTAGGAAGGCATCGCGGCCAGATCCCCAGGCTATGCAGGGGCGTATCGGTCTAGTTGTTCAGCATGGCAAACGGCTCCGCATTAGGCCCAACAGCATGACAAAGCGCCTCCATAATGGGGGCGAAGCTTTTGCCCTTGTCCTCTTGCAAGACAGACGTGATTTGTGACCTCAAATCAGCAACACAAATTTTCGGAAACATGCCTTCTCGATATGGGGAGGGGGGATTTTTCCTCACAATAAAAATACCCGGAAGATTTTCCGACGATGACCAACGTCACCGAGTTATCCTGAGTAAAAACGTACCCACACCAGAGTCAGGATGGGGATTTTGCAACACAAACCTAGGAGTTTTGTGAGTCACGCATGACAAGTTGCACTCTGCAGTGTAGTGCAGGTTAGCAAGTGCAGCCGCATCACAGATTCATCTGCTCATCCTGTTCACAGCATCACAAATTCCAGCCCACGATTGGAAATGGCTTTCATGGGGATGCGCGTTGCAAGTCTTTCTGTCTTTGCAAATCTGCATTACAACTCTGGCGTGGGTACGTTTTTACTCAGGATACGAGTGCCAGGTCTGGCTGGAAAAGTACCTGACCCCGGACGCGATAAATTTTGAAGATCCATGCTTTGGAAGCTTGCTGATGCAGGTGTTCGCGCTGTACCGAGTATTTCTGCACAGTGTGGAGGTGAGGTGTACTAGTAATAGAGATACAGTTGGATTTGGAAAACTGAACAACGGACGATCAGTTTCTGCAGAATCGGCACCTGCCTTCACTAGTGGTTGTACAACCAGCAGCGTCAACTACAACGATCCAATTTTCCTTTCCGCAGCGCGACGAATCGAAAGGGGATTTCAGTGCACTCTGCTCGCTATGCATTGCAAAAGTATCGTACTAGAATAAATCGCATCACAAATCTTGGCAAGAAGAAAAGTGGAATTTGTAATGCTGTTTTACCTTAGGAAGGAGATTTGTCATGCATATTTGCAATTAGTACGACTACGATACTTTTGCCCAGGATACTCGCGCTCCTGTCCGAGACAAGGTTGAAGCAGGGGATAAATGCGAGGGATTGTCATGGTAGGAACTTTATCAAATGCAAAAGTGTCTGGGTCTGGAAGAATGCAACTTGTGATGCTGCATTTGGATTCCAAAAAAATCTGTATTGCAGGAGTACCAAAGGAAATGCAATTGTTGCTACGCTGAGAAGGCATTTGTCATGCGGAATACGCATCAAGAAGCCCTCAAAAAATCTGTATTGCTAGGGTATGCATCACAGACATCATGGCTCATGCACGACGTGCATGACAAGTGTCAGAATCTTCCAGACCCAGACACTTTTACAGTTGATAAACTTGTTGCACTACATGCTGGACGACGAGTTCTTCGCTCCGGCAGAGGGTATGATTTCTCATCAAAAGGAAGCCGGTTCTAGTGCTGCTGTACCCGCCGATCGTGCTTTTTCAACATCGCAAGGCGAGTACCAGCTTCAACAACTCGTGCCAGTAATGAGGAACAGCAGTGTGGACATCGATTCCAGCAGCACCACAGGAATTCTGCTTGATCCCACTGCTCCGACCACCTCCACTGCAGCCGCCCATCTACTTCTTCTCGCCCAGCAACTACAGAAAAACTTCCTGCAATTCGTCCGCGAGGAGGCGCTGCCCCGGGTGTTGCAACATGCAAGCCTGACCTCGAAATTCCTCAACAACCCCGAGGCGACCGTGTGGGGCGCGCCGTTTGCCGCGTGCATCTTGTCAAACAGCTTCCTGGACTTTTCCGACGTAATTCGGACGCACGAACTTTTCGACCCGGCTGCAAACTTCAACGAACCAATTGGCCCGGCACGGGACCGGGCGCCGTTACTGTCCCGGCTGCTGCGGCTGGTGTTGCTGAAATGCAGCCGTGAGGTGGATAATTTTTCCTGCTCAGGTAGAAGTTGTTTATCGCAGCCTTTACTGGGTTCTCTTCTCTCTACTGCGGAAAGTAGGAACGCAAAAGCTTTTGCGACTCCTGTTGCTGGGGACCAGCAGTTCGCAACGGTCGTAACCGAAAACAAAAAGGAGCAGGTGATCGCAACGTATCTTCCCTTGATCATCCGCATCCTGGACCACCGAACGTTTACGGACGGAATCAATTGGATCACGACCGGGGGTGTGGACTGGTGCGAAACGCCTCTGCTGTTGGCGATCGAGTTGGAATCGCTGGAGTTGACGGAAAGAATTCTGTATGAACTGCAATAGTATCGTACTCGTATAAATGCATTACAAGTTTCGATTTCCTCAGCATGAGAAACAAAATTTGTAATGCAGATTTGCCTTGGGAACAAGATTTGTAATGCAAGACTTGCATTTATACGAGTGCGATACTTTTGCACAGGATATCCTGCTCCACCCGAGTTTCGACTGCGAGAAAAATCTGATAATTCCCGCCAGGGAGCGGTTTGTGGACTACGCACCGGTGGCGACGAGGACGTCGAGTGCAACTAGACCAGCGTTGTTCTTCGGCGCGTTTTCTACTTTATCCGCGACTAGACTCGATCTGAACCCGGTGAGTCGTCTCCTCGAGAAGCTCTCAGTCTGTAATCAGAGCTCTGCCTCTGTTCACCTAGCAGCACCGCATGATTTTCCTCCAACGGAGATGCAGCACCGCACGCGTGTCCTGGCGGAGATTTTGGAGTTGATTCTAGATGCCTCCGGCTACGAAATGTTCCGGCTCGCGAAGATGGAGCGGGCGGAAGTATCTTCAGGTGCAAATAGAAATCAGATGCTCAACATCAACTACATATGCAGTGCGAAAGTATCGTACTCGTATTAATGCAATAGCAATACAAATTTCCTTAGCATGAGAAATAAAATTTGTAATGCGGATTCACCTTTAAGAAAAAAATTTGTAATGCATGATTGCAATACGAGTACGATACTTTTGCACAGGATGCTACAAGACAGACAACCAATTCACTCCTGACGACCAGCATCAGGCGCTGCTGTCCACCTCCCCGAGGACATCACCACACTTCGCCTGGTACGACCGTCGGGTTTTGGCGATGAACATGTCAGCGCTGCGCCTCGCGACGCTGTGCGAGCGATACGAGCAAAGGCGGAAATTCGTGAAGTACTACAGCAGCACAATATACCACGAGAATGAACTTGACGAACAAAGGTCGTCAAACCTCGCGCCTGGTATGAGTAACGACACATCCAACCGGAAATCCAAATCCGTAGTTCCGGACATGAAGGCGATTATGGGCGGGCAGATCCAGTCCACGGAAGTTTTCGCAAGCAAAATTTTTCACAACGTCCGCAAAACGCACCCGAAAAACAAGGAGAAGGACCTCTTCCGCGAGGCCGTTCTGGAAGCGTTGGAGTACCGAGCGGCGACCCTGAAACGGAGGGCGCGGCCGAGGGTTTTGCGGCTGGAGATGAAGCAGGAAAGTTTGAAAATTTTGGGGAAGGATGAAACGGCTTCTGCTTTGAAACCGGCAGAGAAATTGAAGTTGGACATTTATCCACAGGGACGTCGAGACCACGTCAGGAATAATTCGGAAGTCTTCAAGAACAAAATAAGCAAGGATTTCGATGCAGGTGCTGGGAAAATTATCAAAATGAAAATCAACAAGCGGAACAAGCGAGGGCGGAAACCCCAACGGGACGAGGGAAGCGAAGTAGATGGCAACATCATGCTAGAAGAAGTTGATATCCTCGAGGGCGGGTATGAGGACGAAGTCCGAGATGCTACGGAGCACGCCGGGGATAAGAAGATGGAAGGAACAAACACATCACTGAATGAAAAATCCGCAGACGACTACTATCTCCAAAACGAAATCATCGAAAACCTGAAAAGCAGCGATATCGTCGACGTAGCAGGAGCTACGAATGAAGATAATTATCTCCTGCAAACGAAAAAGGCAAAGAAGAAGCTGGCCCGAAAGCGCAACAAGGCCGACCACTGGCGGAGTTTGAACGACAGCAAGACGAGTCAGCTGACCACGCAGGAGTCCACCTCCGAGCTTGGTTCTTTTTCAATACAGGTGGAAGAGAGCCCGAGGCGGCGGGCAGAGGATTTGCTGAACCGGTACCGCCAGGAGGTACTTGGGGAGCAGGCAGAGGTACTGCGGGCAAGTAGACCAGAGAAGGAACACATCGTAGTCCCAGAGGTATCGTCGGAGGGGGAACAAATTGTGGAACGGGAACGGGAGAATCGTGAAGATGCTGAGCAGCACGACTATTCCTCCCTGAACGTCACGGATCAGGAGTCCATCGGCCCTTCAGCCTCCTTTGACGGGGGAGACGACTTCCGCGAGCAGGTGGAACACGTAGGGGCAGCAGTACTAGCGCAGCAAATTAATAATACGGCTGGAGGTGCCACCACCTCAGCCACGACTACAGACCACCAGCCAGCATCGTCGTCGTCGTCGATCATCCTGAATATTGATCCGAAGGATGTGAGTGCGATACTCGCGGATGGCGAGGACGGTGAGGAAAACAAAACCAAAACCACTGCGATAGTTAAATCGCCAACCCGCGGTATGGACAAACTCTTCGGGTGTTTCTCTCGGTTGGTCTGCCTCGGGCAAGCGCGACCAAACCCACTGAAGGAATTGCTGGCGCAGGTAGAGGGGAGAGAAATAAATGGTGTTTCTTCATCTGCGAACAAGAACGACAAAGACTCATTGTCACAGCGGCGATCCGCCAGCGCAGACATTAGCGCAAGAAGAGATCGTCTGCGAGAAGATGAACAAGAACGAGAAGATGCAGGAGCAATAAACAATTCGTCTGCAAAAAGGCGCAGCAAGAGCAGCAAGCCGTGGCTCGAACAAGGCAGTAGAGCGGAACAAACAACAGCATCTTCATCTTCAAATCGCGGTAGAGCCCATGACCGGAGCAGAGACTACTACAAGCGGATCGATGGGTCTGCGAAGCCGGTCAGCTTCACCACCAATCTGGACGACAATTTTTCCACCAACTCCGACGGCGCGGGAGACGAGGACAGTGCGCTCGAAGAACTGGATCGGCTGGCGCTAGCCGAAGCGCTTGAGGAAAACTACAAGGCGCCTTCTGGAAGATCAGATGTACTGGATAATAATTCACGACGTCAAGAGAGGTACGATCGCAAGAACCTACTCATCCTGCAAAACACACTGTTAGTACCTTCACAGGATAAATCACGCGGAACATCATCAAGCAATATTAAACCCAGCAGTAGGAGAACCAGCAAGAATCAGCAAAAGCGCGCGTCGCGGGCGGGGTCTTTGGAAACCAGTGTGATTGAAGAGGACCAGGAGTTCTATCCGCCAGAAGATTACGACGAGGATCTTCAACTGCATTTTCATCCGATGTCCTCAAATAAAACTGTCGGCTCATCTTCAAAAAGCGGCCACGAGGATCATCATCTTGAAAGCAGCTACAAGGTTAATATCAACAAATCCCGGGGGTCGTACTCGTACACTACTAGCGGCACAAATTTCGGTCGGGTGATGCAGAAGAAAATGCTCCAGGCGGAGACAGACGACGAGACGAGCGAGATTTCTCGCATGCTGAACTACACAACGGAGGAAGACACGTCGACAGTGTTAGACGGGGAAGAGTTCTTCTCTCACCAGAATCTAACGGATGAGCAAGAAACCGACAACAACAAGGACACCACGATAGAAGGACTTAGTGCCACAACTGCAGGACCTCCGAGAGCGAGCGCGGCGGAGGCTGTCGGGTCATCATCGACTTCAAAGGAGGGCCGTGAGGACGGGCAGGAGAGAATCTCCGGCACCGCAGCTGGCTGTGTAGGGCGGGCAGGCAACAACTATCACGAGCAAGCGGGGGGGTCCTCGTCTAGCACGGCGAAGACGAGACCCGGCGCCTTTTCTACAAGTACAACAAGGAGACCTGTTCTCGACAACAAGAAACGGGGGCTGACCAGTGAAGAGACATCGCTCTTGAAAGAAATCACCAGTGGATGGGAAAACATAACAAGCGACAGGAACAAAGAAGAGACCACAAAGCAAGTGGATCTTCTCCTGCAAAGCTACCCAAACGACCTGCTCGTTCTGCAAGATTCCCGCGGGACTGAGATCGTCAGGGTCGCCAGCCACCATTTGGAGGGCGACATCAGCCTGCAGAACTGCGACTTGCACGGTGCTGTGAATCAATTGAAAAGCCAGCAAAGCTTCCTTCCAAGAAACCAACTCCTCGTAGCACCGAATCTGGTGGTCGACAGCAACAGGAACATGACGGCGCTGTCGTCGACGAGGAACAGATCTGCTGCATCCTGCTCCGAGATGAACCAAACCTCCTCCACTATGCGAGGAAACAATTTTGTCACGGTTTACCTCCTTCGGCCGGAGCACGGGGTGAGACTGCGGTACGACCTGGACGAGGGAATTCTCGGGGCAAGAGACATCAACTTGTCGGAGGAAATATGCATTCGCAAAAGTATTCGTACGACGTATAAATCGCGTGACAAATTTTCTCAACAAGAAAACTGGAATTTGTCATTCCGATCGAGGTAAGAAACACAAACAGGATTTGCAATGCGTAGCTGCAATATTTTTTTTCTACGAGTGCGATACTTTTGCAGTGCATAGGAAGTTTCCGCAAAGGAACTGTTCCAGAAAGGGATGAAAATCTACGACTTCCTATCGTATATAGAAACGTCCCCATCCAAGAGTTTTCAAATCTGTGATGCTAGAAACAGCATGATATGCTAGATCTGTGATGCTGCTGAACTAGCTCAACAGGGTTACACTACAAGGACAAGGCTGTCATGCGAAACAACCATAGCTGGTTGATTTGTCTAGCAGATTTTCCAACTTGATTCTGGTGTGGGGACGTTTTTACACAGGACACTTCGGACATTTCGAAGAGATCTCGTCTTGTTCCGCGGCGCAGGCGGGGGCTGGCGGGATGATAAACGATGATGCGGCACCAGCCCGACTGGAGGTAGGTCATCATACCCTGAGCGGAGGAGGAGGTCCTCCTGTCTTGTCTTCCAGTAGTGGAGATCTTCATGCGGCCTCCACAAGTGGAAGTGGCGGTGCAAACGTGACGGACGGGGCAAGCGCAAGAACTACATCCTCTACCACTTCCGCGACGTCTTTGACCCCAGTGGTCGAACCTCTCGCCCTGTTGGAAAAAAACCTGCAGGAACGGTGGCGGGCGGGGACAACAATATCAAGCAGTTCGAGTTGTAGACCTTTGTGGATCCGGTTTCAGGTCCAGCCGGTGCGGAAGGTATTGACGCTTGCGAAGAAAATATGCAAGAAAAAAACTATGTGGGTGTAAGTCTGTGATGCAGAAATAAATGCAAAACTGTTACACTTGTCATGCTGGATCCGCGTCATAGGCTACGTTCAGTACGTGTTTCCACGTACTAGCTGCGCATGACAGATTTTCCCTGTAATGCAAAACGAATTTGTGATGCTGCTCTTCCTTACAAAGTTACACTAGCACAGTTTTTTTCTTGGATAGAAAGCGGACAAATTCCCGTTTTCCTACCTCCACCGCAATGACCCGTCGCAGTTTGAGGAGAGCATGAGCAGTGCTGCATCTAGTAGTAGAGTTGCGTTTAACAGTTCTCATGGGGAACAAGAAGTACAAATAGACAGAGACACCAGAGAACGCGAGCTGTTACAGTTGCAAGCGTTGCACGGAAACCGTGTTTTTTCTGCGTCCGTTGAACAGCAGCAGCTACGGGCAAGAAATAGTAACGATGAAAAGAAAGAGAATATTAAAGACGGCAGCAATCCGAATCCGCAGATGAACAACATTCGCCCGGGGGACCGTATCGAGGCGTTTACCATGCCGGATGGAAAAAGGTACCGGTTCGACAGTGGCGAGTACGCGCACCGACAGATTCTCGAGCGGATTCGACCGTTGGAGGTGGAGTTTGTGGAGGAGTTTGGGGACCAGTTTTCGTTTTTGCAAAGTGTGCAGAAATTCGTTTCTTCCGGTTCCTCAAAACAGAAATTCGTTGCGTCCTCCAACGGCAGTTGTCGTGGTTTCTTTCACGTCGCGCCCATCTGGAACCCGTTTGCGGCGCCGAAACCAGCAGGAGGAGTTGTAGATGACCTCGTAAGAACTACCGGCAGCGAAGCAAAGGAACATCTTCAAAACGACCAAGACGGGTCGGCGTTCATCTCTGTTGAGACCCAAATCAGCAAACTCCGCTCCGAATTCAATATCCGCTTGACGCAGCGGGTTTTGATGACCCTCGCGAACGCCGGCGAGTGGGAGATTTTTCTCAGACTCGCGGACCAAATATCGGATAGCGACTTCTTGGCTACCCGAGTTCTGAATGGCGGTGTGGATTTGCGACGAAACACGGCGTTGGACTTGTTGCAGCGCAGATTGGTGGCTGTGGAGAAGAGTAGAGTGGGTCCCAACTCCGAATGCTTCGAGGTCTTGGACTTTGAGGAGATGGAAAACAAACAGGAAACCGGGAATGCTAGACCTAGTAAAGGCGAAATAATAGTAAACGGGAATGTTGAGACGGAGACGGACGCTCCTGATGTGAGAGACACATCAGATAAACCGTCAACAGGTCCACGCAAGAACGACGAGAAGATTCTAGACGCAGCCCCCGTGATGCTAAACGACAACGATCAGGACTACTTCTCGAAAAACCGAGACCGTTCGTTTCAAATCACGATTCGGGAAGACGATCCGGCAACTACAAGCCGATCGGCCTCCTCTAACCTTCTGAAACCAATGCGCAAGCACGAGCAGATTTTTGACTTCAATCTCAGCGCTGCGAATCCGCGACTACGAAATTTTGTAAACTTTCCAGCAGTAAACCCTGACGGGAAGGAGCATGACAGGAATTACAACTCGGACAACGACGGAGAGGATGACCCCTTCATGGAAGACACGACGCTCGACGTTCCCAGCTCTTTTGCAACGATGAAGAAGATGAAGAAGTCCGTCAGGTTTTCCGTGGACACAAAATTCCGTACCTACGACGGCGAAAAGCAAAAATCCGATTGGCTGTTAGAAGACGCCTTTGCGGATTTGGAAGAATTGCAGAACACATTTCGGAAGATCGAGCCGACACTGAACAACAATAACCGGCGCACGGTAGTTGTTCGCGATCCTGTAAAGAATGGAACGACGAACGATGAAGGGGTGAGTGTAGGTGCTGTTAGAGCGAACGAAATCGCAATGCAACCAGGTCGTGAAGAGGCCCTCCTCGCGACCACTGCGGGTAGAAGTAGACAGACACACGAAGAAGGCAGCAGCAAAGCTAGTGCCTCCAGCGTGGTACGACCAAGCGGAACAACGCTGGCCGCTGCTTCAGGCGTACAACTACCGCTGCATCGGTCGGAGCTATTGCGAAGGTTCTTCCCTCCAGCATTCTTACGTGTAGCTGGGCGGGGTAATGGAATAAATGGAAATGGTGGAAATCGCATTTTTCATCACACCGCGGAACAGCAGGCCAAGATGAATATGATCTTCTTCGAGCAACTTCTTTTCTCCATCCGCGTCGAACACAAAACGCAGAAGGATTTCGGCATCGTGTACTCGCTTGTGATATGCATTGCAAATATGTCTGGGTCTGGAAGATTGTCAGATTTGTCATGCAGGTTTTCTGTAACCCATGAGGTCTGGAATGTAGGACATATCATGACAGATTCTGCGAGACCGTTCGAATGCCTATCCTGCATGAGAAACTGCCTCTCGATTACGTCAAAAGTGCACAACTTTTGACACTCATGCAACACAGATTTTTGCATGATTCGGATTTAGGTTTAGCATGACAATTTGCAATCTTCCAGACACAGACATTTTTGCAATCCATATGTGAACAAAAACTCCGCCGACCAATCTGGGAACAAGAACAGCAACTCCAGAATCCAAAGCAGTGTCTTCCCCCTGCTCCAAAAACACGGCCTGAATTTCGTCGTGTTTAAGAAATGCAGCTTCGGTCCGGGGAATTTGCTCACGGCAGCGATGCTCAGCGGTGGAAGTTGTACTACGAAGATGATGAATAATTCGCCCTCCTGCCACTTTTTACCCGCTGGTGGACAAAGCTACAATTTTTATCCTTCTGCTTCATCTTCCATCCACACCGACGCGATTCTGAATTTCCTCCTCGACAGCCCGACATTTTTCCTGAACCGCTACGAACTGAGTCTCACGGAAAAGATCCGCGCGTATGGACTCTTGCTGGTCTCAGCCGCGTACAGCGGGGTTTCTGTCTCTGCTCTGGTTTGTCTGCTGGACAAGCTGTTGGCGATTTGTGCGGAACAAGGGTTAGTCTCTTTGGGCCGCAGGAGGACTGCGGTGGCGCTGCAGGTCGTGGTTGCAGAGGGTCTTCGACAAGATCGTGGTGTCCTTCTCGAGGACCAGGGCGTTGTCGTGGCATCAAGTAGCGATCAGCAATTGCAGCTGTCGCGGAACACGCACATCCTGCCGCGCCAGGGCACGCTCGAGCTCCCTCGGGATAACCACACTGCGAAGGCGCAATCCGGCTCTCATACATCAAGGCCGCCAGATGTTGGCGTAGAGGAGGGTCCCCAGCAGCAAGAAGAACCCCTTCATCTCAACGCGGAGAAAGCTCGCAGTCCCTTGGCGACAGCGGTGCAGAAAGTGCTGTTCGCGACGTACCACACCGCCAGGATCCGGGGCAACACTCACATTTGCAGGCAGTTGTTGCAGCAATTCGCGCGAATCCCGATGCTGGCGAAGGATGTGTACAGGAGACCGCATTTGCTGCACGTCAAGAGACCGGAAAGGAGTAGAGCGAGCGCTGCTGGTGCGTCATCCTCGAGCTGGAAATTCGGATTTGACTTCGAAGGAGAAGGCTCTTATGCTGATCAACATCTGGACGTGGGCAGCCAAGGTGGAGCAATGGGAGGAACCTCCACAGCTGCTGGTATTAACAGAACAAAGAGTAGTTCTATTCTTGGCGGTAACCCCAGCACGACGACGCTCCGGTCTCACGGGATCACTTCTGGCGATCGACTCACACGGCTGATGGTGCTGCGAAATAAAGACGAAAATTTAACGGCAGGGAACAATCGAAGAACTGCTGCGTACAGTGAAGCAAAATCATTCTTCCCCAAGACAGGAACGGATCCCACATCAAATCCCAAGAATACAACTGTTGACACCGGCCACGTGAAATCCTTCACGGAAGCCGCTGACATGCTCGTGTTGCAGAAGTGCCCCAATCTGACGTTGGAATTCGACACCAGACCGGTCGAAAGTAGCGGTTTTGTTGACGCGGTTGTGGGAAACGACGTGGAGTGGGTCGTCGGCTTGCTGTGGAACTGTTTTGCGGTGGACATGATGACTACTACACCTTCATGTGCGTCAGAAGAATCTACTACTTCACGTGTCGTCGACAATCCCTCTCAACTGAGCCTCTTCCAATCCCTCTACCTCCCGAGCTGGTCGAGTTTGGAAACGGATCTGCAGTCGGAGACCCGGAAAATCAGAGTGAAGCAGGAAATCAGCACCACGGAATTGAACATTTGGATGATCGCGCTGCGGCACTACGATTTGAATCAATTTTCGAATGAAACAATTTTCAGCGAGTTTTGGGACGGGTACGATACGGAAATTGGGCTGCGGGAGATGGTAATGAGCCAGCACTTTCAGTGGATGAATGGTAGTAGAACTGCGCCCGAACTTCTGCATCAAACACGATCGCCATCTACACGAGCTTCGTGGAACCAGTTTCAGCACAACAGCTTTATGAAGAGCAGCTTGGAGTACGCAATCTCGTGGAAAGAGACGACGAGCACGAGCAGGGGATTATCTGGTGCAACAGCAACTGCGGATCATGACACCAGCAACGGATCAACATCTTCATCGGGAAACAATTTTCATGATTTATCGTCCGACATAAAGAAAACGGCTGATGACAGCGACCTTGACTGGCTGTCAGAAGGAGAGTCGTCGACGGACGAAGAGGAGTCGTCTGCTACGTCGTCGAGTGCGTCCGGGTCGGAAGCAGAAGCGGAACACCCGGAAGATCAAAAAGTAGCGGAGCCAAAACAACACGAGGACAACGGGGGTTCTCTAGCAACTGCAGTAGAGTTGTCCGACAGAAGTGCGAGCGCAGCAACGTCGCAGCAGCCAAAGCAACAGTCGAAGTCCGAGTCAAAGAACACGAAATTATTTGAGCGAAGAACTCCGCGGCGCATCTCATCTTCGAGTGAAACTTCCGGAACTCCGCCACTGATTTGCAAGCCAGTTGCCAACCGTGGCACTCCGACAATAAAAACACAGGAGGAAAATCATCAAAACAGCGTGACTCAAGCAGCTGAAAACAAGGCAAAAATTAAAATCGACCCTGTCCCCCATGCCGTGAAAACGCTCCTCCACACGGACATCTACCCACAGCTGGCGACTCAAGACCGACAGAACAAGCGAAAGCAGCTGTTGACGATCCTGTTGGAACAGCTTTTGTTCGGCCCGGTGTGCTGTCTGTTGATGAAAAACAAACACGAAGAACGGGAAAAGGAAGAACAGGAGAAACAGGTTGAATTGGAGATCGAGAAGCGGTGCAAGGAGAAAGTTGCGGCGTTGACGAAAAAGCAGTGGCACGAGCCGCCACCGTTTGTGGACTGTGGGCGGTGCGGGTGGGGCATGCCCAGTGAGGAGCTGTTGGTGGCGTTGAAGGTCGAGCGGCCGATATGCAAGAAAAACACTGTGTAAAGTGTAAATTCGTGTTGCAGAAGATGCAACAGAGTTACACCTGTTATGCCAGACAGCCATGAAGTCCTCTTTTCATGTGTGTTTTCCCTTTACAAACCATGCATAACAGGTTTTCTCTGTCATGTAGAGCAAATTTGTGATGCTGTTCCTCAAAGAAAGTTACACGTACACACTCTTGTTCCTGCATAGCCGAAGGAGGAGGTGGAAGAGGTGGTCGAAGTGCCGTTCTGGGAGAGAAAGCAGCGAATCTGGAAATTCAAAAGACCGGGCAATGTAAGCTGCAACTTTTTGAATTCTTTTTTTTTCTTTCAAAATCTTCAGAAAAGCAATGTATATCTTGATCTTCGTATCTGAATCTTTCGATTAGTCGTGCTAAGCAACATGTGTTGTGGTCCGTGCATGATCTTTATTGCGACGTGGCTCGTCTTATTGTTTGCTTTTATTTCGAAAACGACCCAGGTTCCTTTCCTCCGTATTCCGGACCCGCCGCTGGAGCCCTACACACTGATTATCGCTCCGAAAATCCTCTCGGACTCGGAATCTTCCACGACCTCAGATGAGGATTCCTCCACGTCGGACGATGCGTCAAAGAAAAGCAAGTTTCTCGATCCGGCAAAAGTGACAAAAACGGCGGATCGCTGGAACGCTGAAATGCAGAAGTTGAAAGAAAAAAGGCGCCGAAAACTACAGAAGTACCGGAACGACACCCGGTTTCAGTTGGTGGAGGTGCACGCAAATACCGCGGAGATTCTCTCGGCCGACCTGCAGAAGTGGATCGGGGTCGAGAAAATTGTCGTGCAAGATCCCAATGCTGGGTTATTCCTCGAAGAAGGTGATGAAGCTAGTATTCTTCACAACAGTAAGAAGAACTCCACTTCCAAAGCCGGCGGCGGGACCACAGACCAGCAGCAAAACACCATCTTGTTAAAGCCCATGAGCGTGGACGACTGCGTGTTCAGCGATAGTGACGAGGAGTTTCAAAAAGACGCCCTGGCGAAGCTCCTGCAGTCCGGCGCCAGGCGGGCGGAAGGGATGGTGTTGCCGAGAAACTTGAACGCGAACCAGAAACGGCGGTTTGAATTTGACCATGCTGTGGGTGGAGCCAGTGCCACAACGGATTTTGCGGTGGACAAGAAAGTGAATCCTGATGGACCACGAAACGACAGGAAGACCGCGACAACTTCCGGCACCGCACCCAGTACAACAACCACCGCCGGCGAGGATCAGGAAAAATCGCAAAAGAAGAGCGTCGGAGCAGGCGGAGCTGCAATTCCCGATGTTGTCCTTGAGAAACAGGCGAAGATCGCGGTCTCTGCAAATACCAAGTCGGTCCTATCCGAAGAGCTCCAGGCGAAACTTGGGCTGGTAGACGGGCCGGCGGTGGTGCAGGCAGCAGGGCTAGCGCTGCTGCCGGTCGAGGAGGACGAAAAAAGTACTAATGCAGATGGTGAAATGAAAAAATCATCTTCAAAAGCCGCAGACGACCTGGCTGCCGTCGCTGAGGAGCAGGGGAGTAAGCAAGCGGTGAAGAATCTGCTGCCTGCCGCAAAGTTGAAATCCAAGCTGGATCGGAGGAAAACGGCCGCCTTCGGAGACGCTCAAGAGCAAAAATCCACAGGTGATGTTCTTGCGCAGAAGAACACGATTAACGGAAGAAATAGTCAAAAATCCGTAAATAATTACACCGTCGGACAAAATAAGAGCAGAACAACCACATCAAGCACCTGTTCATCCTCCTCCCCCCACCAAAACCCGGACTGCCACGCGCTGTGGATCGAGACCCTAGCGCAGGTCGACCTCCAGTCGGGCAAGAATGTGTTGATGCTCGCGATCGAAAAGAACGTGCACGCGAACGTGGTGGAATTGTTGCTGAAAGCGTGCGCACTCAACCCGCAGGTGCTGCACGACGTGCTGCGACACCGGGATCACCTGCACGAGACCTGCATTCAGAAGGCAAACCGGCTGGGACGGAAAGACGTGCTAATGCTGTTGAAAAGGCACTTTAAGGTTTGATGGAATCTCAATCTGGTAGCGAATCTGCTTCTGCAAGTGTTTCAAAGATAGACATAAGAATTTGTTTCCCATCTTTTCATTTTCTGTATCTAATCGCTTTCCGTTTTCTGTATCTGATACACGCATTTCGTTTTGGTATGTCACACCAATGAATCGTAACTGATTCGTTGCTTCTAAATAATGTACACTAGTAATTCTAAATTAGCGCTACCTAGGAACATGAGAATAATGAAAATTGATATGCACATGTACTTCTTGTCGACTTCGACTTCCTGTAACTGTATGATTGTCCCCGATGAGAATTCAAACAAGCTTACCTAAGCAAATTTCTACGTAATATCATTCAATTCGACGACAGCAATCGATTTTTCTCCAAATCCAACTTAACACAAAGATAAAGAATACCACAACGATATGACGTACGATATTCCTAGAACCTTTTACCAGATAGATTAGGAGGAAGCTCAAGCTTGTTTCCCGCCGCGATGTTGCGAGGAGAGGAATGACTCGACCTTGTGCATTGACGATGAATGATGCACAGCATTGACTGAGATGTGGTTGTGGATGAAGATGATTCGTCCACGATAAACAAATGCGTACCGCCTTCATCGGTTTGTACCATCAAAAAAAAGATCTCGGTTCTTCTCCTTGGTAATGGTGGCTTCGGTCTGTAGTGGTAATGAAGAAGACGTATATTATGCTCGGTAATGTAAATGTTGTACTTGTATCAGCATCTTCAACTCGGTTTTGCTTTCGTGCCGCTCCTCGAAACGAACGAGAGTGACACGTGGCGCGCAGAACTGGCTGCGCTGCTTTTCAGAGGTACTTAATATCGTCCCTGTATGTCGATGTCGTACAACAAGCGAAATTTCGTAAAGAGGGAAGAGCAACAACAAGAACCGCTCGTGTATTTCAATTTCTAGGTCTATTCGTTCAGAGAATTACTAGCCACATCGTCTCTCTTCTCGTCCTCGGATGCAAAATCGTCCTTTCGGGTCGTCTATTCGCTCTGACTTTTCGTCGTCTGATTCTCGGCTGTAAAAATAACAATATCAACATCGACGTCGTGTTTGTCTTTGTACCATACAGGGCTTTCCCTTCGAGCTAAATCTCCGTGGTTACACCCAATTTTGTATTTTTTCCACTTCCCAAAAAAAAATGTGATAATTTCAATTTCATACAACTTTTCTCTACCATCTTCTATCTCAAAACGTATTTTTTTATTACGCAGTTTGATTCATAGCACTTTGCTGTACAATCTGTGACAGAATGGGTCGTCGACAGAACCAGTTTCTGCTCTTCGCAGCCGCGGCGACGTCCCAACACGCCGTTGGCTACCAAGAGCTAAAGCGGGACAAAATTTCTACGCAAGAGGAGCATGAGCGCGAGGAGGAACACGATAAGACCAACGCGCACGACAAAGTCGACAGCGCATCGGCGTCTGCGTCAGCGTCGAAATCTGCTTCCGCATCTTCATCATCAAGTTCCTCCTCTTCTTCCTCGTCCAAAAAAGCGCTGCAAGAGAACACCAACGCTGCCAGTACGAAGGAGCGGAAGCAGGCGAGCCAGAATGCAGCGGCAGCAGCGTCAGCATCTGCATCTGCCTCCTCATCTACTTCCAAGTCTGCCACGGCGACAGGAGTAGAGAAAAAAACCGTAGCAGCTGCAAAAACGACTGCGCAGGACAAGTTGAAAAGCGAAAGCGCAGCCGCTTTGAAGAGCACCAGCACGGAAAAGTTTTCTCCGAAGGCACAACAGGAGATGCTGGAACATCCGGGAGCGAACGTCATCCGGGTAGGAATAATTTTTCCCTTTATTTCTTGTCGATATTGGTATTACTGATGCAGCAATTTGAATTTTGATTTTGAATTTGAACCATGATGCCATGCGAGAAAAGGGTTGGATTTGTACTAAGTCAACTCCTGTCCTTTCCTTGCGTCGGTCCGGCAGCTCTGAAACCTAGAATAGTACCACTTCGTGACTGCAAAAAATAAATTTACCAAATAATGATGAACCAATGATACACAGGCCCCCGACCTTCTTTCGAGTGATCCCGACTCTTCCCCCGAGCAACTTCCCGCGGCGGTTACGACGCCGGAGGAGGCACTGGGCTTGGCGAGCGCGGCCAGAATGGTCTCGATCAAGGACACGGAACAGCTCCTGTCCGGCGACATGCCAGGTACAACTACAACCAGTGGAGCTGCGGCCAACGCTACCAAGGTGAAAAACACGGGAAAGGGGAAAAATTCGAAATTTTTGTATGTTGCTAAAGCGGCTCCCTTCTGAAATCTAGTGGCACCGGGATGGCCGGACCCACCGGTCCGATGGCCCGGCGCGATCTCCTATCGGCGGCGCTTCTGTCTGCTGAGTTCCAGCAAAGCGTAACCACCCACCCTCCGCAAGATCGGCGCATTGTCGCCCATATTTGCGCGCCCCAATTTTTGCCTCCGCGTTCGTGCCGGAAGTCGGGCGCCCGCTTTTCTGTCAAACACGAACCCGCCCGAGGCAGCGGCGGCAAAAGGGCTGAGAGGCCCCAAAGACTTGGCCGTCCCGTTTTTTTTCTTTTCCGAATTGGCGCAAAAGGGCCCGGGGGATGGCGGGCCCTATTTGGGCCGGATCGAGGCCGCCCGCCTTCGGCTGCTGGCGATCGCGATGGGCGACCCCACAACACCGAAGCTCTGCGAGGGCCTTATGAGGGAACGCCCAGAACACGACATAGCTTTGGGACCCAATTCCGGTATATTCAGACTGGGTTTTGCTTTTGCAATGTGAGACTGCTTCTGCTCTAGTACAAATTCACGGGAATGGACAGGCATGGCCTGGGGCTTCGGGAAATGGCGCCGGCCCCCTGGCCCGGAGCCCGGCGCCGCCGGGGGCCCGGCAGTGATGTTAAAACGAAGCGCGAGCGTTTTCAAATTGTAGACAGGCCCGGGGGTAGGCCTTCTACGTAAAGTGCCTCTTGATATGTTGCGCGCGGTTTTTTGGCGTTTGCGATTCCGTCGCAAATCACCAAGGCCATGCGCATGCGTGTGGTTCTCACCTCTTTCAAAAATGAGGCATGGCAAAATTTTGAATTTTTCCCCTTTCCTGTGTTTTTCCCCTTGGTAAACGCGGTCCCCTCCTTGTCCGGCGACATGCCGGGTACAACTACAACCAGTGGAGCTGCGGCCAACGCTTATGTCTTCAACGGGCGTTAGCATACGGAAGGGTGAATTTGCAGTGAATTTGTATTGCATGACTTGCATTTTTTACTAAAGAGAATTACGCTGCGTAAAGGGCTGGACACGAGCAGCCCAAGCAGCCCACGCAGCGTGAAGGGCTGCTCGTCGCTCGGTGGCACTTGCAGCACCGAAAGAAGCGGGCTTACGGGGCCCGCCGGGCCGTGTAGTGCATATGTAACTAAAGAAGGTGGATCGTGGGGCTCTTGTTCATCGCGCGTTTACCTCAGAAGCTTCTCGCCGGAATGGTCGAAAGGGAGGGCGACGCCTGAACACAGGGGCACTAGTAGTCCAACGGGTACGCTCTCGCGAGTTGTGGTTTGGAATTGGATAGCTGAGAGTAGCCTCGGGTGGAAGAGAAGGCACGACTCGGCCGCGGGCACTAGTTTGCTTCCCCTGTGGTGCTCGGCTTACAACTCCGGAGCGAGACATTTTCGAGGTGGCTTCCAGGTCAAGACTTCTCTTGGTGAATTTTAAGGCTTTTTGTTTTGGCGACACTTTTTTGAAGCCCCAAAACCCGGAGTTTCTCGCGCGTTAGCGAATTTTGAATAGGCACCTTGGGCCAAAATTCACCCACGGCTTTTTCAAAATTCACCCCAAAATTCACCGAGCGCCATCTTTCGACCGTGATAAGCAAAGTCTAGCGCAAAAAAGTGCGCCAAAAAACGCGCGGGTAGGCCCTGGGAAGTGGGGCCGAGGGGAAAAGACAAGCGCCCTCTGTTGCCCTCCGCCCGTCTATATTCTGCCGAAAAGGCCTGGGGAGTTCACGCGCCTGCCGGATAGACGCGCCAAAGCTCTCGGCCTGGTCCTTTTGCCCTTGCTTTCGCGCCTTCATCTTGCGTAAACTGTATGCGCTTCGCGGCTCTTGTTTTTGGCGTCTTTGCCACGGCTGCTGCAGTGCTTGCTCTTCTGCAAGCACAGGAAGACGCAAGGACATGGCCAAAGAACGACGCCCAGGCCATGTCCAGCCGTCCGCCGCATAACCTGCGAGTTCTGCGGTGTGCAGACCGCTCTTCCCAGAAGGGCGAGAGGGACAATGTCCCGGCAGTCTCCTCTGCTATTTGTCATGCGAAATTCATTAGAGATTCACCACGTCTCATGCTAACGGGTGTTAAAGCTTTAAGCCGGCGACATGCCGGGTACAACTACAACCAGTGGAGAACAACAAGCCAACGCGGAAACCGCCGGCACAGCTGCCATGACAGCGCAACAAACTGCCAATGGTGTGACCACGCAGATGGGGCCCAACGGCCAGGAGGTCATCGTGATCCCCGCGCAGACGGGCCACCGCCGGGGCTTAGCACCGATCGTGCTGGAACCGGGCAGTGTGTCCCTCGCGAAAGCGAAGGAGGTGTTGGATGAGATGGAAAACCAGCGCACCTGGTACGACTGGATCGTGCAACTCGCGAGCGGCACCGGAGCCAGGACCTTGAACGGACACGAACTGCAAATTAAAGCGGGTAAATTCAAATTGATACACTTTCATATTGTAGTTGATACAACTAGATTGCACCAATAAGTAGAGCAAGCGATATATAATTTGGCTTCTGCTGGGTTCATCTTTTCTACTTGGCCCGCCTCGACAAATTTCTTAGCAATGCAATACCTCCTTGCAGACACAGATCATGGAGGAAGAATAAACAACTACATCTGATAGGATCAGATGTTGTCCTCTATGTGTAAGTACAAGAGCGTAAAAATTTTGACTCAGGTGCCGGCATTTCCGAGCGGCAGTTGGAGGCGTTGCGTATTGAGAAAGCCATGGTGAAGCGGATGAACGTGCAAGACCTCGCCGTGCTCATCCTTCTGGCGCTGATCTACTTCGTGACGCTCTGCTTCGGGTGGTCCATCGTGTACCGCATGTCCGCGAACCAGTCCTCCGTGACCTACTACGCCGACCCGCGGTGCCACCCACTGGTGTCCGATGCGCAGGACGTGGAGGGCATCGTCGCGGACTTCGACGTGCCGCCCACCCGGGCCTACGTCCAAGTCGTCGGCTGGGAAAAAACGCCCAGCCGCCACGGCGTGCTCTGGCGCGGCGGACGGTGGCAGGTAAATTTATAGGACTCGTGTTGTATGTACGTGCAAAATCTAATCCCGTTTTTGGGTAAAATGTCCTGTGTCTCTCGTAGTTTGCGTTCTTTTCCAAAATTCCTGTGAAGAACTACTTGTTCAAAATCTAAAGCATACTTATCTTATCAGGTCGCCTTCCAATTTGCCCTGGACGTTTCTACTTTTCTGGAAAAATATGAATTGCAAAAGTATCGTACTAGTAGTAATTGCAATACAAATTCGCTCAGCATGACAAATGGAATTTGTCATGCTGATTTGCCTTGGGAACCAGATTTGTAATGCATAAACGCAATTAGTACGAGTGCGACACTTTTGCACAGGATAAAAAAGTCGCGGATTTTTCCGACGCGGACTCGGAAAAGGTGCAGAAATTTCTCAGTTCCAACAACGATCTCGATATCCTAGGTAAAAGCGTCCCCATACCAGAGTCAAGATGGAAACTCTGCTAGACAGATCAGCCAACTTTGGTTGTTTCGCATGACAAGTTTGATGTCCTCGTAATGTAATCCTTTTGAGCTAGTTCTGTTCAGCAGCACCACAGATCTAGCATATCATGCTGATTAAGATTATAGCATCACAAGTCCCAAAACACGACTAGAAATGCCTCTCATGGGGCTCAGCATGAGAAACTTTGTTGGCATGCAGATTTGCATGACAGCTCTGGGGTGGGGACGGTTTTGCTCAGGATACTCGAGCAGTTGGTGATTGAGAAGGAAACCACCTGGCAGGGGTTTGACGAGCTGGTATCAAATGCAAAAATGTCTGGGTCTCGAAGGTGGTAACTTGTGATGCTGTCTTTGGATTCCAAAAAAATCTGTATTGCCTGACTAGCAAGAGGAGTCCAGTTTGTGCTACGCGGGGAGGGCATTTCTCATGCGGAATAAGCATCAGGAAGCCCGCTAAAAATCTGTGATGCTAGGGCATGCATTACAGGCATTATGGGCCATGCAAAATATGTATGACAAACCTGGCAATCTTCCAGACCCAGACATATTTGCAATGCATAGCTGGTCCAGCAGATCAAAAAACGCATGAAAATGGCGTCCAACGTCTACAACAGCAACAACATTGTGATGGACGTGCAGCTGAAGGCCGGCGACGAGGTGACCATATGCTCTGCAAAAGTACCGTACACGTATGATAAATTGCACTCAAGCATGACAAATATCTTTCCCAACGTGAATCAGCATTACAAATTCCAATTTTGTTCTTGGCGCAAATTGTAATGCAATTTATACTAGTACGATACAATACTTTTGCAATGCATAGGCCATCTTCGCGAACAAAACCTGGGCGAATTTCATGCACAACCGGACGACGAAAACCTTGTTCATTCTCTCCGTTTTCGGCGCGCTCTTCTACTTCCCCTACATGTACTTCCGGTGCGTGAAGACAAAAGTGAAATCCTACTACCGCGTGAACAACTCCATTGCGAACTTTTGGGAGCTCATCGAGTCCAAACTCTCCCCCAACGACGGCTTCATCCAGGGCGCTGGCGTAGCCGCGACGAACCAAGGCGGTGGAGGTCTATCAATTGTAAAAATGTCTGGGTCTGGAAGAATGGAAGGCTTGTCATGCTTGTCTGGCATGACCCATGATGCTTGTAATGCATGACCCAGCATCACAGATTTTTGGAAAGCTTCCTGATGCCATTTCCGCATGACAAATGCCCTCCCCGCGTAGCACAAATGTGTCTCCTCTTGCTGGTCATGCAATACAGATTTTTTTAGACTCCAAAGTTAGCATCACAAGTTCCAACTTTCCAGACCCAGACATTTTTACACTTGATATGGTCCGAATGGCAGCAATAACGCAGGTACTTCGTTTTTCAGCGGCTACCTGGGGAACCCGACCAACAGCCAGGACCCCTCCCCGGTCAGCGGAAGTCGGACGAGCTCCATGGGCAGCTTCTTTTCCTAGAAGAAAGAGGAGGTCTTTAGCGAAGGACCAGCTTTTGTTTTCAAATTAACAACTGTTGAAATAACAGTCCCTAAAGTAGAACCATGTTAATGAAGCAAAAAATGCCGGGGGTAGTAAGTAGATAGAAAACGACCAACAGTTGGAGCAGGTCGCAGAAAATCAAAACGAGCAAACAGCAACAGCACCACATAAACGCTATTTCGAAAATGCACCCGTGTACAACAAGGTGTGCCACGGTATTTTCCTTACCGAGCACTTCTACGCTTGACTGTTTGTACCACGACCCCGCTTTCGCCCCATTCTTGAAGCCTGTACCTTATTAATTTCATCTGTACCAATGCCAATCTTTAAGTGTTCCTTTTCTGTTTGTCTAACTACATATTCCGTTGTACTAAACGTAAACCTCAAACTTGTATCAGTTTCTGCAATTCAAATTCTATTCATCTTTCTGATGCCACGGAACAGCTCGAGCAGCCGGCTTTTCAGGCTGAGCAGCCCGGCTGAGCCAACGGCTATTGGATCTCCGCGTATTTTATAAAGTAAGTATCTGTATCTCTGTATCAAAAACCTCCAGACGTTTTCTACTCCTAGTTCTGCGCACCGGTAGCGCCACTGTACCTACTACTTCGCCGATGCTGATGAATTGTGTGGCGCGCCGTGGCAGGTTTACCCGAGGAAGATTCCGCTTGTGCACACCAGTTTGCATCGATCATATTTGTTTCAAAGCAGGAGGCTGTCAAGATGGATGATGAATCGAAGCAGGGATGACATCAACTACAACTCCGCGGCGAGGAGCCAGCTAGCTATAGCACGTTGCAAGACCACACCTATCGGATACTAGGGAAATAGTGAAAAGGAATCACTCAAAAACGAACTACCAAAACGACCCTGTAGTAGTGCATGGTGGAGCAGTTGCGAGCAGTCCGAGGGCCTGCTCCCACATGAAGGCCTCCGCACTGGGACCACGAAAACTATCGCTAATAAGTACGCTCCTGCTAGTACTGCTGTGCACGACTACACAGGATGAAATAGGATCACAAACCACATTTTTTCCAACTCTTCACTACTAGAACACTTAGCGACCATGTATTGAAACCTAATGTACGAAGGAAATAAGTACGACAAAATAAGGGCAAAAAACCGGAGATAAAAGCGGCAGCTTTCGCTCGGTTTCTTTCTCGTGACGAGGTATCAATCACCCAATCGAAGCGGTGGAGCAAGTTCAAAATCCAGGCGATGCAGCATAAAAAAAATAAACCCCGTAGTGAAAAGTAGCTTCTGAAGATTTTTTGATCCAGATCACGATGCCAAATTCGGTCTTGCAACATCTGAGCAACAAGGTTTTTTTTCCAAATTGTTTGCATCTAGTAAGGCAGCAGCATGCAGCACCAAGAATCGGTTTGACCGTTGCCCGACTCGTGGAAATGACAAATCTAGAGAATACGAACAAGATCACCGACGCTCTGGCAAAAATGGATCCCTGAGTGGATGATCAAGAAGAATTCTTCGTTGAAGTGTTTTTTAAAACCATCAGCCGGCAGCTTTGCGTTTACAACATCTTCTACCAGCAGTCTAAAACTAGCCCGCATTGCTCTACTTGAGCACTTCCACTTCTTTTTACTCGAGGATCACAAAAGGTACTAGTACGCTACTGCTACAACATCAAAGTAACATCACAGCTCCTTTATTTTTAGTGCAGCCATTATACATATTACTTAATTTTTTTAATCGTCCAACCACCTGCATCTCGATATTCACCATGATGGCGTCCCTACGTAAGGTCGTCGCCGTTCTCTCTCTGCACTTTGTTTTGCAGCACTGCGCAATCACTTCTACTGGCGTGGTCCTGTACGTGCAGGGACTCCAACCGTCCGGGTCTAATCGTCGGTCCAGCTCCGCCCCAGCGCGTGAACTACCGCTGCTGGCGCCGCACACGGAAAGCGGTGCTACAGGTAGTGTGCCTGCCGATCCTCCCGCCGGCCGTCTGCCTATCAAGGAGCTAGCGCCGCATTTCGGGGCCGGCTTCGTCTCTCGCTGGGTACCCGCAGACGGGCCGCTGCCGCGCGCCATTGGCAGGGTTGTTGGCGGGCAACCGCAGACGGCGGACCCGCGCTATTTAGCGGCTGCGGAAGCGGGAAAGAGCTGTTCTACGGTAGCCTGTTGTATAAGCAATGCTGGCTGTTGCGCGGCGGCCGGCTACCCAGTTACTGCGGTGGTGTCGTCCGGAGTTCCTGCGCTAGTGGAGTGCGCAAATGGGTGTGAAAACTGTTGTATAGCGCTGGCGAGTGATGTCCCAGCAGATGATGAAGTAGAACAAGATTCTTCAGACGAAGAAGGACTACCACCAACGCAAGAGGAGATGCCGATGCCTTAGGTCTGAAGAACCTAGCCGCGCTCCTGCGTGTGTGAGAAAATCTACTGCACAGCAGGGATCGATGAGGATTTTTTCGTGTAGAATTTATTGCCACAGGACAGACATCAGCATCACAGTAGGAGAATTCTGGTTCTGCCTGCCTGAATCGCTTCTGCTTTATATATCTTTGTCCTTCGAATTCATGTTCATCTGTGAGGAGCGTCGCTTCTCTATTATCATCTTTCGAGATGATGTTACGCTTTCGCAGCTATGGTGGAGTGGTCGATCTCGTTGCTACTAGCGCTAGTTTTCAAATTTTTATACCTGTAACTGTAAGATTGTAGGACTCCTGCATGATAATCATTTACTGGGTGCGCCAAAGGGTTGTACGACTGTAGGTCGGATTGTGTGACTACAAATATATCAGTCGAGGCGGGCGCAGCAGCAGCACCAAAGCACGTACGCACCGCCTCGCTCCTGTGGAAGAGCCTCCTGATGAAGAACGTGTGAACGCAGGCACCTCCTACCAACGTTTGCCATTTTCGGAATAAGATCATACTCCCAGAACCATCAAAAGATGAAGATCATACTCCCAGAGCCAATGTATAATGTTTGCCACTTTCGGAAACGGAAGAAGATCATACTCCCAGAACCTCCATCAAAGCGACTTTATGGCGGACCTGTGTCCTCCAATCTGGTGCACTCCCGTGCACGAAGCGACAAGGATCCACAACTTCCGTTTCATATTTATTTCGTGGTTTCAGTTTGCAATAGAAATGGAACTATGTGATTTGGTGGCTGTAGGCGGTCCAAAGTGATGAATAAAGTGGAAGAAGATGAAACTGCCAGAATTTTTACATAGCCGGAGATTAGTATGTAGCCTTGTCAGACGAGAGTGAGGGTTGATAAAGGGGGCAAAGGCATTGATAAAAACAATGCGAAGCCGCAAACGCTTACGCTGCATTGATAAAAACGGCCGGGTGCTAGAAAGGCACGTGGCTAGAACGTACATACAACATGCGGCTGTGCAAAAAAGATCTTCGTCATCGTCTTCCGGCGTGGTCAATAAAATGAGTACAACCGACGTGTCGACGTACACGAGGCTCAGATCTTCATGGTCGTTACCATGGGCCGCCAGTTACGAGGATCGATCTCATCTCTTTGTATTAGATTTGAAAGTGAAATTGATATGGTATGCCTCTTGCTGCATTTCTCGTATTTGTGCGCCAGCTAGTGTCGTTCCTTCTTCACGCATTCGTGAACAGGCTTACAAGGCCTCAGCTTATGTCGCGCAGTGGGAAGGTGAACGAGTTGACAGGGGGGAAAGAAAAACGCCAGAGGGTGGGCAAGGGAAAAAATTTCTAATGCAGGGCGGGGCCAAGCCTCTGCGCCGCTTCGTGTTGAAAGAACGAAGGCGGAGCGCCATGGCGCCTTTGGTTCCCGGCGTACGTTGTGCGAGCGCGTTTCCGAGGCGGCAAACCTTAGGCCCAACAACGCAAAGCGCGGCAGCGGGCGGGCGCCAGAGGGCGGCGGAAGGTAGGAAGCAGGAGAACAACCCGCGCCATGCGCGGCGCTGGCGCGTCACGCCCCGCCCGCGCGTCTGCTTTGTGGTCCGTCTGTGACGCCTGCCGGTGTGCCCTGCCCCTGCGCGCCTTGGTGCCCCCCGCCCTTCTCCCGCGCGCGGCCTTCCAGAGCAGCGGCACGCTGGGGCCCCTGCCGCGCGCGTTGGTAGAGCGTCATAGGCCCTAGTTTCATTATGCTAATGTGTTTTCATCATCGCGTCCTAGGAGCTACGGAAGATGACAGGTTTTGTCTGTCCTCATGCAAAATAACAAAAGTGCGAATGATAATGATTTGATGTAGTTCCCGAAAAAAGCTACACTCCTGCACCAGTTCATTTTTTTCTTTGGATAAAGCTCACGTCCGCGCCCTTTGAGTAGAAAATTGCCTGCTACCACACCGTTACAGTGACCGTTGGAACCGGCGATAATCGTCGGACTGAAACGCGTATCCTGTGCAAAAGTATCGCACTCGTAGTAATCGCAGTCATGCATTACAAATCTTCATCCCAAGGTAAACCAGCATGACAAATTCCATTTGGCATGCTGAGCTAATTTGTCATGCGATTTATACTAGTACGATACTTTTGCAGTTCATAGCGCGCAGGGTGTACACGCACGAGGCCAGTTTCGCTGGACGCATGGAGTGGACGGACGTCAGCGAAACCTTTGTGCTACCCTGCAGAAAAGCACACCAATATTACCTCCCGAAAAAAAATTATATGTCATTCTGCTTTTTTGTGTCAGAAAAAGAAAAAAAATTGCCTGCTCGCCTGATTAGTGATTATGCAGGTCCGCATCACAAAGCACAGAACTCCGGCAACACAAAGTTTTCTAGGGTTGTATTTTTAACGGTTGTACTTTTCATCTCTGGGATAGGTGCCGAAGTTGGAGGCGGTGAACCCTGACACGGGTGAGAGCCAGGCAGTTGCGTGGACGCGGATGGTGACGGATATGCAGCTGGACTACTCGCAGTCCGATTACCAGGCCGAGTTTCAAAACTGGGTGAGGGCCAATTGGAAGGACGTCAGCGCGGAGTCCAGTGAAACCGTGACTTTTGACAATGCTCTGACCGCGGACTTTCTGGCCCAGTGGCACGAAGGTGTGGCACGCCCGTGGTACTTGCAGGAGCACTACTTGAACCTGGCCAGGATGTTTGGTTTGCTCCTGTGCTTGAAGTACAAGGTCATTAACAGTGTGATATCCACTGCAAAATTTTTACTATCGTACTAGCCGTACCGGTACCACTAATCGCGGTCACGCATCAACACAAATGTCAATGTCTCACTTCTTCTTTCATACCTGATCCAACGTGCCATAGTGCATTTGCATTTTTGTTCTTGAAAAAGTTTGTGATGCATTTACCATTACCGCTAGGACGAGTTACAATTTTTGCGATGCATAGCTGAGCCAGCAGTACGTGCAGTTTCGGAAGATCGCGCATCCTATGACGCAAAAACCACCGCCGCTGGGCTGAGGAGCTGCTTTGGATGAGCGTAGCGGGCGGAGGAGGCTACAGCGCCTGCAGGGTTGAAAACCTGCACAGACCCTAGGGCTCAGTACTTTTTACCGGGTTCGACTTGTTTTGATGAGACGTCGCTTTGTTTCGTTGTTTCATGATCATGCATTCTTTATCCAGTAGTACGTCGGAAATAGTACTAAACAAGCACCGCGCATGCTGAGCATTAGCATCAACCACACAGTACAACTTTAAACTCAACGCAGTACAACTGAGCACGTTTTTGTACACTTATTGTCTATTAACTAAACTCACTGTTTATAAACAAGATCAGGATCTATATCTAAGTTAGAGTTATTCCCGAGTTGGGCAGATGTCTAAGGAGAAGGACCCGAGCAAGGACCATTTTGTCGGATGAACTTGGATCAGATACGAAGGGTTGTTTTACATCGTCGTGCTAGCCTCGTTGACCAGGTCCGAGGCGGCGCACAATGACGAATACTCAATTGTGCGCCAGCTAGTGTCGTTCCTTCTTCACGCATTTGTTGTCGTCGTCCATCGTTCAGCTTTCGCTTCATCGTTTTATGGACAGGAACACTGTACTCCCACTCTTCGTGCAACATTTCGTGACAAGTTTCTTCAAAAGAAAACTCGTTCAGCTCAATATTAAGCTAGTTCTTTTTCTTTTAGTTGCTAGTTTTGCTTCTGTGAACTTACTTACTATGCTTGTGCCTGACGTTTTCGTTTTCGACTCAAGGACAGGCCCCAGGAACCGGTGCTTTGCCGCTAAGTACAACACACAAAATTATGCCGCACCACTAGCACTAACGCTAAGGTTTATTCCATTGGTGGCACTTTGGAGTCATGTGAGTAAACGATACTGTGACGGACGTTGTGCCCCCTTTTGCAACTACGGCTTCATCTAAAGGTATGTTGACGCCTCCCTCGCGTAAACTTACAGGATACAACTGATGTGATGATATTGTCACCAAGCTCGTCTGTTGCTAGTAGTGGAAGTGGTTTCTTCTTTACTTCCTAGAAAATACAAATAGCAGCACACCCCCGAGCCCGACCCTGTCGCCGCTTCGTCGTCGTCCGACTCGTCTTCGTCGGTTAATATCATCATGTTGGCCCTTCTGCACAAGGGTTCCGCCACCGCGATCCGGGAGTTGGACCGGGTTCGCAAGGAAAACAAGGAGCTGCAGCTAGAAAACGCGCGGCTGAAGCTGGACGCGAAGTTGAAAGTTCTACTGGTGAACAACCACGCCATCCGGGCGATTTCGCACACCAACGAGGCCGACCTAATCCGGAAAACGTTTGCCGCCTGGCAGAAATTTTCCGCGCTGGCGAAGGCAAAGAGGCAACTGGTCACCTCGAAAACCGACTTTTTGCTCGTGGTAAGTATCTATAACTTTATGTTGTTACTTCAAGACCATTTGCATTTTCAGGATGGTTTGCGCGTAGGTGTAGATGATCCTATTCGCACTGTAGGCCTGTATGCTTTATTTTCTGATGATAGATGAAATAAACTCAAACGAAATCAATAAAACAGCTCCAAGCTCCCCACCGGCGCGCGTTTCGCGCCTGGCGGCAGCACGTGCACCACAAGCGCCACGTGAAGTTTGAGCAGCTGAGGCGCAAATACCGCGAGGAGACCGAAACCTACGAAACCAGAATCGCCTCCTTGGAACAGGAATTGACGGCGCAGACCGGGCCGGACAAGCGGCAGCTCACCCGGCAGGTCGAGGCGCTGGACCGTGAGCTAAGCGCGGTGAAGCGGGAGAAATCTACGTTGGAAGAGGAGTTGAGCACGAAAATTACCTCCCTCCAATCCGAACGGCGCGCCATGGAGAAGAAGGTCAAACTCGCCGCGGCGCTGGAGTCCGAGGCCGTGGAAGCGCATTCCGAGGTGAGCCGGGAGCTGGACCGGCACCGGGCGTCGCTGGAGCTTTCCCGCCGCCGCTCCACCATTTCCGACGGCTTCCTGGAGGCGCGGGTGGCGGAACTGGAAACGGAACTGAAACTAGCGGACCAAGTGGTCAAACGGCTGCAGCTCACCGGGGCCCGGATCTTGCAGATCACCCGGGACAAGCAGTTGAAAGTGCAGCTGTTCTCGCACTGGAAGAACTACGCAGCGCTGCACTTCTCTACTTCGGCACAGCAAGCAGATGTTGAGGGATACAAAGACAACAAGAATTCTTATCAGACCTCCACAGGCACGACACTAGAACGCAGCAGGAATCACAGAGGCAGAAATCGTACGGGACTCAGCAAGCGCACTCGCGAGCGGCGGCTGCCGGTGCGTTTCTCTGAATACGAGCGCGTTGAGCAGGAGTTGCAGGAGACGAGAGACCTGTTGCACGACACACACACCCGGATTCAGGAACTACAAAAGGAACTGGGGGATGGCCCGCTGAAGGACCTGCAGCGTGCGGCCCAGTTCGGCGGGTCTTCGGCGCGGTACTGCGTGAAACGGTTCCTGGAAAAGTACGACCTGTCGGCGGTCATTTTGGCGTTGTTCACGCGGGTGCTGCTCCTGCAAGAGGAAAAGATGCGGGGGCCGGGTGGCGGTGCGGGCATGATGAACAGGAAAAATGCTTCCGCAGCTTTAGGCAATTATAGTAGAGACGAGGGTCAACATCTTCTGCAAAATAACGGGAAGCTAAAGTGGAACGCCTCGACGACCGTGGGAAACATGGCTTCCAACAGGGCTTTAGCGTTTCCTTTGGAGCAGGACATTATATACCGTCACGGGATCTTGGGGTATAATCAACATCCTGAATATCAAACGCGAACAGCAGTTAGACAAGGAAAATCGCAGAAGTTCATCAAAAATCGAGCACCCCCCTGTCCGGGGCTCCCGGGACATATAGTTGATTTGTGTGGGCCCCAACCATTTCGCATTTCCCCCCTGCGGAGCCCGCCCCGCCATGCGCTGCCGCTGGCATGTGTGTCGTTTTGAGTTCTCACGCCTGCGCATGTACGAGCCGAAGCGATCCCAGCACTTGCTTAACAGTCTTGCTCCGATTCAAAGACGCGCGTCTATGAGAAAACAGCTCCACAGGGTTCGAAGGTGGTGCGCGTTTACAATGAGTCGCATTGTTCCGAAAACGTTGCCGGCCCCCATTTCTTGTCCTGTCGCAGCGCGGAGCCCTTACAGTTTGCCACCTGAATCGCTCGCGCAACCCGAATAATGTAGAGCAACGCCGCCACATTCACCAGCAGAACCACCCAAAGCGCCAGGGGCAAACCAGCAAGCGCCCAGCCCGTTTCCCCGCCCCGGCCCGGCTGTCGAAAGCGCCGGGCAAAGGCGTGCCCGAAAGCGCCGCGGCCCTGTCGGAAATCGCCGGCAGGGGCGACCGCGATACCAGTGGCGTGGCCCGATGCGGTGGGTGTTGCATGTGCGGCCTCCGTCCGATGGCCGGAGGCCCCCCGAACGTCTCGCCCCAGTTCTGGAAAGGTTCTGGCAGATGCTGAAGCGCGCGGCCCTGAGCCCGCCTTCGCTGCGATCGGAAGCGGTGCCTGGCGGCCGGGGCGGCGGCCGGTCCGAAGGGGGCAGCCTGGCGCGCCCCGGCGTGGCTCCGGGGCCGCCGGCGTTCTCTTTGGCCAAAAGCGAAAAGAGCTGCTTCCGCGGCCGCCGGGGGCCCCGGCCGGGCAGCCAAAGGGGCCCCCTTTTTCGCAAAAAAAAGCAACCCCAAAAAGCACCCCCCTTGGGAAGCCTTTCCCCCACCTAAAACTGAAGAATTCCGCGCCCAAAAAAGCACCCCCCTAAAGCACCCCCCTGAGGGGCCCCCCGGCTTCGCCTTCGGACAGGAGCTCCTCCCGGTTTTCCCTTCTCGCCTTCTTTGTTTTATTGCCCCCATCCCCGCTATATTCCCAGGGCAAGCACGTCCCAAGACACCCATGGCCGCGGGCTTTTGGAAGAAAGAACGGCGGGCCGCCTCGTCTTCGCAGCAAATGCGGGCACACGGCCGCGCGCTTTTGAATCTGCCAAAAACTTTCCAGAACAGGGGCGAGGCGTTCGGGGTGTCTTCGGCTACCGGACGGAGGCCACATACGCAAAACGCATCGCGCCGGCCCGCGCCACTGGTATCGCGGCCGGCCTTGCCGGCGAATTCCGACAGGGGCGTGGCGCCTTCGGGAGCGCACGTGGCCCGGCGCTGCCGGCAACCAGGCCGGGGCGGGGACACGGACTGGGCGGCTGCCCGTTTGCTCCTGCGGCTCTGGGTGGTTCTGCTGGTGGATGTAATGTCGCTGCTCTACATTCTTCGAGCTGCGCAAAAGATTCAGGCGACAAAGTGGAAGCGTTCTGCGCTGCGACAGGACAAAAAATGGGGCCCCGGAACGTTTTCGGAACAATGGCGCCGATTTTAAACGCGCGCCACCTTCGAACGCCTTCGGGCTGTTCTTTCATGAGCGCCTATTTTTGAACCGGAGCAGGGTTCCAGAGCAAATGTTGGAGGCGCTTCGGCTCGTACATGCGCAGGCGTGAGAACTCAAAACGACACACATGCCAGCGGCAGCGCATGGCGGGGCGGGCTCCGCAGGGGGGAAATGCGAAATGGTTGGGGCCCACACAAATCAACTATATGTCCCGGGAGCCCCGGACAGGGGGGTGCTCGATTTTTGATGAACTTCTGCGATTTTCCTTGTCTAAAGCAGGTAGTCCACACTACAGCGTCCACGGAGATTCCGGCGCGTCTCCCGGACAAATTTTTAATAGCTTGGACGAGGATGAGGACTATTTTTACAACCAAACAGAAACACCACCACTCCGCAGCACAACGCTAATCCGTAACACCTCGACGGCGGCGGAAGCGCGCATCAAATGGCTGCTGAGACACTGGTCCAGGACGGGGTTGTTGGAGTCCCGGGGAGACCTGCACCAGATTGTGCAGCGGCTGCGGATCCGCGACAGCAACATGGTGACGCAGGTCCTGCTGTTACTCCTCAAATACCCGGATCACGAGAGTCACCTGCAGCCGCTGGACGCGGTGGTGCGGCGGCTGGTTTGTGGGGAGGCCAAACCGGGGGAGTTTCTGGCCAAGTGTGTCTTCTTCAACACGGACCATCTGGATCAGGAGCACGCGTTGTTCGGTTTTTACGATAGCAACGGAGCTGGTGCTTCTCCAGAATCAGAGGAGTTCTTGGAAAACGGGGGAGACGAGGCCGAAGGTCGTATTCGAGCAAGTCCAAGAGGTCCTCCGAACTATAATCGTACCAGACCCGCCCCGGAGGCCCGAAACCGAATAAAAGGCGGCCCAACATCAAGCGTTTTCAGTCCGCGAGACCGACGCACTGGGGTGGTGTCAAGCCATGCGGGAGGGAAGGACTTTTACGACCGTTTGGTGCAGAATGCGTACTCGTCCTTACAGAAAACTAGGTACGCCATGTGGGACCTGGTGAATGTGTGAAAACGCACGGGTCGTGCGCCACGATGAAGGCGAACTCTCTGCTGGCGTTATAATATCTTTGTCAAACTTCTAAGGGGCTCCACCAGCAGCGCTACTACAGCTGCCCCTACTGCGTTTTGACAAGTCATCGAAGATGCGTTTTGATTCGTGTCGTGCTATGTACTTATGCTCGCGTTTCGAATTGCAGTTGTACTCCTAGTATCAAATACAGAAGTACTCAAACTTCGTGCTTTCAAGTTTGAAACAGCGACAAGGTCCTTGATGGTGTTCGAAAAGAGAAGGTCTTCTCTTGTTGATGCAGTTGTGATTGAATCTGGAGGGTGAAGTTCTCTGACTAAGCGAAGAGACGCACCGTGCAACAATAGAAGATGGCCATGGCCATGGCGATCGAACAAATATAAAAAGAAAAAAGATCGATCATGATCCAAGACCTGAACCAAATGGCCTGGCTCGTGAAACATTTACCCTGTCCTTGTACTACCGTATGAAAAGGCCTGGCATGATACACACTTCTGAAATTCTCTGTAGAACGATCAAGATGGATCTCGAAGCCACCAGCTCCGAAGACGATCAAGATCTCAAAATCTGTATTAAACGATCAAGTGCAGATCTGTTCTTCTTCTTCTTCTTGATCCTTCCAAAAAGTACAATATTGAAGACGTTAGAAGACAAGGCTGCCGGCGAAGTTCAAGTCGTGTCAGTACTACAGAAATACACCTACTTGCTTCCAATTGAAACTAGACAGCGACTTCGAGTAGAAGCCTAGCTATTGTAGCCCTACCCATTTGTTCCCGACAACGAGCGTACGGCTTTAAAAGAACGTCGATCTCCCTTGGCTGCACATCAGTACCCCACCATAAGTACTTTTACACGGCGACTCATCTAAGCCCATTGTCGCAATAAAGTTGTACTTGCAATCTCTATTAATTCAGCGACACATCAAAAACCTTCTCGACGTAGCAACATGCCGCAACACAACGCTCCCACCTGGTATGGAGAGAAAAAAGTTTGTCACAGTCACTACCTTGCAGGTTTTGCATTACAAATTTTTTCAGAATCACAGCTTTTCTTTGTATTGCATGAGCACTAGGGAAATCCCTTATGAAGTTTGGCTGTGATGCATTTTTACGCATGACAGAAAATTTTGCATTGCAAAAATGCGCATGAGTGATCGTGACGAACTTTTTTTGTTTGATACCTGGTCCACGGCGGAGCAGGAGATTGTCCGGGACGGCCTAGCGCAAAACATCCGGCTCGGAAGTTGTAGTCGGGACTCCTCTATCCTGTGCAAAAGTATCGCACTCGTAGTAATCGCAATCATGCATTACAAATCTTTATCCCATGGCAAAGCAGCATGACAAATTCCATTTGTCATGCTGAGCTAATTTGTATTGCAATTACTACTAGTACGATACTTTTGCAGTTCATATCCTCGCCTTCTGCGCTGTCGTCATCTTCCTTCCACGTCGAACACGATGTCATTTCCTCCGCCCACGGGTCGGCCTTTGTCGCGAGTAAAGACACCAGACTGGTCGTCGGGTTAAAGGCGCAAGCGGAACAGAGAGCGAACAACTGTTCTGCTTCATCAACAAAAAAACCAACTACCACCCAAAATCTCCTGCGAGACTGCCTTTCCCTAGAGGTGCAGTTTCTTCCCGGCGTGCAGTCGGCGTATTTCCACAACGCCGACGCGGTGGCACAGATGCTCCGGAAATTTGTGTTGCCAGTTTTGGAGCAACAACCGGAAGATGTTGAACAGGAAGACGTAGAAACAACTACGGGACCAACTACTACGACACGCACTTCATTTCTCAACCCCCCCCTCGCCCGGTGCCTGGAAACCCTCCGCCAGGCAGGCTTTGCGTTGACGCTGCAGTTCCAAGTCGAAATTTCAGAAGCGGGTGTGGGGTTGCTAGACGCCGCCAGTGTGGGAATCGGGGCCTGTTTGGAGAGTTTCGAGATGCCGGTGTTGGGCATTGAGTACGACGCGGGAAGGACCCGGGTGGTGCCGGAACAGCTGCGGGAGCAAGGAGATAAAAGCCACGGAACGATAAATATTGACGACAACATGATGCGGTTCGACGAGCATGCGATTGCCAGTTTGCTGCCGACCGCGAGAACCATGGCGGTTTTTGGAAAAAGAACGGAACAGCAAGAACAGCATCAAGAACCACCAGCAGTCGCGGCCAGCACAGGAGCTGCTGGTGAAAAAGAAAAACATCATCTGCAGATCATGAATAAAACGTCAAAGCAACACGGTATCGTGTTCAACCCGAGTCCGGAAGAAGCGGGCTGTTGCCCCTTGTGGATTGCTTTTGTTTCGCGGAAGCATGGACTCACCGGGCTACAGGGGCCTTTTGGCGAGACCCGAGAGGGAATTCCGCCGGAAGTGATTCTGCAGATGGAGGAAATGTTTACCGCGACCGAGGGTGGGCCGCGTGGGAACAGGGATCGTGCTGACGACGTGAACATCAATATGGAGTTTGTTGATGAAGAGGATGAAGATGTTGTGCAAGATTCTCCTACCATGGACCAATCATGAAGAGGCATAAATGAAGTCGCGCGAGGAGAACGAACTGTACAAAGGTAAACTGCAACCTGAACCTCAAAAAAATCCTTTCATCTCTGCTTGACGTATTGTTGAAAAAACGGATATTTTCACCTCAGGGATGTTGTGACAGGCGCTTTGCACCATAAGCTGTTATGACGGATGTTGCGCAACTGCAACGGTGTTCGGCGATAAAATGATTTTATCGGAGCTATGTATAATACTTTGTGCTTACTGCATCACGACCGATTTTGTGCAATGGGTCGTACTTCTACTACGATTAGAAGTTGAAATGAACATCGTGAACCACAACCAACATATACACCTTGCCGTTCTAGCAAGCGCTTTCCAGCTTCTACTGCCATTTTATCGATCATATCGATGTATTTTCATTGTGTTGACGGCTCTTCAGGCTGTCGTCCCAGCTGGTCACATTAAAATGAGCAAGAGAGAAAACTCAATTTTTTTACTGCGACAGAACGAGCAGTTCTATTACTATTTTTAGCCTTTACCTTTTGACGTTTTGACATAATTCGTTTTATCCGCCGCATTTTCGTAAAATATGGCCAAGCAAGAGCCTTCAGTAGAAGTTGCTCCAGCAACCTCCTTATGAACTGCAAAAGTATCGTACTCGTATAAATGCATTACAAATTTCCTCAGCGCGAGAAATGTATTTTGTAATGCGGACTTACCTTAAGAAAAAATTTGTAATGCGTGATTGCAATACGAGTGTGATACTTTTGCACAGGATACTCCTCGTCGTTCTTCCCCTGCGTTTCTCTTGCCGTTCATGACCCGCGGACTGGTTTACTGGAAAAGCACATCATCAACCGCAAACACCCGCTCCCCCACGACGTTCTCATCGACATCCAGTACGCGGGCATTTGCCACAGCGACATCCACCAGGCACGGGCGGAATGGCCCATCGACTGCATTTTCCCGATGGTACCCGGGCACGAGATTGCGGGGGTGGTGGAGAAAGTTGGGAAGAGCGTCACGAAATTCAAGGTTGGGGAAAGGGTGTCCGTCGGTTGCTTTGTCGATTCCTGCCGGGATTGCGTCAGCTGCCACGACGGCGTCGAGCAGTATTGCATGTCGCGGAAGAAGGGAAAAAGCGAAAAATTCGGTGCCATGTTCAAATTGAAGAATCTTGCGACCTACAACTGCTGCGTTGGGGAAGAGATGGCAGCGGAAAAAGGATTGCCGGATACGGTATTTCTATTTTATTTTACATGCGTTTGCGTCGTGCTCGTGGTGGTGGAGGTTTATTGTCGTTGTGTCCTTATACTTATTTTTGTCATGCTACAAAAGTTCCGGTCCTCCCTCGTCACACCAGATCCTCTACGGTGGCTACTCGAAGAAGATCACGGTCGACGAGAATTACATCATGCGGATCCCGGACTCCCTCGACTTTGCGAAGGCCGCGCCCCTGGCCTGTGCCGGGATCACGACCTACTCTCCTCTGAATCACTACGGCGTGCTGAAGGCCGGAAAAGCGTTCCGCGTGGGCATCATCGGTGTGGGCGGACTCGGCGCCATGGCGGTGAAGTTCTGCAAAGCGGTCGAGAACGAGACGTGGTGCATAAGCAGCAGCGAACGGAAGAAGGAGTATTGCCTGAACGAGCTCCAAGCGGACGGCTTCGTGGTTTCCTCTGATAAGCACGAAATGCAGAAACTGGAGCACACGTTTGACTTTCTGCTCTGCACCATCTCCGCTGATTTCGAGTGGAGCGGGTACTTGAATTTGCTGAAGCCGCAGGCAACCATCTGTCTGGTCGGGTTGCCCCCGAACAAGTGCCAGATCAAGCCCTTCGACTTCGTCGCGCGCCGGATCAAAATCGTTGGAAGCCTCATCGGCGGCATCGCGGAGACGCAGGAGATGCTGGATTTCTGTGCGAAGCACAACATCGCGTCCGACGTGGAAATTATCGCGCCGAAGGAGATCAACCGGGCCTGGATGGAGTTAACCAAGAACGCGAATCGGAAGGCGCGGTTTGTGATCGATTGGACGTGCGAGCCGGTGGAGGGCGGGGACTGGGAGATATGAAATGCAAAAGCATCGTATTCATCGTATAAATTTAAATGCATTACAAATTTTCTCAGCATGAGATGAAATAAAATTTGTAATGCTGATTTTCCTTGACAAAGAAATTTGTAATGCAAGAGCAGCATTTATACGAGTACGATACTTTTGCACAGGATAGGAAACGGAGAAAAACAAAGAGCATTACAATCACGTGATACACCCAGACGCCACACTGTTCGGAGCACCACCACCGCCTCCGGGGACTACACAAGGTGGTGGTGGTATCACCGCCGGGCCGGTTCGGGGAGGTGGGGGTAGAACCAGCAGGGGGGGCTGCTTCCGGCTGTAGTTTCGGATCATGTTCAAAATTTATTCTCCGCAAAACGAAGATGTGCAGCAGATGCGGAAAATTGGCTGTTTGAAATATTAAGTTTTATATAAATGATATTGCTAGGACTGACACTGAGTCATTTCCAGGCTAAAGTGCTCGTTTTTCAGGCGGGGTTCAGTCCGTGACGTCTTGGTATAGCTTAGGAAAAATCCAAATCGACACGCTATAATCTTCTAGAGTCAAAATAAAACACAAACGCCCAGAGATGATGATTGCAGACAACTACATCATGCAACTGAATTTGCAAGAAAGTTTCTCAGCTCTGGACACTAGACAGAAATCTGTCGTGCACTGAATAGATATTTTTGATTTTCCTCATCCTGAATGGAGAACAGGTAAAACAAATTTGGGTGTTGTGCTTTTCGGATTCCAAGAGAACCAGTTGCGACTGTCCGGCAGAAAAACAACTGTAATCAACAAATTGGAATGTTGAGGATCAAGATGTTGATGTCGGTGTAGTGTGCATGATTTTTTTCTCGCCGGACACCGTCCTTGAGAATCGATCCCGACACAGTGACGAAAATCTGTCTAATCCTAAATGAAGAAAAGTACAATTTTCCTGGTGCTCGTCGTTGACCTTTGTAGCGCAGGAATGAGGATGTCGGCAACAACAGATGAACTTTCACACCATTATGCGCAAAACGTGATGCTCACCTTAGCCGGCCCCGGCGCCGCCCGCACTGATAATTATACCCAGGAGCAAAGCGATAGCGACTAAAAAATGGACGATCCAGCAGTTGCAGCAACCACCACAACCTCCGTCTCCAACAAGCCAAATTTCTCCGGGCGCACTTTGGGTTCCTGCGTCCTCCCGGGATCCTCCTCCCCAGCGAGAAGCATGTCATCACAGCCGTCCAGCCCGAAAATCTCCCCCGGGCGGCAACACCAACAGCGAACAAAAAGAATCGGCGTTTTAGGAGGCAGTTTCGACCCAATCACGGAAGCACACTTGACCACCGCGGCGGGAGTGGTGCAGGCGGGTTGTGTAGACGAGGTGTGGCTGCTGCCGTGCGGCGCCCGGCCGGACAAGCCGTCGTTGAAAACACCGGTGAAGGATAGGGTTCTGATGTGTCATCTGGCGGTCAACACCCGGTTCGATGGCGCCTTCCCGATCCGGGTCTGCGAACTCGAAGCGGACGCGCAGACCTACATTCCGACCTTCGAGGTCTGGAAGGAACTGACCAAGCAGGCGAACATCAATAACGACCACAAGACCGAAGTCTACATCATCATCGGGTCCGACTTGATTCCGACCTTGCCAAAGTGGAAATTTGCGGAGGAGGTCTTCGAGCAGGTGCCCTTTCTCGTGTACGCGCGCGACGGGTATGAAATACCTGGTAGCAAGCCTAGCACTACTAGTCCGAAACAACAACAAGGACAAGGTAGTACTATTAATGGGAATAAAAACGCAGCGACATCATCTCCAAACAATATCCGGTGGCCCAGGCGCGCAGAGGTGATCAAGCCACCTACGGGGATGCATTTGTGCACGAGCAACGGGTCCTCATCGGAGGTGAGAAACCGAATTCGGCAATTTGATGCAGCGACAGGTGGTGGGGCTTTGCTACGAGATAGAAACTTGCATTGCGTGGCAGGCTTAGTGCCACAGGCTGTGCTGAATCACATTATGCGGGAAAATCTGTACCGTACATAGAAGAAGTCGTTGGTGCAGTTGTCGTTCTTCTTTCTTCACATCTACTAGATGCCGTACCGGATGCACGATTTGAAAGCGGCAAGACCACAACGAATTTACAAGCAAACGACTAGTACTCGAAGGCGGCGTTACAAGTTGCAAACACCGTGCTTCGAGTTTTTTTTTGTGTTCCGACGAACGGACTTCGACGATCGCGATTTAGCAAGGAGCCCATGCGTGGTGCCTGCGCTTCAATATTGAAGCTGAACTACCATTGCGACTAGGTGTAGATTGACACTAGCGCCCCAGTGTCGAATGCTGATCAGTGCCTCCGGCTGCTGTTTGTTCCATCCGAACTGAACGAGGAAAAGCGTCCGTGATTTTGAATCATAAAACTCAAAATTTAAATTTTCTTTTCCAGTCACTGTCACAGTGGAATCACTATCACGAGCTAACCTGGTCTTGAACTTCGACGCCACATTTTAGTTTCTAGCAGCGAGTTACGTCAGCGATTGTACAACTGCTCCATCGTATAACTACGGATCTGTTAAAGTTAAACGGAAACATTAACATGCCCGGAGACCAGGCGCCACTTGCGGCGCACCCGCACCAGCTCGGGACCGCTACCGGTGGACCGGGTGCAGATTTTGCGACTTTGCTGCGCGACACACTTGTGGCTCCGTTTCTGGACAAAGTCGAGGAGGTGCAGGGGGACGGTCTTCTGTATTTCGTTTTGGCCGATATCGGAATCGGCGGCCACGGCTACGTCTTTCCCATCGACAGATACAGCGTCACGCGAGGGGCGTCTGGCGCTTTGGTTCGCAGGCCGGCAGGACGTGTGTACTCGGTTTGGTTTTTCCGCGGCGACGGGGATCTCAATGGTGGGGATTCGCCCACGTTGCAGCAGCTGCAGGCCAAGTGGGAAAGGGAGACGGACAACGAGCCAGATCACGTTCTCCTTGGACCATTCCGGGCGCGCTTCGACTCACTGGAGAATGTGCAGCGCTTCATCGAGAACTGTATCGTCAACATGATTAGGGAGCGCGCGTACAGGGGAGGAGAAGAGCAACCTGAGGGCATCACGAAGTTCGATGAGATGCCGTTGGGACTGTTTGTTGTGGACCGCCGAACCCCCGAGAACCACGTGGCGCTGTTGGCCGGGCCAAGCGCCTACCGCATGCCCGTTCTCGGTGAGCTTGCTGGGTTTTTAAAACTCATGGATGGCTACCAGTCACCACCGCCAGACGGGTTGTAGCATCAATGCTGCCAGAACTGTGGTAGTGGTGCTCTGTGCCCACACAGCTCGTCCTCGTGCTCGCGGGATCTCCTGGTTGGAGTAAAAAGACCCGATTCTCATTTCCGGCGCATGTTGATCTTTGTGGTTCCACGCCCTGCAGTCCTCGAGGGGTCATCTTGATATGAAGCCATTATGTCCTGGTTTGGACTCGTCCCACCTCGCAGAAAACACAACGATTTGAGCTTGTAGATTTGAGCTTGTAGATGTGGGTTGGTGGCTGAACAAAGACAAAAGACGAACCAACTCCAAGTGCTGGGCTCCCCAAGCTTCCTCTTGGAAGTAGAGATAGTCGGCTGCGTGCATGGTTTTGCGCTAGTGCTGGTCGTTTTTTGCTCGGGATGATTGGTGTTCGTCTTTACCGCGTCTGCAAGAACATCACGTCACTGTTCTTTCTGCAACTTCTATCGTATCTTTTCATTCAGAACAGACTGAATAAAAATCTGACTTTTAACCGACCAGCACCAAGTAGAAGAATGTGCCCCACGTCGAGCATGAAGAAATATGCGACTTGGCGTGGAGTTGAGATCCCAAAAGAATTACTTACGCTATCAAGTAGTGTTGCGACGGAGCCGTAGCGCAGCTTTTTCTATTCCTGCGGCCTCCAACAACATAAAGAAAGAAACTTGTCTTCCGAATAAACACGTTTCTCTGTGTCTCCTTTTTTCCCTCAATATATAGTATATATTGAGGCATGGACAGTCGTGTTCGTATATTATACGAACACGACTGTCCATGCCGCTTGTACTGAGTGTCCAGACTTAGACAGTTTCACTTTCAGTCACACGTAGTATAACAGCATCGAATTATGCGATTTTCAGTAGAAGATGAAGTACATGACTTACAGAACACGGAGATGAGCAAAGGTAAAGGTTTTCGGTAGCATAATTTTTTAGGAAAAGGACAAAACCTTACGTCCCAGCGCACGGCCCACCAGGTCGCTCATTTGAAGTCTCTCCCTCAAACATGAATACCGAAGATTGAGACTGTCGAAAAAATGAGCCTTTTCAGCGGTTTAAATGTTGTGCCCAAAACGGCGGCAGCGGCCCAGGCGTCGCCCAGTGTTGCCGAGCATGCGGACCCCGCAACTGGCGTGACAGCAGGACAACAACAAGCGCCAGCACAACCACCGGCAGCTGCGCCTGCGCCTTCAGCATTCTCTTTCGTAAAACCGCCCACACCGACGAATGTTGCTCCTCCTTTCGCACCGCAACCAAGGGCAGCTGCTGGTGGCGGCACCGCCGCCGGCCCATCGGAGCTGTCCTCCATCTATCCACCACCAGGAGCAGCAACTTCGGCCTCCCCCGGCATCAACATGGTCCCACCAATCGACACCAATCTGGCGCTGTCCCGCAGTAACTCCAACAGTACGGTAAGGACCGAAAACACAGTTTCTGTTGTTGCAGGAGTGGAAATAAAATCAAACCTCCACCAGCAGCAGTCCACCGTTGTCCCCGTAGAAGTGAATCCGGAGCTAATGCTGCAACAAGGACAGCCGCGAAAGAAAACGCGCAGAGCCAACGCACCCGGGTTCCTCGCGAAGGCTTCTGCGCCCTCGCCGGTCGCCGCGGCGGCGGAGGCAATGCATGTGGCTGGAGCTGCTCCTGGAATGGTGCCGACCGCGAACGGAGGAATAAGTAGGCCTCCGCAGCCCCCGCCTGCGCCACCTGCTGTGCCGCAGTACTCATCCAAGTCGAAAGAAGGAGAAGACGAAAATGATCATGACCACGACGACGAGCGAATACGTACAGATGAAAATGAAAATAGCAGCCAGCCCGTCGTGGTAGGTCCGACGATTCTGACCACCAACGCAGCTAACACTCCCGGAGGCGAAAGTGCGAAATCTGCGTCCACTACAGGTCCAGGAGGATCTACTACGCAGTTACCACTACCAAGCACAACAGGACAAGCCGACACAAGAACTACAGCCTCTTCCTCCAAACCCCATCCACCTCCCGTGGAGGAACAGCCCACGCCGTCTGGCGGCGGAGGTATGGTTTCGTCTATGTTTTCCTTCTTACGCGGCGCGGTAAGCAGTAGCGGATCTTCGTCCACCACGGCGGGAGGTGGTGTCGCCAGTACGGGCATGACGCCACCGCCGTCCGGATCGACAACAACGACAAGTAAACAGAGCACGCCGCCGCCACCACCACCACCGCCGCCAGTCACTAGTATGATGAACAACAATACTAGCAGTGCTGCAAGTGCTGGGACAATGCCTGGAACGCCGGTGAATATTAAAGCAGTAGCAGCACCCTCTGCCTTCGGTTTCTTGCAGGCCCCGGCGAGTGCGACGATGGGGCAGCAACAAGGAGGAGGATCTTCTACCACTTCCGGTAGCGCAGCGGCTAATACGCAGCAGCACTATTCCGTTCCGCTCGGAGGGTCAGCAACAAGAACAGCATCATCCTCGGACGTCAGGCCGTCGTCCCCTGCGGCCGTGTCCTCGACCACAAATGCGGGAGGGATGAATAAAACGTTGGACCAAGAAATCGCCAACGTTTTCAACTGTGCCGGGCTGCAGCATTTGTTTGTCAAGGTCAAAGCCGTGCACGAGAAGGAGGAGCAGGCCACGCTGGAAAGACTCGAGTTGCAGCAAAAGGGACTGCAGGAGGCGCAAGCCAAGGTAAGTCTGAGTCGTGCTAGGTAGGGTTTACGACCACGTTGTTTCTATTGATTCATCTGATGCGTTGCAGCACTGCTCGTATGTGCCTGTACTTGTACTTCTACACCAGAAATGTAAGCAGGAGGACAAGCACAGCTCGCGTTCGTCTCCATTGCATTTAAAACTCGAAGACATATTGTTTGACAGCAAGAATTATGGAACACAACGTCTACTTCATACAAATCACGCACGACCAGATTCACGCCCTCGAAAGCGAGTTGGCCAAAGCAGAGGAGGAGCAGTTAGCGTTGTGTGAAAGTGAAAAATTCGCGGAGGCCGAGCTGGTAACGGACCGGATTGAGCGAATCAAGGGCGAAATTGTGGACACGTCGAACCGAGGAAATAACCGCAGCACTGAGTTCTTGCAGGAGCGCGAGTATCTGCTGTCCTTATTTCGGCGAATGGTCGTGATGCTATATGTCAAGGCAGCTTATGGTGGATCAAGCACGCTAACGTTTTTCTGACTGTGGTTGTTTTTCATCTCGATGCCCTGCTCGCTGTGAGCTCACTCTAGGCACCGTAAAGAAGCTTTTGCAAGTGGTTGTACTCCTACTAACTCTGCTGAACTACATCCTACACTACTATATCAACAACATCATCATCTTCCACCAGGTCTCTGTCCCGGGCCCGGCGCGTTGCGGCACTGCAGCTGGCCAGCCACGTGGGCGCGCTGCTGAACAAGGCGGGCCTTCTGAAAGAAGAGGCGGAGTCGTACTTTGCGCGGCAGCGCGACACCCTGGAGACGAAGATTTCCACGGAAACGCGGCGGCTCCGCGCGGAGAAGCAGCGCATCGAAACGAACCGTGACTACAACCTGCGCGAGTCCACCCATTTGGCGGAGGAGCGACAGCAGATCGACAACGCGATCACGTCGCAAACGGAAACGTTTCAGGACCAATTAACTCTGGCGGAGGGCAAGGAGAAGGTTCTGCAGGAGGAGATAGCGGAGCTGCAGGCGAAATTGGCGCAGAAGTTCTCGGAGCTTTCCGAGGTGCAGGCAAGCATCGGCGACAATCGCATGAAGATTTCGACCGTGCAGAGCAAGTTCACGCGGCAGTTCGAGAGGATGACGAAGACGGAGTCGCGGCTGCTGGAAAGCAAGGCGGAAACGAAGCTGGACGTGCAAGCATTGCAGCAGGCAGTGGAGGACTGGAAGGTGGATAAAAAAGCGCTGAAGACCATCGACAAGCGCAAGGTCTTCGAGCTCGAGAACCTCACCACTGAAGAAACGCAGATGGCCCTGGTGCTGCTCGAGGTCGAGGCCTATCTGGTCGCACTGGTAGGAGGAGGGGCAGCGGCTGAAGGGACCACGGCCACGGGCGCTGCCAGTAGCACAAGCGCAACGGCAACATCATCAACGTCGTTGGCCATGATGAAGACCACGCCGAGTTGTAAAACTTCGCCAGAGGAGGCTTCGCTTTTGAGCCAGACCGCGAGCTATCAGCAGCGGCTCTCTGCGGTTGTGTCCACCTTGGCAGCAGTAAGGGGCTCATCAAAAACTTCTTCAAGACCCGAGCAGAACGATGAAGAAGTTCTTTCGCCCCCTCCTGCGGGCAATGAAGACGACACACCGGCAGGCGGTGTTGTTGTTGTACCAGACTCAACTAAAAGCCAGACACAGCAACTCCCTCTGCGCAACAATCTTGTCCTGCTGCGTAAGGCGCTGGACGACAGTCAAGAAACCTTCCGCCTCGCGTCCAGCGATCTCGCTGAGAAGCGATGTCACGTGCAGAATTTAGAAGCAAAGGTGAAAGCACTAGGCTTGGAAGATTGTACGACCAATCCGGGGGACGAGAATTCCAATGCAACCCTTTCCCAGACCGAGCTGTTTCAAATCGAAAAGGACAAACTGGAGGCCGAAAAGAAGCTCGCGATCGCCGCCCGGAATTTCAAAGAGGCTGGACGGCTCACCGCAGAAGCGAAATCGCTGGAGAAGCGAAAGCAGGACTACGAGGAGCTGCAGGAGAAGAAAAAGCTTGAGCTGGCGGAAACGCAGCAACTCCTGGTGGAAAAGCGGGCGGGGTTGGAAGCGGAAGAAAAGGAGGCGAAGGCGAAAGAGGCCGACGCTGACATCTGCGAGTACCTGGTCACGGAGGCGGTGTTGAGCCGGTTGAAAGGTGGCGGCAATGCTAGAACAACGTCGGAGGTCGTGCAACACGGTCGTGAGGGGACCAAGAAAAGCGCTGGTGCGCCAGTATCTACTCCAGCGTCAGGCGGCGTGGGTGGGTGTGTTGAGGAAGCTTCTCCACCGGCGGAAGAGCCTGTTCTATTACTCTCTAACATGAAGACCCAGACCGCGAAAGAGTGCGAAATGTTGCAAAAACATCTGGCGTACCTGGGCCAAAAAGTGCTGCAGCTTTCTCTTCACACGGGTGGTGCAGCGACAGCCACAGCCACGGCTAGTAGTACCGCTGCGGGCGGACAAGACGCGAAGTCTTCCAACGCGCCCGTGCTCGAGCACATCTTGAGTGACAAATTGGAACAAATCGCTGCAGATGCAGAACAAGGGGACGAGAAATCAGCGGAACAAAGAGCGGAAGATGCTCGCAAAAAGAGCGACAAAAAGAGTTCTTCGCCACTCTTTTACCTCTCGGACGATTCCGATTCGACGTCGAAGCGACAAGCAGAACTTGGTAAGCAGATCGAGGCGCTGTGGGCCAGCCTGGTCGGAGGAGTTGTGGGCGCAGGAGGATCTACTTCACGCGGTGTCGCGGTCGTCACCACAGCTGGAACGGCAACGAACGCAGGAGGAGGACAGAATGAGGACGGGGCGGTGAGCGACGACGAATCGGATGTCGGTGCGGAGGAATTTTTGATTTCTGAGGAAATCTCGCATGCAGCACCAGGTGGAGCGGTTGTGGTTTCAGAAGTCGAAGCCTCGTCCTCCTCCCCTGATAAAGTGGTAAAAATGAACCAGGAGCACGAGCAGACACTTGTTCTTGGTGGCGCGCCGCCACCGCCGACCGATGTTCCCGCGAGCGCCACTGCAAAGAACAGTGAGCCAAGTGAAACGCCAGACCGTGGGCAACAAGATAAAAATCTGCGACAGAATGTTGATTTTCCACCAGCTAGTACAGCCCAAAGTGATCATGTTGGTCAAAAGGGCGATAGTGACAATGTAGCAGAAGGAGCAGCTGCGGTGGAACATCAAAGAGTGCAAAAAGAGTTATCTTCGCCAGCAGTGCAGCCAGCTGAAGGAGATGAAAACGAAAGAGCAGCGCCTCCTTGTCCTCCTTCTGCTGTAACAGATGCGACACGGGTGGTGATACATCAAGAACATCACCAGCCCTCCATCGAAGACGACCCCGAGCTGCTGGCTCGGAAAATAGAGCTTGAACTCACTATTGCCGACGTGGTTGAGACTGTACTGCCGGACCTGGAGGTGGCGATCAACGACTGTATAGAGAACGAGCGTATCGTCCGGTGAAAGTAGGTGTGTCCTTCTCGTGAGCGACTCCGAGCGAGTTGTTCATGTTCTTGCAAAGTACTTACTACTGAATCGCAGTGCTGCTGCTCTGCTTTCTTTTGTTTGTATGTTGACAAAGTGCATTTTTACACGTAAAAGTAACTCACTGCTTTTGCCTTGCATAGCGAAATTTGAAAAAGCGGACGAGTTAGAAGCGCAGAGGTTGGAACAGCAGCAAAACCTTGCCAGCATGCAGACCGAGCTGCGAAAACTCCTAGCCGATGTGAAGCCTCCAATTAAGCAGGAAAACCACCACGACGAGATCGAAGCTCCGTCTACCCCGCAGGAACTACGAAAGGTGGTTTTACAGGAGGGTGCGCACGAAGCGGCCGAAGATGAGGAAGGTGAGAGATCAATTCCAAGACAACCAAGCACCGCGGACGAGTCTAGTAAAGGAGCAACAATATCGCCAGTTGCGATGAATACTACAACAACCGGATTGATTTCGTTCATTGACGATGATGCGTTGCAGACGAACTTCGATGTTGGCCTCGGCACCGCCAGCCTGATCACCAGTTCTACACCAATAGGCGGGCCCGATGCACATGCACATGGTGCAGGTGCACTGCAAGAAGAGGACAACCTTTTGCTCATTCCGCCTGCAACTGCGAATACATCCTCAACAGCTACGGAAATCCTGTACTGTGCGGACCAAACCCGAATCTTGGAGGAGGTCTTCGCGCCCTCACCGGCCCTGACCGACCACTCATCCGCGGCGGCCAACGAGCTCTATTTTCTGGAGGAATTATGACTTTCGCTTTTCCTTAGCTGCTGATCATGCTGATGCTGGCTAGGACGAGGTCAAGAACAGGTGCTGGCGTGGTTCCTTGATCAGTGTCACGCTACAATACAGCGACAGTGCCGGCAAAGGAAACCACGAGAAAACCAGGAGGGGCAGATGAGACATGACAAAACCAACGGTGTCATTCGATGTCCCAATTGCTGCAACGCTCGAAAAAAGTTTTTGAAGAGTCAATTTACCTTGAAAGTATCTTTTCTCCGAATCGGAAGCGGAAGGTAATTTCTGATATTACCTCATTGAGACTTTCACGGCACGGTTGCGAGGCTTTACATGTGCTAGTAGCGACACCGACATAACAGCGACATAAGTCAAAAACTTTTCTTCCTGGAACGACACTGAACATCCATGCAGGCCCGATTGTTTCCTGGAGGCTGCTGAAGCTTCATTCAAAACGATTTGGTTTGGCCTCGCCGTTGTGCAGCATGCGATGTTCGATACTGACGTATGACCTGCAGTCGTCGATCTTTAAAGATTGCAGTGACTGAGCTGGTTCGTGTTGCGTTTACCTTTACGATCTCCCGAAGAATGCCTCCCCCGATAGTGCAAGCAAGGTTGTTATTTGGAAGTATGTTTCGGAGGTTCATCTTTACATGAAAGTGAGACAGAGGGTCCCATTGAAACGGAAAACCCAAGTCGATCAAAAAGTTCTTGGGTGCATGCGGGCGTGCCGCCGTGTGGCTGAATTCTCTGATCCAGCAAGGCGCTGCATCAATATCGGAACGATATCTTCTGCTGCTCGAGAGAAAAAAATTAGACCCCCTTCTTAGTTACTTTTCTATTTGGAAAAGCGAAAAGCTTGGGCCAATACATCGATCAAAACCTTTCCGCATAATTAACCCTAAGTACTGCGAGGACGAGTACATCGCTTACATTCAATTATACTGAGCGAAATTGATTGAAACACCAAAATCGCATCGCCATCATGTTCGGGCCATCCTCGTCCAAGTCGCACCTGTTGACCACAGGGTCAGAGACCGGACAAGGCCCGTCCTTCATTGACGAAGGAGCGGACGCGTCAGCCAGTCTCTCGACGTCCTTGAACCCCCACGCCTTCGTGCTGCAGCACTTTGCGCAGGCGACCGGGAGAGCAGATCAAGATCATGTTCTTGTTGACCCTACCAATACAACAGGAGGTGTTCATCAAGGAACCTCGACTTCTGCCACGGCAACAACTACTTCTCTGCCCTCCCTCGCCTCGCGCAATCTGCTGCGTCGACAAGTCTATGCGGCGCTGGACGACTGCACGGCCCAGCAGCAGCGGGACATATACGAGGCAAACCGAGCGGAAGATGTTGCAGCTTTATCCTCTACTAACGATGATCCTGCTCCGCAGCCGAAAGACGAGGCCGAGAGAAGCCAGATGCAGGCACAGTGGTTCCAGAAACAGTTGCAATGCGAGTCGTATGCGGGCGGTAATAAAGGTAGAATGTCCACGTCCACGACGAGCTATGACCTGGAGAGAAGAACGTGGCTTCAAACACTTGTTTTCATGTTCCTACGATTCTATGACTTTATCCGGTTCTTCTTTGTCTTCTTTCCCGCGCTGGCCGTCGGGATGGTGCCGGCGGCTCTGGTGGGAATTTCTTGCCGCGTTTTGGTCAACCCTGTTTTGCGTCACGTGTTTAAAATTTCCGAGCACGACATGCCGAACGTGAAATTTCTCGCACCGCTGCTGGGCGAGGCGCTGGCTTCCGCGATCGGCTGCGAGGCCGTTGTGGAGGGTTTAGAGCACCTGGCAGAGGTCAGAGGGCCGGTATCGGGTGGACAGAACAAACCACCGTCCTTCATCGGAGCAACGTTGCAGTCCTCGCCTGGGCCAGAAACAGAATACAGTCACGTACTCGACACTACTTGCTCTCTACTTTGTTTCTGTATCGGTCGTCCGGACACGACATTTTGCTAGTACTCGGAACGAGTACTAGCAGAACCAGAATGTGTATGTGATTGAAGATTTCTTTTTCTTTCACAACGGTTTATGTTGGAAAAAAAAAAATCTCAAGGAAATTCTACCGACGGCCTGAGGAGATTCTCCCTCAAGGAGATTCCCCCCCATAAAATTCGAATTGTGAGCTGGCGTTGAGCTTCATGCTCATAGCAAGCATAGAAAGATATAGTGGACAAGACGAGCGCTGGCGCTCGTGCAAGATGAAGGGACGAGCGTGGGCCAGAGTACGTGCGCGCCGACCGTTGCCACCAAGAGCCCCCGGCCCGCCTGTGCACCGGGGGCGGAATACTTGTTGGCCCTGCCCTTCGCCCGCCTGCCCCGCCCGCGTGGCGACAGCCTTGCTGCAGCATCAGCGCCAGCCTTGCTGCAGCGCTCCGTCCTTACATACAAAACGCGCGCAGCAGCTTTCCTCCTGATTGGCTCCCGGCGGCGCGGTGGCAGCATTTCTTTTTTTCGGTGTTTTTCGTCTTTGAAACTGGACAGAGCAGGACAGCTTCTGCTTTTGCGCGCGCACTCTCTCGCCAGTGGTTAGCAATAAAAATGCAAAAAAAATTTCGCGTTGCGCGCGTGCCCCTACCTGTGGGCCCCTTTGTAGCCGGTGCGGTTGTGTGGCTTGCACGGCCGACAGCAAGAGCCGGCTAGCTTTTTATGCTCGCACGCATTCCCGGGCCTTGCAGAGCAACGACCTTGCTCCGCACACGAGCAGCGCGCGCTGCGTCCTCCCTTTCTTTGCGCCGACGGCGCTGCGCTTCAAATTTCTGCACCGTCGCAGCGGCTTTTTTTATTTCGGGCGCGTGCCGCGCCCGCTCTGCCCGTCGTTGCTTCGCGCCGACGGCCTCGCGCCTTCGTTCGCGGACCTTCAAAATTGCCTCCGCGCGCGCGCAGCACGTGCTCCGCTCCTCGTTGTTTCGCGCTGACGGCTTTGCGCTTTTTTTTCACGAGCGCACGGCAAAAATTTTTGTCGCGCGCGTGCCACACGCGTTCCACCCTTCGTTCCGCCGCATCGATGCCCTTGCGCTTTCTTTCATGGGCGGCCGGCCGACAAAAAAAAATTTCTTACGCGCGCGCTGCGCGCGCTCCACCTTTCGTTGCTTCGCGCCAGCGCCCTTGTAGTTTGTTGCCTGCGCGGGTGCCAGACAAAAATTTTTTGCGCGCGCGCCCAACCTTTCTCTGCTTCGCGCCCGCCAGCTCCCCTGCAGCTTCTTGCACGGGGGCCCGAAAAATTTTTTTTTCGCGCGCGCGGTGCGCGCGCCCCATCCTTTGTTGCTTCGCGCCAGCGCCCTTGCAGTTTCTTACACGGGTGGCCGACAAAAATTTTTCTCGCGCGCGCCAGCGAACTTGCACTTTCTTGCACGGGTGGCCGACAGAAAAACTTTTCGGGCGGGCGCAGCGCGCGCTGCATCCTTCGCTGTGTCGCGCTACCGCCCGCGCAGTTTCTGTCTCGCACGGATAACCGACGAAAAATTTTCTCGCGCGCGCTGCGCGCGCGTCATCCTTCACTGTTTCGCGCCAACGGCCTGGCGGTTCGTTTCTATCTTGCGCGGGCGACCAAAAAAATTTTTCTTTCCCGCGCGCGCTGCGCGCGCCCCTCCCTTCGCTGCTTCGCGCCAACGCCCTGGTGGGTTCGTATCTTGGACGGGCGACCAAAAAAATTTTCTTCCTCGCGCGCGCTGCGCGCGCGCCATCCTTTATTGCCTCGGCTCGCGCCAACGCGCTGGACGAGGCTTCTACTATGCACGGGGGGCCGGCGAATGCGAAAATTTCTTCTCGTGCGCGCGCTGCGCGCGCTGCAACCTGCACTGCCTCGCGCCAACGCCCTGGCGGCTTCTACTTTGCACGGCCCGGTGGCCGGCGAAAATTTTCTCTCGCGCGCGCGCTGCGCGCGCTCCAACCTGCATTGTCTCGCGCCAACGTCCTCGCCGTTTCATTCTTGCGCGGGTGGCTGACAAAAAGTTTGCTCGCGCGCGCGGCGCGCACTGCTCCATCCTTCGCACCTTCGCGCCGGCGCCTCGGCAGTTTCTATCTCGCACGGGCGACCGACAATTTTTTTTTTGGGGCGCGCCTGCACTTGCGCTATCCGCGGCTTCGCTGCTTCGGCCTCGCGCCTTTCTAATTTCTTGCACGGGTGGCCGACACAATTTTTTTTTCGCGCGCGTGCCGCGATCGTGCTCTTCTTCTTCGTTGCCCTACGCCGAAGGCCATACGTGTCTGTTCGCTCGCGGCTGGCCGGCGAAAATCTCTTTCATTCACGGGCGCGCGATTTGGTTTCTTTGGTGTGGGCATTGATTTGGCGTGGTGTACTCGGGCTACCCCGGGTCGTGGGTCCACGGGCTTGATGTTGCCGAGTCACTATTTCGGTGGGGCGCCGGCCGCCGCAAGTTGCAGGGCCTGTTGTTCCGGTCGTTAGGAAGGGCCCGCCTTGGCGGGCGGGTGCCCTTGAAATCGCGCCAGATGAACAGCCCGGGGCTCGTTGCCCTTGCAATCTCGCTGAAGTTGCTGAGGGGTGGCCTCCTTTTCAAATTGCACCCACGCAAGCATGCAGCGCCTGAGCGGCTGCCGGGCGCCTGGCCCTTGGCTTGGGGTTGAGCTCTTGTTGCGCGACTTGCCTCGCGCGCTTTGTGTTTCGTTTGAGGTCGATTCTAGGTGGTCGTGGGGGTGGTTTGCCTTTGAGGTCGCTCCAGAGCGGGTGCGGGGTGATCTGCCTCTGATGCGCTCTGGTGCGAACGGCTGAGAGGCGACTTGCCGTTAAAGCGGTCGAGGGACGACTTGCTTTTTGTTGCGGCTTCGCAGCGGCCACATCGGGCAGAATGGGCGTGAAATTGCGGCCGTTCTTCGGGCTTTATAGGGCAGTGCACGTGTGAGATTGCATGGGGCAAAGCGCCCTCTAGCGCGGCGCCATAGTCGGCAGGGCGCCCGGGAAAGGCTTCGTAGGGCCTTGCGCCCTTGAGCTTGCGTCTGCGTCGGGCCGCATAGGGCAGTGCGCCCGCCCTTGAAGATGCGGCTTGGGCCGCAGAGGGCGCCTCGCCCCTGGAATTGCACTGCGCCCGGGCGCCCAACCCCAAGGGCGATAAGTCCCGCTTTTGTGGTTTTCTGGCGGGCTATGAGAATCTCCTTGGGAGAAGGGGAGCGAGAGAGCGGGGGGAGGTGAAGGAAAAAGAAGCACATGAAGGAAAAAGAAGCACATGAAGGAAAAAGAAGCACATGAAGGAAAAAGAAGCACATGAAGGAAAAAAAAAAAAGAAAGAAGGAAAAAGAAAAGAAAAAGGAAGAGGAGGGGGAGGAGGGGAGGAGATTCTCCTGGGGGTCCAGGAGAATCTCCTTGGGCCAAGGAGATTCTCCGAGATTTTCCTTGAAGTCGCCCATGTGAATTTCACTATGGGTCGTGTACCTGTACGCGCATGTGGATTGGTCTTGCACATACTTACTTATACGTGCCCAGGCTCCTGTCACGTTGACTTTGCTGGTGAAGATAGCAAGCAATTTTCCCCGGAACAATGGAATTCGCCGTCTACCACTACCACGACCGCCAAGCAGTACATCGCCATGTTCTCGCACGCCTCTGGAGTGGACCCCTTCGTCGTGATGCAAGTGCTGGCGCCACACTGCGTGTTTCTGTGGACCTTCAAGGCGGAGCTGATGTTCCTCCCTGGCCCGTTTTTCATGGCGTACGGCGTCAGCTGCGAGGCCGGCGTGATGAATCGGGGCAATCGTGCGCAGGCGATCAAGACCTGCAGCCGGCTTGCGGCCTCCCCCCTGCCGCCGATGTGCGCCCCGGAGGGTACTCGGACCAAATCCGGTTTGATTCTGCCGGAACTGAAGAAGGGCATGTTTCACGTGCGCACCGAGCGGCAGGCCGACATCCTGCCCATTTACCTGAATGGCAACTTTGAGGTGTGGCCGCCCACGTCAATAGTCCCCACATTCGGCCGCGTTGTGGTTCAGGTTTTGCCAGTGCTCTCCGTTTCGGCCGAGGAAGATCTGGACACGACGCGGACCAAAGTGCGCAAAGTGTTTCTCCGCGCGGCGGCGCGGCGGGCCGAGCTAGCGACGAATTCCATGTCTCTGCGATTTTTGCTGAGGCACTTCTTCGTCTGGTTGCCTTTCTGGCTGGTGTCCTTTTTTGTCACGTGGAAAATGTTGGAACAGATGTTTGAACAGGGTTACTGGTGCTTCATACACTATCTCTGATGAACAATCTCAGTAGAACGGAGCGAGACTGCTTAAAACTTGAATCACGTCGTGCTGGTGCAGGCACAAAATCAAAAACAACACGAAGGATAGGACGACTTTTGTTTTGTTTTTAGCGCTAAGGCTAGGCATGGCATCACTGCGCCGACCTCCAGACCGTTTTTGTTCGCTCTAGGAGAGTGTTGTGTGCAAGAACTACAATTCCAAGTGGTATTAAAGACAAGTCAAAGTAGCCCCTGGAACCCTTCTCGGGTCTTGTTCTACTCAATGTTACCTTTATTTCCCCATGATCGCCATCGTCTCGTTGAGTGACAGAGGAGCCTAGAGGCGCAGAGCAAAACGAAAAACTCGGCAACATATCTTAACTTGTTTCTACTCATCGTGATCGTGGTCCTTGACCTGGTCTCGTCATCGTATCTTCGAGAGAGAAGCTCGACCACCGTTTTATTTCGTAAAAGGGTTGCACTGACTTGCAGTTCTTCTTCTTTACAAGTAAGTGCGAGTTGTAGTACACGTGAAAGTAGAACATAAAGGAAAAACTGCTGTTTGAACTGCTGCTGCCCGCTTCTTGTCACAGTACTCGCCATCTTCTTGTCACAGTTTTCGTCTTCTCCAACCCAAACCGAACAGGTAGAGATAGTAGACCTACTATAGCGTCTATGTAGCTAACTCTAAGCTAGCTCACAATGCTGCCGGACGCAATTCTTATGTTGTGTCCTTCGGTGCTGTGTTGCATACTTCTACACTGATGCTCGATCGCATTTTTTAAGAAAATCTTTTAAATCAATAAAATTCAAATCGCATTTCTGTTCAACAGAACTATGAGTCCAAAAAAAAGAATCTTCATGGTGCACCAGTCTGCGCCACAGAGGACAGTGGAGACGATGGACGCGCAAGTAGCCTATCAAATGTAAAAATGTCTGGGTCTGGAAGATTCTGAGACTTGTCATGCATGTTTTGTATTGGCCATGATGTCTGTGATGCATGCCCTAGCATCACAGATTTTTTGAGGGCTTCGCGATGCCTATTCCGCATGACAAATGCCCTCTCCGCGTAGCAAAAATTGCGTTTCCTTTGCTGCTCATGCAATACAGATTTTTTTGGAGTCCAAATTCAGCATCACCTCAGGGTTCCAGGGTTCCAAATTCAGCATCACAAATTGCATTCTTCCAGACCCAGACATTTTTACATTTGATATAGCCGCGAAGATGACAACTTCAACTCCATCCAGCTGCAGTCCACCCTCCAGCACCTGTAACAAAGGGTCCCCGTCACAAGCAAGTGACCTACAACACGTAGGATCGGCGGGACGGGGTCGTGAAGTAGAGGTGGTTTCGGTTATTTCCTCCACTTCTTCTATGGATGTGTCAGGATCGAAATCAACAAAATCGAAAAATTTGTGATGCATAAAATCGATACCAGTTGGACCCACAGTTTTCAAGTGGCGCATGACAAACTTCGGGAGCTGCAAAATCCAGTCTGGTGTCGTGCTGTTTGGGCAAAGAAGACTGCTCCTGTCATGCTGCTCTGGCAACGCGTCTTCTTCCCCTAAACAGGCTTGCAATCGATCTCATTTGCCTTCTCCCCAACACAGGCCTTCCGTGCCCTACATTTTATGCATTACAAGTTTTTCGATTTCGTCGATTTCGATCCTGACACTCCCATATCTTCCTGCCAAGTACAACCAGCTCCGCAGACCACGGATCAGGAACCAGCAGACCAGCAGCACGAGAAGTACTACCAAGATCAAGATGGAACAAATTTTTTCCAGAAGGCTAGTAGTACAACAACGCAGCAAGCCCAAGCCGTCGAGATGTTGGCAGTCCCCACTGGAGGTGAAAGTGCTGCCACTGCAGCGCGAGGAGAAGGAGGACCTGCTACTCGTGGAGATAAGGAAGATGGCGCGTGTGCAGTCCAAGTTGTCCGAGCAGGAGTTTCTTCGTCCAACTGTTCGGGCGAAGATTTGCAAGGGCATATCTTCATGCAGGAGGATACAGCACGTCCACATGACATGAACGAGGATTCCCTGGAGTTGCAACCACACAACAAAATCAAGGGCGCGAAGAACGCGAAGGACAGCAAGACATCCTCCGCGGCCCCAACTACATTTGGCTGTCCTAGTACAACATCAGCTCTATCTACTACAACTACTACTCGTTCCTCCGCGCTGCGCCCGTCCGCCGCGCGAGTCAGCTTCGTGAGGCAGCGCCTGCAGGAGAAGCACCAGGAGCGGCTGCGGCAGGCCAAGCTGGTGCCGACATTGCAGCGGTATGTCGCGGCGTGTCTTGCGATGGTGATGGCGTTTTCCTACGGGTGCTGGTCTTTCTCCAAAAGAACGCTGAACACCGCGGTTGCAGTAGTGAAAAACTTCTGGCGCGAACGAGCGGTCTACTTGGGCTACGTCTACAAGCTGGTCTTCAACAGCTTCTACTACGTGGAGGTGCTCATCCGGTCATCTTTCTCGTGGGGGAAAAGTGCAGTTTGCGCAGCTTGGGGTTTCATTTGCTCCTTCACAGCTGACATCGTCTTTCATCTTCTTCATACAGTACCATCGGGGGCTAGTTCTTCGTGTACTTCTGGTCCTCTGCAAGAAGAGGCACAGGCACAAAAGCCGGGAGCCGCGGCGAAAAAGCCTTCTTCAAAGATGACTACCAAGCGAAAAATGAAGGGGAAAACGAAAATGATAAACATGGGCGAACAACAAGAAGATCCGTTTTCACCACGACAGGCCGGCGGGACAGACACGGCATCAACATCTTCAAACCACGGGCACGATGAAAATCAAGATACCCCTTGTTGCGACGGGACTGTTGTTGTTGTAACTGTGGTGTGTCCACCACCTCCCGCGAACAACGGTCTTGCAGGCTTTTGGCTTCGACTGCAGCAGGCAGTGATATTTGCAACCACCGCTGGAACAAGTCAAATTCTTCTGCGAGTAAAAGGTGCAGCGGGGCAAGCGCTGGCTTTTCTGCGCCGAATGCAACTCGTTTACTGCCAACGCTGGAAAAGTAGAGCCAGCCGGCGGGGGCAGTGGTGGCAAGTGTTTTGCGTTTGCTTATCAAACGGAAAAATCCCCCCTCCCCATATCAAAACGGAATTTCTGATGCTGGATTTGTGTACACAAATCAGGTTTGTATTGCAGAGAAGCACTGCGGCCAGATCCCCAGGCTAGGTAGGGGCGTATGGGTCTAGTTGTTCAGCATGGCAAGCGGCTCACTTTTAGGGCCAACAGCATGACAAATCGCCTCCATAGTGCGGCGGAAGCTTCTGCCCTTGTCTTCTTGCAAGACAAATGTGATTTGTGACCTCAAATCAGCAAGACAAATTTGCGGAAACATACCTTTTCGATATGGGGAGGGGGGATTTTTACTTTTGATATTGCTTGCGGCTTGTGGAGTTTCTTGCGCTCGTCACGTACCTCTGTTACAGCTGGGTATGCATTGCAAACATGTCTGGGTCTGGAAGAGTGCATATTTGTCATGCTTGTCTGGCATGACTCTTAAATCTGTCATGCACGTTACCCAAGAGAGCCGTTTTGCTGTCATGCAAAAACGCAGTTTGTCATGCAGAATAGGCAACACCTAGAAGCTCAAAAGCTTGTCATGCTGAGCCAGCAGTTGTGACCTTCATGATACGCCGCCCAGCAACATCACAAGTTTCCAGACCCAGACACTTTTACAATCCATACTGGGACCACTTGTACGACAACTACACCGCGACGACGTCCATTTTCTCGTCGTCCATGTGGTACAACAACTACGCCGGGGGTCCAAGGGACGAAGGGAGAAGTACAACCACTACGGTTCTTGAGCACAGAAGCAACATGCTGAGTAAAAATTTACATTTTCCCAGCACGTCTCCCTCTCGCTCTCCGAGCAGCTCCTGGAGCGCCACGACGACCTCCGCGAAAGAGATGAAAACTAGCAGTAGCACTAGAGGACTCCTGTCTACTAGTACAAAAGGGAGCGAAGAAGCCGAAGGTTTTATTACCTCCCACGGGGGCAGGGGGACGATCACGAAGACGAACAGGAACAACTACAACCGGAAACAAGCGTCGTGGCTGCAAGTCCTTCCTCATACTGGTGCAGTGGAGAGGACGACGACTGTCGAGGAGGACTGCCTGCTCGGGGGTGAGCAGCGGAAGGAGCACGAGCAGGCGGTGGAGAACGAGAACAAACGCATCAAACGCAAGGAGCTACTAGTAACCGAAATCCACCAAGAGCAACACCATCATATTAGCCATCACCAGTACCGCAGCACCACCAAGAGGATTTTTCTGTTTGCGAACGCGGAGAAGATCGCACTCGTGCAGCAAGAAAGTGGAACCGACGACGACATGGTCGTTGTTGAGCAGGTGCAAGAAGGGCTAACCGACGACGACATGGTCGTTGAGCAGGAGATGCTGGCAGGCGGGCCGGATGGTCGTGAAAAACAACTTACTATTTCGGAAGATGAAGATGACACAGCCGTCGCAGCTGCGGAAATGTTTTTGAACACGGCGAGAACAGTATTACAGTGAAAAATGCCCCCACCCCCAAAGTTGCAAAAAATTGTGATGCGAAGTTTCCGAATGAAAACTTTTTGCCATGCATGAAAGGAGAAGTATGAATGTTTCTGATGCACAGTCTAGCTGTGTCTCGCATCGCTTGCATGAGAAGCGCCAGTCTTGCTGGGGTCTTTTGCAATACAAATTTTTGCTATTCACGATTGGAAGCCTGTGCTGCTGATAGATGCAAGAGGGCAAATGTTTCATTTGGAAAGGTTTGCAATACAAAATGCCACCAGGTGGCATTTTTCATTGTAATAAACAGCAAACTCAAATCCAGCTGCTGCGGGGGCGCCCGCCCTGGACGAGGTGCTAGGTACCACGCCTGCGTTAGCCGGAAGAACCACCACCACGACGTCTTCGGATGTTGCAGCCAACAAGGTGCTGGCCAGCAACATGGACAAGAAGGTGCTCGTCAGGGTCAGGCAGTTCGGCGGGAAAGAGGTGTCTGGAACTACTCGTGGTCCTGGGCGACGTGCAACAAGATTCAACCGACCTTCTGCAGTAGCTAGTACATCGACCTCCGCGGTGGATGAAGAAGCCTCACGGCGGGCAATAACAATGAGCGCGTTTCTGCAACAGCAGACGGCAAAAAAGAAACGGGTCGGCGAAAACGAAGAGAAGACGTCGCTGCAGAAACGAACCAAGGAGCAACAAGGC